CCACAAATTCCGGCAAACAAAACCCTAGAGTTGAGCACAAATTCAATTCAACTGAAATTCCCTCAGAAGAAAGATGGAAATCGATACACTATAACAAAATTTGAGCAAAACCCATTACAGGTGAATAAATTACCCTCAACAGAGCGCGAGTTTTGGGGACGGGAAGGCGCAGAGGACGGAGAACCCAGATCGGCAGACATACGGCGAGTTACGGGTCTAACGGCAACAGACCGGGAAGCGCTTCCGGCACCAGCCTTTGATTTACTGACATCTTTGGGTTTTGGGGGACGAGAAGGCGTAGGTGCCGGAAAACCCAGATCGGCGGCCACACGGCGAGTTACGGGTCTAACGCTCGTGGAAAGAGAGCAGGAAGCGTTTTCGGCGGCAGCGTTTGAGTTATCAACATCTTTGCTTTTCTCCTTGAGCGAGGTTTGATCTACTAACCTCTTAAGAGAAGAAGTGAGACTCGGATTCGCGAATTTGACGAGAGTAGCGGACGAAGAAGATGACTGTTGGGAAGATCTGGAGACGGTATTTGTGCAATCTCCGAGGGGTTTCCTATGTAATCTTCCTCCGAGAGAGCGATGAGCTTCCATTATAATTCGGTGAGTCGGAAACTTGGGAGTCACCTGAGGTTTTGGTGGAGAAGATGCCACTCTCTATTGGCGGGAAGCAAAAGGGTCGAAAGGAGAAGGAGAAGAGAAGAGTTCTGAGGAAGACTCGAGAGCTGGAGGAAATTAGTTATTTAGGATTTATCAGCCCAATTTGGCAAATTATTAGTGGGCCTATATTGTGGTCAACAAAATTTAGTGGGCCTGTATTGTAGTGATCAAGGTGTAAGGATGGAAAAAGTCATTAGATACCCATGTCATCATGATCTACTCCAAAAAAGAATATGTTTTCTTAATTTACATTTGACATAATTTGCTAGTTACTAATTTTCAAATCATCACTGCTATAAACTTAATTTAGTCAACCATTCAATATTTTCAATAAATCCACTGAAATCTACAGCTAACATACATATATAAATATCTTATACATGATATAACTTTTAAAGCTTTACGAATAAAAATTAGTTTGATCCCAAAATAGTTTGTCATAAGTTCATAGTCAAATCTCAAATATACCTATTTAATAAAATAACAAACAAGTAAACTTTTGAATGACCCCATATAAAAAGTGTGAAAAAAAGGTACTTGGTACTACAACAAAACATGTGTAGTACAAGAAGACCTCATAATCCTTCTTCATTCATTTGTGCTTGTACTTTCCGTTAGTGGATTTTAAAGTTGGTAGCCTTTTTTCCACATCAGGTATAACTAACCTTCCTAAAACTTTTTTTTTTTTATTCTATTGGAATGCATATGGTAAATGCGCTAATGCGTTCGTTTCCTTTACGCTAACTCCTCCGAATCTTTGCTTTTTGCGTCGCTATAAATAATCAACAAGACACCATTTTCTTCTCATTCTGCAAACAAACATCTCACATTATCTAATTCGGATCGTCGATCTCAGAGCTTCTCGTTTCGTTTCATCTAATTCTAGCCATGTCTCAGGTAAATTTTGACTTTGATCTCTCTCTGTCTCTTATCTCTTGTCTCTCTATTTCTTGGGGTTACGTGTGGTTATTGTCCATTAAACGGTGAAATAATGTTTGGAAGGGCCAACGATCTTTTAAGCAGACACGTCTTTTCGTATTCGTTTTACAAACGATGCTAACATTTCTTTTGGATCAACGCTCATCATCGGCATATATGTGATTCTAGTTACATATGTAACTATTTAATTATATTTATAGTGGTGTTCTAGTTCTACAATTCGAACGGCGTTCTAAGTCAGCCGATTAGAACCGCAGATCAGCCGGTTTAAACAAACGATTAATATTTTGAAATCATTTAATATAAAATTATGAATGAAGAAAAAAAAGATGAAGATTATTTGGTCTAGGCATAATATTGATTAAAAATGTGACGATTAAGCTTGAACCCTAAAATTAAATGTTTATTAGAGGTAAATGTACTTGTTGATATATTTGGACTGGACGGTCAGATTAACACTTCTAATTCTAATTTTTTCCGATTGAAATGTGTGATATATGCAGACTGTTGTCCTCAAAGTTGGTATGTCATGCCAAGGCTGCGTTGGTGCCGTCAATAGAGTGTTGGGCAAAATGGAAGGTACTTTACTCCTCTATTTTTTTTTTTTTTTTTTCATGTTCTCAGATACTTACTTTTAATCATTATTAATTATTTATATGCCTCCTAATTTAAATCATAAAATAATCTCAGGGGTTGAGTCATTTGATATTGATATCAAGGAGCAAAAGGTGACAGTGAAAGGTAACGTTGAGCCTGAAGCAGTTTTTCAAACAGTTTCAAAGACTGGAAAGAAGACTTCTTACTGGCCCGTGGATGCTGAGGCTGAGCCTAAAGCCGAAGCTGAGCCTAAGAAGGAGACTGAGACTGAGACTAAAACGGAGGCTGAGACTAAGACTGAGGCTAAGGTTGATGTTGAACCAAAACTCGCAGAAGCCGAGTCTAAGCCATCGCAAGTTTAAGTACTAAAGATGACAATGGGGCTACTTATCCGTATTTGCAATGCTTCTTATTATCTTTGGTTTGTGTGTTGTTTTAAGAACTAAGAAAGTACTTTCTATAAGTACGTAATATATCTCATATATACATACCTTTTCAACTTTTGATAACAAGATGTTGGACCCATGTTGTTCCGACTTCTTTAATTTAAAGTTTCAAGTGTTTAAATGATTAAATACTGCGAGGACTTTAGAATAGTCGACTTATTAAATAACTTAATCCATTCAGGCATCTGTCTGAATATTTGGAAACAAAATTGGATTATAGTCGAGAGAAATTGTAAGATAAGCCGGCTTATAGAATTTGGGACCCCTAAAAGCAAAAGTTTTTTTGTGTGGCCTACAAATGTTTTGTTTAAGCTGAAACATTTATAGGACATGGTTAAGGTGGGATTTGAATTCCCATTTCCTTTGGAATTGTACAAGCCCAAAACCAATTATACTAATGATTTCTTTTTTCTAGACGTGGCCTTAAAGTTACACAATACTGTACTAATGTTTTCAGTAATTAATTCTTCATTCCCAACTTTCTAATTTAATCCATTACAGAAATATTTCGTGATAAGATTTGGAAAGCACACTCTGATATCAATTATTAACTCTTACAAAATTGATGAGTTAATTAATATTTTTCCTAAAAACAAAGCAAACTAATCTTGAAGCTATAGATATACGCGTATAGAACTATAGATCTATGGATGGAGCGACGTGCCGACACTACGCATATTTGCTGTTGAATGGTTGGAAAGTCTTTCTCATTTTCCCAACTTTAAGTCTTTTAGCTTTTGAAGCTATCATCTCCCGAATCTCCACATTTTATTATTTCCTCTCTAATTAATTGTTCATTAATTAATTTTTGTTATTATGTATGTTTAAGGCAACATCGATTATGTACATCCAAAGCCTATTCAGCATATAAATAATTGAATAAATATGTAAGAATAACTTCATCGTCCATAACAATTAAGTAATAATATGATATCCAATGAAGGTTCCGAGTTCCAACTAGACACAACTCCTAAAAAGATTCCTTCATGACTTAATCATTTCATTTCTCGTTGTTTTATCTGTTAAATTATGTTCAACAACTCTTTACGGAAACAATCATGTATCGAGTTGATCATTAACGAAACTTTTATATAAAAATGTTTTCAAGAACGTTACCATCTCTAACCAACTCTTGAACAATAATCTAACAACTTGAGTTCGAAGCAAGAAACTGCTCCTCCATCATCTACCTCTGTAGCTATTCTTCTTCATATTTTTAAGTTTACTCCAAAATTTGTGAGATATATAGATAAATAGGGAAGAGGAAATTAACTACAAACTAAGAAAACTAAATGGATTGCTCAATCTGCACCACAATGCCATCTATTTTAAGGCCACCTAGGAACACGATATGTGGATCATGCTACGAAGGGGCTAGAACCACTATCGCTCTGCTCAAGAAGCTTGAGGGCTCGAAAGAAGATCATGACAAATCTACCGATAAATCGCCGGTCAACAATGGCTCTTCTCTTTCTTCTTCTCCTTTGTTTTCTTGTGAGGTAAGCTATATATGTATTCGAACTTAATTAGGTATTTGAAAAGATAACAAAGTTTGTATATATCAAATACATTAATTGATCGCTGTTATATGAATTTTAATTATATTTCAGCCGCAACCATTAGAGAAGGTGATAAAATGGATGAAAAACATGAAAGAGACCGAAGAGGAGCAGAACAAGAGAATAGTCTTCTTGAGCAGCTTTGTTTCGGGATTCAAAGAACAGCTTCATGCTGATATTCTTCTAAAACCCGGCGATGAAGGACCTCCGATTCCTGCACATAGAGCTTTGCTGGTAAATTCCACATAAATCTTTTTTTTTTAAAAGAAAAGGGTTTTTGTTTTTTAAATTCAATAATCTTTATTCTTTTCTTATATCTAGCTATGGCATGTATTTGTTTTGTTTTTTTTTTTGTTTGTGGTTCTTTTCTACGTTTATATGTTAAAATACGGTTATCCATTAATTTAAAGGGTTTTAAGAAAACAATTATCAGCGTTTATGTGGTTGCTTTCTTTAAAATATATTCGAAAAATAAGGTTGTCTCTTGTTGATATCCACATATCAACACACGTAAACACTAACATGCAACCGTTTAAAAAAAAAATTTCAATGAGACTTACATATATCAAAATTTTGTCTTTTTCTATATATATATATATATATATATATATAGGCTTCAAAATCCGAGATCTTCAAGAATATTCTAGATTCAGACGAATGCAAAACCGCTCCAGAATACGCCATAACGCTTCAAGAACTTAATTCCGAGGAACTTCAAGCTCTCTTGGAGTTTCTATACACCGGCACATTGGCTTCAGACAAGTTGGAGAAGCATGTCTATGCGTTGTTTCTTGCAGCTGATAAGTACATGATTCATTACTTGCAGAGCTCTGCGAGCAACACATGTTGAGTTCCTTGAACACCTCTAGCGTTCTTGACGTTCTTGATGTCTCGGATCTTGGTTCGAGCAAGATGCTGAAGGAAACTGCTTTAGGATTTGTGGTGAGAAACATGGACGAGATCGTTTTTTCGGATAAGTACGAAGCTTTTTCTCAGAAGAACCAGCATTTATGCGTACAAATTACTAGAGCGTTCCTGAGCGAAACGAGAAGAGATGTGATTCATTAAATTAGTGAAAGATTGATGAATGGACGTTATTTTGTATGTTTACATTACTAATTCATTAATTGATATTTTTTTTTGTCAAGATTTTTTTTTAGGGGGGTTAAAAAGCATTCCAACTAAATTGCAAGACAAACAACAAAAAAGAGTGTGCCTAATCATCGGCAAGAAACAGACCGTTTCAGAATCAATGGGTCTAATTGAAATGAATGTGAAAGCCCAAACTGACTGTTTCTTGCTGAACAAAAGAAAAAATAGATCTGAGGAAAAAAAGAAAAAAATTGGTCTCTAGAGTTTACAAACCGATACAAATTTGCATTGTAAAAAGGTACAGTTTTATTATTTCTGTGATAAATGTACTTACGTTTCTATTAAATAATAGAACACGTTCTTAATTGGTTTATACTTTATATTTTCTCTCGATTAAGTGGATCTGTCTCCATATATATCGAGGCATTGGACAATTTCCGTCTCCTCATTGATCTATTCGAATTCGAGTTTCTTTGGTAATTAATTTTAATTAGATTCTGATTTTTAAATATCTCTCATTCGTTTGCTTGTTTCTTAAGATAACCATAGCCATGCATGGCCAATCAGCAAATGAACATGGATCTTTTCCACGACGGTCTAGTGAAGATCTTTAAATATTCTCCATATTTATTTGTATTGATAATGTGTTGGAACTTTTATTTTCTAACCACTGTTGGGAGTACTGATCGAGGAGTACAGGATCATCAAATTAATGTGGGAAATATTCTTGATGATGAGGAGAATTTTAGATATTGAGACCAAAAAAAGAAGAAGTTAATAATATAAAGTCCGTTCCACTACTATATTTGGAGAAACGCCGGAAAAGTGTCGATTTTGAATGTTTATTTTGATCAGGTTTTCACAATTTAGTGATGAGTTTAATAACTTCATGCCAAAGAAATTACTATAAGAATTTTAATTAATTAGAGAGATACAATTGAACTTTTCCTTGATCATATATCTAATTAAGACCCCTTTTTACTCAAACAAATGGATAATTATATAGAGAGAGATTCATGAATCCTTGATCTGGTCTTTACCCTTTTGGATCATGGCTATCACTCCAGGTCTTGACTGCTTCTGCCACTACCTGTTTAACTGTTTCAGCATCCATGCTTTCTCCATCATCATTCTGGAAATAATTTTCATTAGATAGAAATTATAAAATTTTTGTTTATAATTATGATGAATGGAAGTCAATATATAACGATGATGACGGAAAACTGTGTTTACATCTGATGAACCAATGGCATGAAAGCTAAATGAGTCCGTACATGAAACCCTAGCTTCAACAACATCGAGCCCAAGATCTTCAAAAGCTTCAAGAACACAAACCAACATGCCTGCTTCATTCTTCCCTGACGTTACCTTTATCATGAACCCCTTCTCTAGGGTTTCCACTGTAACCTATCGTCAGTACAAAGCCCCAATATCAATTTAAGATTCTTAATGTAAATGCTTCATAGACTAAAAGGGTACATATATGTTACGTTTATATACCATTGGATCGGTAGGATCACAGAAATATTGCTCTGACGTGGTCGCATTGTTGATTTTTTCGACTTTCTGCTTAAGCTTTTTGATATATTTGGATGCATCCACAATGATCGATGTTTCGCTCTCCTGCAAAATGTGTGCTTTTGCATATATCAGTGATATTCAGTGATATAGTTGAGTTTAGATTCTCAAAGTACAAGTTTAGTCCAAGAAAATTCCCAGTTCAATTATCATATTTTGGCTCTTTTATGTAACTTGTTCTAAATATATATATGTTCATTATGTTTAGGAACGAATCAAGTAACTATAAATTGAAGATAAATCAAGAAGAAGAAAAAATAACAAATCACTAATCGATTAGTAAAAATCTAGAACGAAACAAAATTACATATACAATGAAAAGGAGTGAAGTTTTGATCTCTAATGAATGCAAGAGAGATAGAGATCACGGCTAAATTGGTATGTGTATATATCTGAATATGATCTATTAGTGGAATATTTATAATTTATGGTACATATATTACCACTGAATTGGTTTTTAAATATAGAAGAGATCGAATCATATCAAAATAAGTAACAAAGGTAGAAAGGAGAGTGTTGGAATCTAATTACAGCATGAGAGTTAGTGACTGAACGAAGCAGTTGAAACTTCTCATGCAGAGAGGAACCTTTGTTGTGTTCTCTCGAAACCATATTCTTCAATGCTTTTATCCTCTTCTCCTCCTCTTCGGGTTCTCTTCTATAATTATATATATATAGGGTAAGAAAGAGGAAATAGAGATCTGATTCTCTTCAATGTTATAGGATCCACTCGTCTCTCACATGTCTGCCTTATAGTCTGATCTCTTCATAACTACAAAATGTGATATATACGGACAAATCCGTTTGGTATCTCGTGAATTACTTGATTGCCTCTATGTCTAGTTACACGTTATTCCATACTAGATACATATATAGTTCTTGTGTATATCTTTATATATATTACATACGAGAAAAATACTTACGGACGTGAATATGTACATGAATAATCTAGTTTTTCTTCTTTCTTTAATTTCTATGCACACGTGAGTGTAATTTTCGATGTAATGATCTAGTACAATAATCATTGATAAACTTTATAGAATCAAATGGAAAGCGAAGAATAATTCATAAAGTAAAGATAGGAATAGGTCGATAACATTAGAATTTCAACATGACCTTCAATATCTAACATACCATATATTTCTTTATAAGAAAAGAAAATCATTTTGCATACTTGCATACATATATATATATATAAACTATGCATACATATATATATATCTATATATATATATATAAACTATGTACATTGCAATGTAAGAAAATAATAGATTATACATATGCCTTCAAATGGTAATTATCTAAAGAAATATATATATATATATATATATATATATCTGTATATAATAAAACTAAATGCATCGGAATATAACAAAATATGATGAATAAAAATGTTTGGCTCATGTCTTTCATATGGAATCAGAATTATCTCTCTTCATTCCTAACAGAATCTAAAACAAATAAACTATCAATTTCTTTTCTTTAACAGGTGATAAGCTAGTTGAATTAATGATTTCATTCTGTTGTAGCATAGTTGTATATACATGAACTTCATAACTAAAGAATGACACAGCCATCACTTTTGAGACACAACGACGATACAATTGTGAACCGCAAAGATCCATTATCAAGGATACCATTGACCGGTTCAATTTTCCTTGTCTAGCCTTTAAATGGTATTGGCCAACTCTCTTTAAAATCTTTTTTTTTTTTTTTTTGCGCGTGAGTGATTCTTGAGTATTCAAGGTTTGAGGAAATGAGGAGAGGGAACGAGTATAAGGAAACGATTAGCTCGTGATAGAGGAAGAAATAAAACTGTAAAATATTTATACATACAGGGTATAGAATATTGAAATAGGAGCATCGAAAGAAGTGAAAGAAGAGAATAAAAGCAAATAGAAGAATGTTAGTTGTGATTTTGGAATGCCTCCAAACACTCCTCACGGGATGTTTACGAACTTCCTTATCTCCCTTCACTATATCCACGATATCTAATTGTATATTACTATATTATATTTACATATATATATATATATTTATTGTATACGTATTACGTATATGTACCTTATATATGTTCATGCATAGATATTACTTTGAAAAAGAAAAAAAGCACACATATGACATACACATGCCATTCTTAATAACACGAATGTAAGATCACGAACGTGAAACCTTTTCATTTTTTTTTGTATTCTAAAATATTGTCAACACCATGTTATCACGATGCATTAACCTTTAGTCACACTTATTATAGATGCAGGTACAAATCAATTAGTTAAGACGCCGAATTTTACAATGTAGATAGGAAAAATCTTCTCAAATTTGGAGTTGCTTCAGGAAAAAAGCAAAGATATTTCATCATATACACATAGTATTCTTGATTAGTACACCTGCCTACTAAAAAACATTCAAAATTGTAAATGAGGCATATGTGTATGCATGTAAGCGCGTTAAAATATATCATAAGAAATGTGAGGAGTCGAAAAATCATGTAATTGTCTATATATTCCACAAGGACATATAAAACTACCCATCAATTCACATGTGTGCCGACTAATCATCACCACAAAATAACACTCTACATAATAGACAGGACCCTTTCCTCTCACGTATAGCCTCATTAGATTTCTTACTATTTCTCATATCCTTCTACCTTTACAGTCTGTTTTCTCCTCTTTAATATGATTTTTTTTTTAAATTAAAAACGACGGATAATTAGGGTTTAATTGCTCGGATTTGCCAAAGAAATGGTACTCACGTGACTTGCACTTCGGGAAGTACATTCACAATCACATGCACAATTTGACGTTATAAAAGTTATTAAAAAAAACAAAAGAAAACCTGTTAATCTCTAAAGTTGAGAAATATATTGTTTCGCTGCCCATTGAGAGTAGAGTACAGAGAAAGGCCAAAGCTCTGGACATCATAAGGCTGAATCTCATATGCAAAGGGGATTCATTCAATTCCGATCCTATATTCTCTAAAACAAAATATACTTGTTCTAGCTGTATTCTTGTCTTACTTCGGCTTCGATCGGTAGAAGTGGGTTTGAAATTACATCGTCTGAAAAGTAGTCGAATGAAACACACTACAAAGAAAAAATTGTCCACCACCATATTTAAAAGTGATAAAATTGCGTAGTACTTAATTACTGTAAGAGCTAAAATCATATGTTTCCTTAAAAATATATAAAAATATTAAGCATAACCATGTAGAAACTGATTGTATTTTAACGGATAATTATGACGTCATAATGTCCTTACTCCGTTACCAGTCGGCCCAGTCACATAGTTATACTGAATAATTTCCTTAAATTGATATCTGCGGTAAGAAAACTTTGACACGTGAGGTTGATAAAAGTGTGGAGGTTAACTGTAGAGTGAGGTAAAAAGAGAGGAGTGGTCGAGAAAGAAAATGATCACGGCATAATGTCACAATGTTTTTGTTTTTGTTTTTGTTAAAAATGTCAACTACTTTTAAAATGTCAATTTAAATACCTTTCAAAAGAAAAGTCATTTTTTAACAGTCAGTTTTGCTAAAATCTTAATTTTAGAAAAATAAAGTATACAGTATGCTGCATTAGTGAATTGGAAGGAATACGGTTTGCTTATTTCCTATCTCCATATGAACGCAAATGGCGTTAACAACATTATTTCACACAAACAAAAAAATTGGCTTAGAAATGATGTAATAATTGATCAATAAACTAATCATTTTCTTCTTCTTTTATTAATATATATATATATATATATGTCATTTTCCCCCTTGTATATGTATATCTGTATAAAAAACAAACTATAAAATTGTAAGAAGGTCTCGTGTTTGTGACAGCTATATTTCCTTTGTCTTCTCTCCATATGTTTTGTATTCCCTTGCCCGAATCAAATATCATTCCATGACACCTAAATGCTCATACTATAATTTTTTTTTATTTTAACAAAAAGTGAAGTCCAACATTCTGCAGAAGCTACAAGACTAATACCACGTGTGAAGAGATCATTAGACGGATTCCATTTTTTTAGGGTAAGGGTTTGTGTTATAACTTAACTTCGGTAGTTAATTTACATTGATTCACCGTATTATAAGAATGACGGTGCTAAAATTCGTTGTTCATTTTAACATATCAGTTTGTATATAACAAAGTGATTTAAATCATTTAGTGTGAATCTTTTACTAAAAAACATTGTGGTTTCGAAATTTCAATATGAATATCTTCTAATCTTTAACGGCTTTAATCTATAAATACTTCATGGCATGCTGCATTGTCCATGCATATATCTCTCGTTAGATGGGTGTTAAAAGACAACTCATTAGTTAAACTCCAAGATTTGAATTAGCATGGACTGTAATCGAAACTTTAGAAATAACCAAAAGGACAAAATAATAAACATTGCAAACATATCTTAACAAGAATGTACAAAAACAATACCCATTCCATCTGCCCCACTCTCTTCTTCTAAGTGACAAAAAATTTCTTAGGGAATTAGGTCACGGGGGCGGCTTTGGGCTATCATACATCACTCCTTGTTTTTTCAAATTTTGTTTTTCCTATTTTGCACATAGCACATATATATACATATTATAAAACTGAGGAAAAAAATATCTAAAACAAATATTCTGTTTTTTTTAATAAAAAAAAATAAAACATTTCTAGTATTTTAGTATATTATACATTTCTGTAACTTTAGACAGTAAAATGAACACTATGAAACTAAAATGGAAATCATAAACTATTTAACAAGTATCTCGTATCCGAGGGAAAATACATGAAGGACTAGTCATTATGATTTATGAAAGTATGTAAAAAAATTTGTATATCAATATAACCCTCAACAAAGATCTTCCCTAGGTTAAAAAAGCAAACAAAGAAAGAACTTCCCGTGCTCGAAAAGGAAACACTTGTGATAAAGAAAACCAGACCACCGGCCCATAAAAGTTTCAACCTAGCCGAATAAAAAAGGCCGTTAAATACATTTCAGGCTCTCTCAGGCCCAAGTGTTTAATCATTAACTTAGCGCCGCCGAGAGAGAGAGAGAGGTCATCGAACCCGGTTAATGACCGTATACATACGGTTACTTTCATTCATTTTTACTTTGTTATAGAAAAATAATGATTTCAATTTCTTTTTTCTTCTTCTAGATAAATATAATTACATTTTTTTTTTCAACTCGTTATAGTACGAAAGCCCAAAAGGCTACAAAAGTGATACACAGTCCAAAAAGCCCAATAAAATTACGAACACAACTAAATATACACGATTAACAACACGTGTTCGATTGAGAAGAAAACCAGGACCACGTGGCTTATGAGGAAGAATCTCGGAAATTCAATCGATGGATTCCACCGCTGCCTCCGATTCGCTGCCGTTTATCACTTCCGACGACCATCTTCACCGTCAAATTTGGGCTTATCATGATGTGTTTTCTTCGCGCACTGATGTACCACTTTTACTCTCATTCTGCATCAATTAAACATGATCCCGATTGGTTGAAATCTTTTCACCTCCATAAATTAAGTTCCGATCATCTCTATTTCATGACTTCATCCTTTGCCTTAACGAAGGCTCTTCAATTAGGGTATTGGGGGAGTTATAACTCCCAGCCATAAGAGGACAATACCAATTTTGGAGAAGAAGCTTTTCACCATCATCGCAGGACCCGTACCTTGCCACTTCATGCTAAAGCGTAACAGATCTGCAGAAGAAAGAAGTCCGGACTAAGCCGAAAAGATCCGATAAGCTAGAAAACCTTTGCAAAAGCTTTGATTCCACTAATTCAATAGAATTCATCACTTCTCTAAGGAATAGTGAGAAAGCTTGAAAAATGGAATCAACAAAGATATCAAAGGATTTCAAAAGCTTCGGATAAACATAGATCCGATCAAGTCGGAATTATTATCCGTAAACCGGAAGATAGATCCGATTATAATCGGAATTTACAGAAAATTGAAGAGAAAAACTCTCTCTTTCTCAAAGATAAGGATGAGAGAAGAGAGAGAAATATAATTACATTTAAACTAGCTGAAAATTAGGTTTTTACATTTATGCCCAAAGACCATCATCGACAGAGCAATCAGTATCAGAAGAAAGACCAGGAAGATTTGAAGCTTTGATTAGTCATGCGAATTCTTGCTGCTCGTGTAGCTAGCGTAATTTTTGAGATTCTTCGTCTGAAATTTCCTCTTTTTAATCTCTTAATGTGACTTTTCCCGATTCGTCTAAAATCTTATGTAAAATTTGCAGCATTTTTGCAGAGGAAGAAATGCAAATCCTCGATCGCAGAATTTCTCCTCGCTGACCAAAAAAGGTGCCTCTTTTTTACTCTATCTCCTTTTTCAATTACACTTAATATCTGAAGAGATTGACTCGTGGACTTACCGCAGATTAAGATAACAGTCAAGTCTTTTGATTGAAAATCTGATAAGCTTTGGTTCTGTAGTAGTAGTAATAAAGTCTATTCTCACTTCACAGTAGTAAGAGTCTCGATTTCAATCCAGTTTATCACATTTGGTTGTAATCTTACTCCAAAGTGGTCACTTTGTTTAATCAATTAGTAGATACACTGATGAAAGAAAAGAAAAACAAAACTTTAAGACCAAGAGCTTAAGAGTAGAGAGGAAGTTCCTGAAAGATTTTGAATTGGACTCAAAAAAGAAAGAAAAGTGCCTCTGGTTTTGGGTGTTGATGAGCTTGACTTTGCTTCCATTTTCTAGATGACCTTACATTGGAGGAAGAAGCTGAGAGGAAAATTGGCTGGTTGCTGAAAATTTTCTTTGCTGGGACAGCAACGTATGTCGGATACCAGTTCTTCCCTTATATGGGTATGTGAGTCTCTACTTGTTTTCATCTTTTACATTTTCTTGATTGCATATTTTTGTTGTATACTTTACTGATGGGGTTTTACTTGTCACTTCCTGGTTTAGGTGATACTTTAATTCAGCAATCAGTCTCGCTTTTACATGTGAAGGATCCCTTGTTTAAGAGAATAGGAGCTTCTAGGCTTTCCCGTTTCGCCATTGATGGTAAAGCCTCGGAACAACTCAACCTTTGTCTGTGATAAAAAGAAAAGGATTTGATTTTGATACTTACTTGCTCTCACCAGTGAACTTGTTTGTAGCTGATCAGTTGTGATTGTTTGGTTTGGTGTATGAAAGATGAAAGGAGAATGAAGGTTGTAGAGTTGGGTGGGGCTCAAGAGCTTCTACATATGTTGAGGGCTGCTAAAGATGACAAGACAAGGAAAGAAGCTCTAAAGGCTCTCGCTGCTCTCTCCAAATCAGGCAACTCTTGTTTTTGACACATTCTTTTGCGATTCTCTTGCTTCTGCATCTCAATCGATTATATTGAACATAAGGACCTCTTTTGAATGCCAATTGCAACTGGATTTGAAATGCTGCAGATGAAGCTGCCAACTTCCTGGGATCTAATGGAGCACTCTCTATCGTCAAATCGACTCCAGATTCCTTGGAAGATGCAGACATTTCAACATACAAGTCAAACATACTCAAGAAGCTAGATGACAAAGAACTCACCGTTTCTTCCAATTGAGAACTCATTTCAGAAAAAGGATATAGGTCAAGAATCATAAGTCTAGGGATCGCCATAATACTTAGCTTTTTGAAGACCTGTATCATTTTAGCTTCCTCTTTTCCAACATAGAGCTCATCAACTTTTGTTACGAAAGGAATAGTCTGATTCACAACAATCGAAGTTCTTTTCTCAATACTTAATAGTTGGTAATCTCTGATTCAGATGTTCAGTTCATTTGTATAATGGCTATGAAAAACAATTATGGAATAAGTTTTAAAGAATTGTACATTTTATCTTTCTCTGATTCAAATCGCAACAAATGCTGCACTTTCTATAGCTATTACACTGCAATTTTGGACAAATCCTATTTCACAAAGCTACTAATTTTACAGGTTTCTTTGAAGTGATCATGGAGGGGACTGTTCGCAAAACTTTGTTTAATGACTAGTTTGCAGTGAGGCTGTATAAATTCGTCGAGATAGCAATGATGCTAGTGGCAACAGCAAGAATAAGCATAATCGCAGCTACGATCTTCTCCCTTGAGGTCGATACACCATGTACATTCCTGCCATTTCAAAATCAGAAAAACAACTGAATTAAGGAATTTGCAGGAACCTTGAAGCATCTAATAAAGTATAGTAAAGGAATCAAAGCTTGTGTAACCTTAAAACAATGGCGGCTGGAAATATGAATGCAATGGAAACTGTGGTGGTTGATCCCAAGAACTGAAAGAAGTACCAAATGTCAGGCACCGCAATCGCAGACAAGAAACAACAAATCAGTAGAGCAAGAGTGAGTCCGATGAATCTTTTCGTGTCTTTTCCCAAGGAAGGCTTCATGGGGAACAAGAGCTCGTCGAGGTTTGCTCTCAGTGAGAAGTTCATGAGAGGAAAGACGAGCATGAGGTGAAGCGCGTAGCTGAGTCTAACAATGTCATTGAGAAGAGAACCAATAGAAGAACCAGAGCTCTTGTCAAAGTTCACTAGAATATCCGACATTGTTGCATCTCCAAAGAGAAGGTACCCGAATAGTCCAGTGGTGAAGTAGATAGCAGCACACAAGATGACAGAGATCTTAGTTGCTGGGATCACTTGTAATGGATCTTTGAGCTCGAATCCAATTGGATGAACTGTGCATTATTTTTTCATCACAACACCAAACTCAGACACATGACAAAAAAAGACAGAACACAACACCGATTTGGTGTAAGAGATTTGTACTTCTTACCATTAAAATGAAAAGTGAAGGCGGTTACTATAACAGGGGAAGCTGTGAAGAGATTCCAAAACGATCCTCCATTGCTCAACTCTGGAAATAGTCTTGGATTCTTCGTTTCCCCGCTCATCAGCGCGGAAATCGCTAGCACTGAGCTTATTACCACAAATAGCACAGCAAGCAGAAACGATACCGCAGAACTAAATGCTAGTCTTTCTACATTAACCATTCACAGAAAATCAAATCATCAACAGATTCCACAGATAATGTATAGTTTCCAAACATTCATGACATAGAAACAAACTTACCCACGCGTCTACACAAAACCAACGGAAGCAAAACGACGCCGTAGATGGACAACAAAGCGAAGATTCTCGTGTTCCACCACTGAGAACCAAACCATTCTTGCAAAACTCCAAAATGTTCGGATCCTCCATTTTCATTACCCGATAGCACATCTCCTGAGAGAAAACCACAATTCCAAAATCAGCACTCTGTTCTTAGTTCAAATAGTAACAGAGGAGACTTTATCAAATTTTAATTTACCTATGATTATCGAGAATATAACCATACAACCAAAAGTGGCAACCATCGTTGCAATCTGTACAGCGACGGATCCTGTTTTCCCGAACGACTCTTTCATGACTCCGGCGTAAGTAGTCGATTCTCCGGCGAGGGTCGATTTCATCAAAAATCCAGCGGAGATTGTGGAAAGACAAGCTATGATCGCGATGATCAAAAGCGCTGGGATAACTCCGAGAACCTTAAACGCCGCCGGCATCGACATTATACCGGCTCCGATTATGCTCGTGGAGACGTTGAAAACGACGCCGGAGGTAGATCCATGCTTCTCAGACGAAGGTTCTTGCTTCGGCAAGAGATGAGTTTTGAGCTGAGGAGACATTTTTTTCTTCCGCCGGAGGAACTTGAAAATTCGCCGGCGGGAAGAAGAATTATTGTGTGTGTGTTTTTTTTTTGTTTTTGTTTTGTTGTGTCATGTGTTACACGAAGAAACGGCTTCATATAGCCACACGGTTAAACGATGAAAGTACATAAATACCCTTTGAAATTAGACAATGCTTCCACTGTCCGTGGGGTAAAATCGGGATAATAGTATTTGATCTTTGGAGACCTGACAGGCTGGTCAATCACATCACTGATAATCTGATATCACCAAATAATCTTTCGTCACGCACTTAAAATCGTATAAACAATACAAAAAAACAACAAAATCGACGTAGGATAAACGAGTTCAAAGGATTACAACTATTTTTCTCTATTTTTAAATTTTACCAAAAACTATGGGTCCAGTGTCCAGTTAGACCTTTTCCGGAAGAATAAATTATTCATTTTCATTACAAAACAGAGTGTATCTAGACGGATATTTGGCCAAAATGCGTATTACCGCTTCTCATCTCATTGTCTCATATATCTACATATTATAAATGGCTATGAGCTTCCAAAAATCATTTTGAAAAGGATATAGTATACACAAAAAGTATAGTGAAACTCAATAAAAGTATATGCGGCACCAAATATGCTCACGTGTAGAAATTAACTTAATTAAGCGCAGACATTTTGGAACTTTTCATCAAGAAAACGAAAGGGTGGCGGTTAAATATTTGAAGACGTGATCAGTCAAACGAACTAAGAATAATTTAACACTTGTATATTTCTTCTTTTCTATCATATGAATCAAATCTCGTACGAATAATATCAGGCTAGTTGGTTAAAACTTAACACTATCGAATTGTCTTCTAAGTATGGTTTTATTTCTAAGTATTGATTATTAATAGCCAAAATTTGAGTTAACAATTTATATTTTGATTTTGTATATATGCAAGACCCATTGTATTTGGTTCATTAAGTTGGAACTATACAAAAACTTTCTATATATATATATTTTGAACTTGATGAACCAGGTTCAATACGCTTGTTTTGCAAGTAACGTTTCTGTATATTTCCAATTTATTCAACCCAAAAAATAAAATAAAAATTATGTTAAATTATCTTTGACCTTGAGGTAACACATTATTAAGTAACAGCTTTGTGGCTTCTCTCAACAGGTCTTTAGGAATGACACTTCATATCAGTCTCAAGGTTGGAATGTTTCAGCTTCACTTGAGTATGGTCGTGATGTACGTCAGATATCAAATCTGATCACCAAGCACTTAATGTTGGTATCGGTTGATAACTCTCACTAGAACAGTGGTTTAAACTGATACTAGTGGTAGAGAATTGTATCCAGACATAGGGGCTCAGCTAAATTTATTGACTGAATCCGTATTTTGGGAAAAAGTTAAAGATGTATTCATTTTTTGCTAGCGGTAGTAACACCTCTGGAAAGATATATCATTCAAACAAAAAAAGGAGGAGTAGAAAACAATGGGACAAAATAAACAATGAGAACTGATTTGCATAACGGCTTGGGAAATTTGTAGAATCGAATTAGTAATGTGAAATTATTTTCCTTTTATTTTGTGTAAGCCAATATAAGACTAAGGACTATAAGACCATGAACATTGCCGAGACTCAGTGAAGTCTCTTAATAACACGTGTCTCTCAATATCGTCTCTTACGGTTTTAAGCTACGTCTCACAATTTTGAGAGACGCGTTTTCATAAAAAATATTTTTTTATTAATAAGAAACGCCAAAGAGACAACCAATGTTAATGCTCTAATTGTCAAAAAAATTACTTCCGAAGTAAGTGAATAACGCGTCTCATTTGGGCTTATTTTTTTTAAAATGAAGCCCATATTTGAAAGAACATATTCGGCCCACTTATATCGGTTGAAAAATCTTTTCCTGCACCGAAATTTGTCTGATTTTTCGCTCCCGATCGATTCTCTCGTCTCTCATTTCAGCGAAAATCCGTCGAAGCAAATCGACAAATCGTCTCAAAGAAGGAAGGAACAACAATCGAAGAACAATCGGACGCTGATAGAAAGCAAACCGTCGGAGGTGGAACGGAGTTGATTTCAAGTCAGAGTTGGGGAAAAAATGGGGGATCATTTGGTGAGAGCGGAGGAATTTGAGAAGAAAGCAGAGAAGAAGCTGAATGGATGGGGTTTATTCGGATCTAAGTATGAAGATGCTGCCGATCTCCTGGAAAAAGCAGCTAATTCCTATAAGCTTGCCAAATCATGTAATTTCATCTTCTTCTTTTCCAGGCGACTTTTCTGTTGCTTGTGTGCCTGAATTTCGCTTTATCTGATTGATGGTAGATTTTTTTTTTTTTTTTGCTCTCTGAGTAATAGATATGATTGTGAGGAATACGATGGAAAAATTTAGAGGTTTTGATCTTAGGTTATAAATTACGGTGATCCGTCCATGGTCATGTGAGAACTAGAGTGGTACCTGGGTTGCTATTAGGCTGATTTGATCTGTAAGAATCGCATCCGAGAATTTTGAAATCATGCAAACTATCTGAGAAATGACTCGGGATTTAACATTCAGATTTATCGATAGTGGATTTCGGAGTTGTATTAAGTCATGATAAGCTGCGAAATTAGTGTAGAAGTTGCCAGTGAGGGAAACAGTACCCGTTTGGATTTTATTTGGTTCAGTTTCATAGGTTCATGATTTCCTGACTGTTCTTCAATTCCTGCTAATGTGTTCCATATATGATATTTCAGGGGATCAAGCTGGAAAAGCTTACCTAAAACTTGCTGACTGTCACTTAAAGGTAAATTCTTTGGCTACCAACATGATTTTGGACGAATGTATTGAATTATTATGTATATGTTAACATTGCTGTGCATCTGCAGTCGGACAGCAAACATGATGCTGCTAATGCCTATGCCGAAGCTGCTAAATGCTACAAGAAAGTTAACACAAATGGTATGTAGAGGTCACTGATTTTTTTTTTTTGTATCATATATAGCCAAAGCTATTCTCTTCTAATTGACATTTCAGTAACATAGGGGGTGATTATCAACTCTTTGTTTGCTTTTCTTTTCTCTATGCGTGTGTTTCGCGTCCTAATATAACCATGATATTATATGCAGAGGCTGCATCATGTCTCGAGCGAGCAGTGAATATATTCTGCGAGATAGGAAGGCTCAACATGGCTGCCAGATATTACAAGGTACCATGTGTCTCTTTTGAGCATGATTCGATATTTCACTCTTTTAATACAGATGTTGAGAAGATAGAGTTACTAAGGCACTTCTTTAGTACTCCCTCCAGTGGATATGTGTTTCTTACATTTAAGTAAGATTGATGCGGACATTCTGTATTTTGTTTTGTACTAATAGGTATTGTTTTTGTATTTTGACAGGAAATTGCTGAGTATTATGAATCTGACCAGAAGATCGACCAGGCTATTGCTTACTTTGAAAAGGCAGCTGAATTCTTTCAAAATGAAGAAGTGACCACTTCTGCAAACCAGTGCAATATAAAGGTGGCACAATATGCTGCCCAGTTGGAGCAGTAAGAATTTCTAACTTTCCTTCTTTTTGCTTTCTCGTCCTTTGGTATTGACATGCTTACAGTACGCAGCTGGAACCCCTTGCCTTAATATTTTATGGCAAATCCATATACTCGAAATTTTTGAAATCATGATGTTCACTATGCACGTGCAACAATGAACGCTTTTTGTTTACGTGAAAATGGATTGATTGATAAGGGCTTGGTGCATCTTTGACAGATATGAGAAGGCAATCAAGATTTATGAAGAAATAGCCCACCATTCACTCAACAATAACTTGCTTAAGTATGGAGTTAAGGGCCACCTTCTCAATGCTGGCATGTGCCACCTATGCAAAGCTGATGTTGTTTCCATCACTAACGCGCTGGAGAAATATCAGGTTCTTCCACAGAAAATACTCGTAACGTCAGGATTCTCTGTGGTCCTTGGAGTAACTCTGACATGATTCTAACTTCTACGTTTCTGCAGGATCTTGATCCAACTTTTTCAGGAACACGAGAATGCAAATTCTTATCGGTAAGGTTTTAACTGAGTTTTATGGTGATTATGGGAGTATAGCATACATAAAGTATGTTAAATTTGGTTGCATTATTCTCACAAATAGGACCTTGCTGCTGCTATCGATGAAGAAGACATTGCTAAGTTCACAGACGTTGTCAAGGAATTCGATAGCATGACTCCGCTGGTACGGACTATAAATGAAATACAAAAAGTTTTGAGTAATATTTTTCTCTTTTTACCTTTGTCTGATCTTTATCATGGAGTTTGTAACTATATTGCAGGATTCATGGAAGACAACTATGTTGTTGAGGGTTAAGGAGAAGCTGAAGGCTAAGGAGCTTGAGGAGGATGACCTTACCTAAACATCGTTATCCGGAGCTTTGTTTATTAATTGTTGCTGGTGTGTGTCATCCATTATGTTCGCTACTCCATATCCTACTCTTCGTTGATTTTATTGTGACTGGTTTTAAGGGTTTCTTAAGAGGTTTGGTCAGTATTGGTTTGTTTGATATCAGTGTCTACATTTGTTCTCCGTGTCTCGTCACTTCATTTATGGGAACTTCTAAAGTCAGATTTGCTTCTTTGTTCTAAGATTTGATGTTCGATTGTTTGATGGCATTTGTTTTTATGTTTGCATCTAGTAAAACTGTGTTTTCTTTCTAATGAAGGATAATTTTTTTAGTGTTATTTGAAAGAAATGTTGTTATTTTTCTCCGATTACACTTTCACAACATTATTTTGTAAATGAAAAAATACTCACTTTTTTTTATTCGAGAAAAGATCCGTTTTGAAGGCGAACAATGGAGAGTTTGTCATCTCCACTTAAATTCGTGATTTTCTCAGATATCAAAGAAATATTTAATCAAGTTGGACGCAATGGACGTTACATTGAAAAAGAAGTACATATATCTTGAGAAATGAATATTGTGACCAAACAAAAAAAAACAATCTTGACAAAAGAATACATGTATACAGACCGAAAAATTGTGGAAGGAACAGAGAAAGAGCCAAAGAGGACAAGATATATATACAGTATCTAGGAAGATACTAACACCAATTCTCATTGTCATCGACCATAACAAGCAAAGCTATGATAAATGCATAATCAACCTCTGGATTCACTCTCACGCTAAAATTATATTTCCCTTTGCAGAAGCTTCCCCATGTAAACTTATGCGTAACCTGCAAACATTCCCCAAACAACAAAACACAACAAGAACAAAAAACACTTAAAATTCTTCACCAATCTGTGAAAAACGCCAAAAACATATATAATAAAGAATGAAATGTGTTTATAGCTCTTTATACCCCTACCCCGGCGATGAGAGCATCCGATTTAAAAACTTTGAATGAGATATTCGAGTATCCGCCTGAAGCATGAAAATCACAAGTATTGCTCTTCTTGACATTATTGTTCTCTGCCAAGAAAACATCCACAGATGTTTTCAGTGAGATCGCTTGAGATTGCTGTACCGTGAACAGCAAGTCTTCTCTCTCTTTGCTCTCTCCTCCATACACTTCCCACTTGTTCTTCAACGTAATTCCCTGCACATACACACACATATATCACACAATCACAAGAAAGAGTTTTTTATTATTGTTGCTTTAAAAAACTGAATATGTTCTGTAACCTTTTGGCGCATTGTGAGGACTGTGAAACCAGCTGGATCACGCATAACCCTTTTATGGTTAAATCCCCAAGCATGTCCATCAATTTGCAGGAGGAGATTCCCGCTTGGATCAAACACTTGGTAATGATCTTTGGAGAAATTCTGAACTTTTCTCCTCACCAATAGATCCATTGGGTATGGATTACAGAATTGATCGCTCACCACGCTTATCGGAGGATCTCCTATTTGCCATTCTGTTTTCTTATTCCTCGGCATTGTTTTCTATTTAGAAATGAACTCAAGAAGAAGATTTCAAAAGATTATGAAAGGCTCTTGCTCTAGAGCCCTTGATAATCCTCCTAATAATGAAAGACTTGTCAAAAAAACTGTTTTCACATTTTTTGTAGCAATATATCAACTAGAAAACAAATTTGCAGCTTTGCAGGATTGGTTTTTTTACTTTCTCTGGTTTATGAAAACAGAGTTTTATTCTCAACCCTAGATTGTTAAACCCAAAAATAACCTAATTCTTTAAATTTAGAAATAAAACAACTAAGCAAACTTCTATTTCCAGGTTCAAAGAGAGATTCTCTATTGCCAATAACTCATACATAAAACATTTACAGAGAGCTCTTACAGTTACATGAACAACAGATCACATGTTTTACAAATCACAATAACAATAATAGAATAATATTGTTGCTTTTGTTATCCAACTGGACAATGTATCAGTTTCCTCCACGTTTGTTCTTCCTCCACTCCCATGGCTTCTCTGGATTTGGAGATGACCACAAACCAATACGCTTCTGCTTAGCTTCATTTTCCCACTGATCTCAAACACCAAAAAGATTCTTAAAAATCAGAAAGACTAATTAAAGAGACTTAAAAGTTTACAAAATCTTGCCTTTGCAAGCTCTGCGCGCTTGTCATAGGCTACATAATGCCAAGCAAGACCTTTCTTTAACATTACTTCCTGAACAAATTTTCCATTGCAGTATATATCTCCTACACATCTTCCATAACGATCCTCTGCATAAACTAACACCTTCAAGGTTTTTCCTTCAACCATCTTGAGTAGCTCATCGTGCGCCTCTTTTCCAAACGGCATTTTACTTTCCGGTGAATCAATTCCCCTGTTTTCTTTTCATTCACAAATTGTTACTTAAAAACACCATGATAACTTTGATTCAAGAGAGATTTAAGATGTGATTTTTTTTACCTTAGTCTAATTCTGTACTTTCGGGCAAGCACTTCTTTATTCTGAAAACTTATCATCCTTAAAGCACAAGATAAAAAAGGGTCAGAAGAAGAGTTAGAAATTTCATAGCTCAATGAATTTGAGTCTATGATCGATCTTCTTCTTGTGAAGGATATCAAAAACACAAACCTGTAACCAGAAGCTATGATCTTCTTGTGAAGTGCATCTGCTTCTGTATAATTCCTCTTCTCACGCGCTTTCTCCCTTTTAACCGCTGCAAGACTCACGTCCTTAGGCACAGAAGATGACACAACCGGGTCTGTGCTACTAACATACACAGTAACCGTATCTCCATCTGCCACAGATTTTTGATCCACCTTATTTCAATTAGGACAACATTTCTTGATCAGAAACATTATCATCATATTCCCATCCTATTCTATAGATTGAAAAGTTTTCTAACCGGAAGTGTTTTAAGCTCGAACCGAACTCCTTCAGGGGTAGGAACATGAGATTCAGTAGTGACCTCAACGAGCTTAGGAGACGAAGGGAGTCTATAGAAAGACAAAAGCCCCTAATGAATGTCATTACCAAATCAAACAAGATTAATCATCTTTCCAAAACTTAATTAGTAATATTTTCGAAACTTGAAACATTGTTAATACCTCAACGTCGGCTTTTTTATGCCCCTTCAGAGTCGCGATAACAAGCCTTGCGGCTTCCTCAGCTGTCTGAGGCCGAGGCTTAGCTTGCTTCCATGCCTCAAGTATTTTTCCATACCTTAAAACATGTTTTGGAGTATTAATTTAAATCTGAAAATATTCCAAATCTTCATTCAACAAGAAAAGAAAGATTTAGGATGCTCTGTGTATTATTTCTTTACCAATTTGCTTGAGCCTTTTTAGAAGACACAACGTAACGTCCAAGCCCTTCAGGTACCTAGAATATACAGAATTCTCGATTATGATCAATTTCTCAAGAATTTGGGAAGAAAGTATCCTAAATCTCTGAAGATTGGTATTGATTCTGCTTAAGAAACAAATATAATTACACAATTCACTTAGAAATAAGTTTCAAAACAGCTTGTAAAGTCCAAATCTAAGATTAGTAAGGAGAAAGCAATGAAGAGAGACCTGAGAAGTGGTCTCGAAGTTAAGGAGATCGTGGGAAAGAGCTGAAACGCCGTGAGCTCCGTCGTGCGTCATGGGATTGATGCATTTCCGGTAGAGTAGCCTAATGGCGTTGCCCATTTTTCCGATTCGATTTCTGAAAACAGAAAAAAAAAAAACAAAAAAAAAGAGTTTTGATCTTTCTTCCTTTCTGGTATGAAAGTCTTCGATCGTTATATGGAGCAGAGAGATTGTTTAGTTAACAAGCGAAAAGATACGTGGCAGTTTCATATTGGATAAGAAACTGAAAGTATTATATTTATTATATATCTTTGGTAAGAAAAGTGAGTATTGGGTGCCTTGTCGTAATCAGATTCGATTATGTTTATTGGCTTCATGTAAACTCACAAGCTTGGAGTTTAAGCAATCTTAATCACGCATCAAGTGTTCCTGCTGCTAAATTTCTTCAACGGTGAGCACAAATTCATGGAGTTTTGTTAAGATCAGAGATAATAATAGAATTTTGATAAAATGAGTTCCGTACCCAAACATACCTTTTATTCAAAATTTAGATTTTAAACATAACGTTTATTTCAAATTTTTATCCCAAAAACTTGCAAAATATTTTATAACTAATTGAGTCAGTACTATATTTGGAAATTGTTTTTATTTCATTTCATGACATCAAGATCGTATTGTAAATTTCGAAAATCTATTTGATCGTACCATAACATAACTAATAGTGACATGAAAAATCCATGGATTTACAGACATCATCAAGCTAATGAACAATCCATTATCCAATAATTTTTTTTTACAATGTTCTCTTATATACAAAATAATTTAGTGACGCAGATGTTCAAATTACGTTTTTATTTTATGTTTAATTTTTGAAAGTGTGATGATCTAAATAATATACATGTCAATACATTCACTGTCAATATATTTTTTTTGGTTAGCAATCCATGTCTACTATATATATTACTTACGTCTCCTCGCAATTTTCAATGTGAGATTTATGTGAGATTTCTATTATATTTAAAGCTATTTTCTTAGGAGAATCAGAAGACTATTATCTCACAAACAAACATTGTTCCACAGTTGTATCTAATGTTTTCTCATCACTTTTTAACCTAATTCTTTGGATTTAAGGTTTCAAATAGAAACAATTCTATGATAAAAACCTAGAATCAAAAAATAGTTGTGCACAAATTTTGTTTATCAAATTTTGATAATTTGTCACTCTACAAACTATATAAATCAGTAAATCTTTGAAAATAAAGATCATTTAAAATCTATAAATTCAAAATTTTCAATCACATATTTGACAAATTTGTATATTGCAATTGAAGATGACCGTGAGCATTGTCCAGCTGTGTCATTTGAAACACCCAACATTTTCTACTTGAGTACATGAACGACATATGAACGACATAGTTAAAAGTTTTCAAGTTGTGCATTTCACTTATTTTGCGAGCAATATGTAAGTTGGAACTCATTGCTAGAGTTGCTGAACAGATGTGCATCTAGAGACGCTTGTCTGATATTAAACCAAACTTTGTTAAATTTTCTAAATACGAAAGCAGATTTAATATAGAATTTTCTACTTTTATGGTTTCAGTGACTTGTCCATGAAACTACCGATTCAGATTAGAATGAGAAGATTCTAGGTATCTCCAGTGAGGGTGCTAAAGGTATTCGAGGTTGGACAAGCTAATGCATACAAAGAGAGCATTATTACACAGGTCACACATTTCTTGGTGACAATGTCGAATCTTGAAACATTTGTTATTCATCTACATGCAGAATCCAATTAATTAGTGGGTGATAAACCTTAGCTTGTCATGTGAATCCGTCGCAGACTTTGCTCAAAACTCTACGACTAGAAGCAAGTTAAATTTCATTGTATTTTTTGTTTGTTTGTGTTGTTTTTGCTTCTATGTGTCGAAGATGTTATGGTTAAACATATGGTTTGGTTACTCAGATTGCATACGAAACCTTACTCCCTCCCGCACAAGAGAACAATTGGGTTAAACACCAGAAATTAACAACAATTAACAACAAGACGGGAAAGGAATTTGTGTCTCTTACAGACAAGAATTTGCTATGTTTTTCGTGATCAGAAGAACCCTCACTGGTTGTTTAATAAAGCAACTTTCAAGCAAATCCTTAGATGTAAATGAAAAGATGGTCAACACACACAACTAATTCCAGATTTAGGCAGCCACACTTTGCCAAATCATCTTTTTTCCTAATTCTGACTTTTCCCATGGCGAGTATCTTGGCTTCAACCCACAACCTATTTTCTTGCCTCCGGGAACTACCCTCTCCGGGAAGCCGCTCCGTCGTATTCTGCCGCTATCTGGACCCCTGCGGCAGACGAATACGATCGATTCCCATTCGAGCTTCCCAACTTCCCGACAAGGTCTCTATCCCTGCCCCTTGGCATTCCATTGTATATCATCTATGTGGAGAAGAACTTTTTTTTTTTTTTTTTTTTTTTTATGTGGAGAAGAACTTGTTGGAGACTTTTGTCTTGTCTTGTTCACAGGCAGGTGGTGATGGAGGCATTTCAGCTTCAGCTAAAAGATACCATTTTGGGAACGAATTGCTCAACTTTGCTTCAGATAATTTCTTGCCTCTAGGTACTGCACACTCCCATTGCTATTGAGATCAACGTTTTTGATTAGCGCTTTAACGAGTCTGATGAGAAACTAATTGATTGAATCAGTTCAGCTTTCCATTAAGCATGTAAATTTACTCTTCTTCACAAGGTTTATTTACTTAGCACTTGAATGTGATTAATCTAACCGACCTCTATGGGTCTTTCCTGTAAGTCTCTTTCTGATATGTTAGCGTTTGCGCATTGTTTCTTAAGCTAATTGTTCTTGAGACCGTCTTTGCTGTGTAGTTATATCGCCTACTTACTGACAAATATAATGGAAATGTAAATACTTGCTTTTCGAATTCATTTGCCTTACTTTGTTTCTTTTGACAATCGGATGCTCCGGCTTTCTTGGTGATTGTTTGCAGCTCTTGTTAGTGGAGTGGGACTGGGCTTTGCAAACCCAACTCTAGGCTGTCTTGCAGACAAATACTCTCTTTCAAGGTTCAGCACCTGTGGGATATTTATTATATCAGGTGATTCTATTTTTATTTTTTTTTGGTTAATGGGTGAGGAAGCAATCATTTTGTTTCTGTTGAATTTGAATAGCTAATCCACTGTTTAGTCTTTCTCTTTATTGTTGAACAGGGCTGACTTTACGTACTGAAGCGATAGGTGCTGCTGTTAAAGGATGGCGTCTCGGAGTTTTCGGGCTAGTATGATCTTTACTCGTTTTTAGCTTTCATACAACGGTTCCTCTTCTCTCTAGTTTAGATCTCTTCTGCGTTATCCTGGAAAATCATGACAAATCAACTTCTGCTTTTACGAAACTAATAAGAAAATGTAATGAGTAGTAGCCCTTTCCTGCTCCTATATACTTTCTTTCAGTCTTGTTTTTGGTAATCATTTTCCTTTTTAAATTTTGTTAGGTATACTGCATACTTAAGCCAAAGCTATTTCCCTCTCTATTTTTTTTTTCAGGTGTCTATTTTGTTGCTCACTCCGTCCTTCTCAAGGCTAATTATGCTGGTCCAACTCCAACCTCAGGAACTTGTTACAGGTCACTCTGTCTCTTGCTTGAATTTGGAATGAAGTAAACATCCTGTTCTTTCCTTATTTTGGACTGCTTTGTATAGACTTGCATTGATTTACACTAATTCTACATCTTTAGTTGAATTGTACCTGTTCTGATAACTAGCCAACAGTTTTACATATATAACTTTAGTTTCTGAGAAATTTAAGTGTGATACTGGTTGACCGAAGAGCTAAATCTCGTTGCCTTTGTGATTTTGTTAACATTCCTTACACTTATTCAAAATCTATTTAAGAGTAACGGGCAGGAAAAGCATATTAGTTGTATAATATCGAAGCAACTTGATTAGTTAGTGCCTCTTTAGTCTTTTCTCGTGATACTTTATTCTTCAGCTTCCAGCCCTGTTAATTTGCGCTCAGTATGGATTTGAGGACTATAAAACTTACTTATGCCCTCATATTATTTACAGGGCTGGGTATATTTTGCTGTATGCCAACCACCTTATCAAGTGGTGTTGCCCTTACTCACGTACTCGGTTTGCATATTTGTCCAATCAACATTTTTGTGCATTATTTGCTTTTTCTTGCGTTCTCCACTGACTTATCAAATTGCCAATTCAGCTTGCTGGGGGAAATTCTGCTCTTGCTCTTGCGATGACTGTAGCATCCAACTTATTAGGAATTTTAACTGTAAGTTGACTTTCTTGCATATTATTGTTCCCCCTTCGAAACCACAAGTTGATCATGCTGAATCAAGGACATTTCTAGTCAGATTGTTTCCTCGTCTATTTAAGCATTTTGTATTCTAAACCTCTACTGGCAAACTCTGTTTCTATGATTTTTTTTTTTTTTTCTTTCTGCTGTTAAGAACGAGTATTATGATTTCAGCTACTGAATCTAAATGGTTGGCCTCTTACCAGATTCCGTTTTGGGTATCAAGATACATAGCCGGAGGAGTAGGGGTTTCTTTTCCTACTGACCAACTTTTCAGAAGTCTTATAGTTACTCTGTTAATTCCTTTAATCATTGGCAAGGTGAGACGATCTTTCTGTTTTGTCCTACTTTTTTTGTGCTTGCAATGATGAATCTATTTCAAATTTTGCTATATGGTACAATTGTGAGCTCTTAATTTTTAGTGGTTGTTGTTGTCAAAAGCTATATGAATGCTTTATTGGAAAGTTTAAGAGGGTTTGTTGGAAACCTTTGGTAATTCCTTCACATTAGGTCTCATATTCTCTCTGTTTTTGTTTGCCTATTTGATTAATCTCTCATTAAGGACATGTTGGATGTGACTGGTTACGTTCTCTGATAATTCTATGAACCTTTTGGAGCTTAAAGTTCTATTACTTACCATTTTGCACTCGTCATTACAAGTCGGACTTTTGACATATTTCGGTTTTATCTGTTATAGGTTATTCGAGAATCATCCAAAGGTGAGCTTCATTTGCTATCTTTTCCCTTTCTGGTGAAAGTAAATGAATATCTAAACATTTGATTTTCATCTGCTATAGTTTTGGAGACGGCACTTTATATTAATAATGGATCAGAATGGTTCTTTTTATAATATAGGTGCTTTTATCGCTGCCAACTCAATCTTGTTGAAATGTGTGGTACAGGTTTCGCAAACTATATTGACAACAATCGTAAACTCTTTTCGAAAATCAACGCAATCTGCCTCAGTTTGGTAAGATATAAAATGTTAGTCTTACATAGTCTCTTAGTATGATATTTTATCATAAAATTCCTTGGCACTGATGTGCCAATCCAAGGCTTATATCATATGGCAGAAACCATATTTGCAGTTATGGGTATGACTTGTTTAAGGATAAATTGACCTTTGCATAATAGTTTAACCTCTTGTTCTCTGTCTACTTCGAATGGTCTGACTTTGTTATTGCATTTATCTGTTTTTTTGGAGTTAATAGCATTTTTATCGCATGATACCATACTAGGTACCATGGATCCAAGTGAGCAGGTCAAGATCACTGCTACTATCCGTGAAGCCTAAGGTTTTTCTTGCCGCCGTTGGCATTGGAATGTAAGCATTCTTCTTTAACATGTGTCGTTTTACTAATAACATGTAAACATGGGTGGTTGTTATGAACATTATATCAAAGGTGCAAAGAGAATATACTTGACTGGAAAATGGGAAAGTCGTATTGACAGAAGGATCTTACGTGTTTTCACAGATTGCTGCATCTTTCTCTACTAGCATTCAATGCTATTTCAATTCGCATACTCTCAGTTGCTTCAGGTGATGGTAGGAACTCCAAGGAAAACGCCACAGCAGTCTTGCTCGTTGCAAGCCAGGTAATGAATTGATATAAAGTTTGCCTTGAGCACTGAATTTTATCTCATCATTTGAAAGTCATGGCTCGGTCTCTTTCATAGAAAACATTACCGGTAATGGTGGCGGTTGTGGAACAATTACGAGGTGCATTTGGTGAATCAGGGCTTTTGGTTCTTCCTTGTGTAGCTGCACACTTAAACCAGGTTTAAAGTTGTATATATTGCATCTTCCATTATGATACATACCTTTTGTGTGCGTACTCTTATTAATATTGACAATATACTTGCCCCAATGTATGTTTGTTTAGATCATGATCGATTCAATTCTTGTCAACTTATGGCTCCGGACTGGTAATGCGGCTTCAACTGATGTAAAGACAGCCTGAGAGAGAGAGAGATGGAAGCAATGAAACCAAATGTTGACATACACCATTTTGCATTCTTAATTATCACATATTTACAGTGTATTTTTTTTTTTTTGTTAATCAATAATATATGTTAACATATCGGTTTTTTATGGTTTGAAAAAATATTCATCAGCAAAAATATTAGAAATAGAAAAATATGATTGCTAGCTACAGTACATGAATTATATATGGTGACATAGTATTCACTTTTTTTTTTTGTTGACAAAGAAAGGATTTACATTTTGGTTTTGGGTTTATAGCTTTTCCAGTAGAATTTTTTCTTTTCTTTTTAAAATTAAATAGTAATTTGTTTGTACCTTTTTTTTGTTTTTGTTTTTATGTGTAAGAAACAAAACTGATGCATATCTAGAGTTTATCACTTTGATAAAAATTCCCTATAAAATATTTTTATTTTTGATAGAAGAAAAATTGTCAACGATGATGTTATATTAAATTTTGGTCCTTTGTCGTATATCTGATTATTGTTATCTTCAGAAAAAGGAAAAAAAAAATTAAACAAAAAACTATCGGTGGAAAAAAAAAGGAAAAGGTTCCCAGGAATAGGGTTTTTGAGTTTCTCGATAATTTGTGAAAACAGACACAGAAACCTTCTGAGTTCTGACGGCTGCTCCGTTACTTTCATCAAAGCATTTCCGAGTATCTTTACCATCTCCGTCGTCTCAATCCAGGTAATTTCTTTCTTCTTCATCTTCTCTATCATCTTTACCATCTCCGTCGTCTCAATCCATGTTCGAGTCTGTGTCTGTGACACATGTGTGAGTTGTCTTCTAAATCTGACTTTAGACATGTTTTTTCCCCGTAGAATTATTATGTTGTTGTAATGGATTGATTTGTTTCTTCTTCTTCAATCAATTAGATTCAATTTGGCTTCTTCTTCTTCTTCAATCAATTTCATTTCTCAGCTTGCTTACTTTTTGGTGTATCAGGTCCTTGTATTAAGCTCTCCCGCTAAAGAAAGATGACGTCTCGTTTTTTCGCTCAGGTTTCTATCCTTCATACCTTGTTTACGTTTCACCATAGTCTTGCTTTTTGCTTCAGTCTCTTAATGAATTCCTTGCTGTCTTCTGTTCACAGGGTGGAAGTGAAAGTGAAGATGAGAGTGATTTCGAAGAAGAGATCCAGGAGGTTCAGAATAACGACATCAATAACCGTTACCTTCAAGATGGCAGTGTCTCCGATGATGAGCTCGATACTAAACGTGTCATTAAGCCTGCAAAGGATAAGCGTTTCGAGGAGATGACCAACACTGTGGATCAGATTAAGAATGCCATGAAGATCAATGATTGGGTTAGCCTTCAGGAAAACTTTGATAAAGTCAACAAGCAGCTTGAGAAAGTTATGAGGATCACAGAGGCTGTCAAGGCTCCGACTTTATATATCAAAACCCTTGTGATGCTGGAGGATTTCATGAATGAATCTCTGGCGAATAAGGAAGCGAAGAAGAAGATGAGCACTAGTAACTCCAAGGCTTTGAACTCAATGAGACAGAAACTGAGGAAGAACAATAAGCTGTACGAGGAAGATATCAATAAATATAGGGAGGCTCCAGAAGTTGAGGATGATAATGAACCAGAAGAGGAGGATGAAGAAGATGAGGAAGAGGAGGATGAGTCTGAGGACGATGTTAACGAAGAGGATGAGTCTGGAGAGGAGGTGGAGGAACCTGCTGATAATCGCTGGGAGACGATGCTAAACAAAAAAGATAAGCAAATGGAGAAGCTGCTTAGTAAAGATCCTAAAGACATCACTTGGGACTGGGTCAACAAGAAGTTCAAAGAAATCCTGGCTGCTCGTGGGAGGAAGGGAACTGCTCGGTTTGAGCTTGTTGATCAGCTTACACACTTGACAAAGATTGCCAAGACTCCTGCGCAGAAGCTCGAAATCTTGTTTAGCGTTATTTCGGCACAGTTTGATGTGAATCCAGGTCTCAGCGGACACATGCCTATCAAAGTCTGGAAGAAATGCGTGCTGAACATGCTCACCATACTGGACATTCTTGTCAAGTACAATAACATTGTTGTGGATGACTCGGTTGAACCTGATGAGAATGAAACTTCAAAGCCAGCAGATTTTGATGGAACAATTCGGGTCTGGGGAAATTTGGTTGCATTCATAGAGAGGATCGACACTGAGTTTTTCAAGAGCTTGCAGTGCATTGATCCTCACACCCGTGAGTATGTTGAGAGGTTGAGGGATGAGCCCATGTTCTTGGCCCTAGCTCAGAACATCCAGGACTACTTGGAGCGGATGGGTGATTATAAAGCTGCTGCAAAGGTAGCCTTAAGACGAGTTGAGTCAATATATTACAAGCCCCAGGAAGTTTACGATGCTATGAGGAATTTGGCTGAGTTCATTGAAAAAGATGAAGAAGCTGAGGAGGCCGAAGAGGAAAATGGACCTCCTTCTTCATTCATTGAAGTTCCAGAGGTCGTTCCCCGTAAGCCTACCTTCTCAGAGAGCAGCAGAGCGATGATGGATCTTCTTGTCTCCCTTATCTACAGAAATGGAGATGAGCGAACCAAAGCCCGTGCAATGCTATGTGATATCTATCACCATGCTTTAATGGACAACTTTGTGACTGCTAGAGACTTGTTGCTGATGAGTCATCTCCAAGACAACATTCAGCACATGGACATCTCAACGCAGATTCTCTTTAACAGGACCATGGCACAGCTTGGTCTTTGTGCCTTCCGGGCTGGAATGATCACCGAGTCCCATAGCTGCCTCTCCGAGCTGTACTCTGGTCAAAGAGTGAGGGAGTTGCTTGCCCAAGGTGTCTCGCAAAGTCGATATCATGAGAAGACACCAGAACAGGTAATTAATTATGTTCTGTTTTTAAATCTTCCAACACAATAGCATGTGAAAAAAAATGGTTTGATCATATAGTGTGAGTACAGCATTACAAACACTATAATTCTGACGGTATGAGTCAACTATATAAAGCACTAAATTTATAGTAGCTAATATATTCTGTTGCATTTCAGGATTTTTTTGTTTCCTTTTCATCAAAATTATTTTCTATTTCTATATGGATGCTTATGATATAAACAAATTTTGATTTTACCAGGAAAGGATGGAAAGGAGAAGACAAATGCCGTACCACATGCACATCAACCTCGAGCTCCTGGAGGCTGTTCACCTCATCTGTGCCATGCTTCTTGAAGTCCCAAACATGGCAGCAAACTCGCTTGAAGCAAGACGCAGAGTGATTAGCAAGAATTTCCGTCGCCTGCTTGAGATCAGTGAGAGGCAAGCCTTCACTGCACCGCCTGAGAATGTACGTGACCATGTCATGGCAGCCACCAGAGCCCTGACCAAAGGGGATTTCCAAAAGGCGTTTGAAGTTTTGAACTCTCTTGATGTCTGGAGACTGCTCAAGAACCGGGACAGCATCCTCGATATGGTGAAAGCTAGGATCAAAGAAGAGGCTCTAAGGACTTACCTATTCACATACTCGAGCTCCTACGAGTCCTTAAGTCTTGATCAGCTGTCTAAGATGTTTGATGTCTCTGAAGCTCAGGTTCACAGCATTGTGAGCAAGATGATGATCAATGAGGAGCTTCATGCAAGCTGGGACCAGCCAACACAATGCATTGTCTTCCATGAAGTGCAACACAGCAGACTACAATCATTGGCTTTTCAGTTAACCGAGAAACTCTCGGTTTTGGCAGAAAGCAATGAAAGGGCAATGGAGTCTAGAACCGGTGGAGGTGGTCTTGATCTGAGTTCAAGGAGAAGGGACAACAATCAGGACTATGCAGGAGCGGCATCAGGTGGTGGCAAATGGCAGGACAACATGAATTATGGACAAGGAAGACAAGGTAATAGATCTGGATATGGTGGACGATCGTCTGGACAGTCTAGAGAGTGGTCTGGCCAGAACAGAGGAGGAGGGTATGTAGGAAGAGTTGGTTCAGGAAACAGAGGTGGTATGCAAATGGATGGCTCAAGCCGTATGGTGAGTCTTAACCGTGGTGTTCGTGCTTAATGAGGATGAAGAGAAATCTTCAAGCAGTGTTGACCTTGGGAGCTCTTTTAAGACATTCTGTTATGTTTTTTGTTTGTCGTTGGTTGATTTTTGGATCTTTTGCTTAAGAACATTGAATTACTTGATTCTCTGCAAATGGTTTAAGCTAATGTAGGGAAAAACTTGTTTCAGACTCGTTGGAGAGTTTTGTTTTGTTCACAGCTTCAGCCGACTCATATGTAACAGATTCGCCAAAATTTTGTGCATTTTTTGTTTTGATCTTGGCCTCTGCGACTGAGTCTCTGCCTTTCTCACTTTACAAATGTAACAATCTGGACTGATATACATATACTCAAACTTCGTCCTATGATTTGCAAAATTAAAAGCTAAACCCAAACGCACTCGTGTCCTAAGTTGTGAATCTTCCGTAATAGACTGCGATTGCTGTTTCATATCATTTTATGGTCAAACCACAAGCTCGCTGTTCTTCTATTCAATCTCAGTTTAAGAGTAGCAACAATACATCAATACAAGAACAACATCATATTATATGGTTCCAACAAATAACTAAGAAGTCACACACCTAACCATCAAAGAAGAGGAACGTTTTTAGTACAATACTATTATATATAAGGGAAACTATGTGCATTTAAACATTGTCCGTAGTACCTATTTCAATCTACTATGTGCTTGAGACAAGAACCTGAGTGCATCTTCCATGCAAGGACGGTCAGACTGGTTACTCGTTATGCAGAGAAGTGCGACCTCAACCACTCTTTTAACTTCTCCTTTTTCAATATCACTCACTTTGTTTTCTGCGTATACTTCTTGTAGAAGAACATCCTTTGGCTTGTTGTGCATCAACCTGCCGGCATCCCTCAGCTTACCATTTGCTAAGATTTCCAAAATAAGCTCTCCAAAGTTGTAAATGTCTTTTTGCTGCTCCGCTCTTATTACATCGTTCATCTGATCTGCTTTCAGAGAGTTTCATGTTAGGAATAATAATAATGCTTCTGCTAAGAAATTTTGTGTTTGTCTCTATATACCGTCATGGTTAGTGTACCTGTGTTTGCAGTTGAAGAGACCAAGACTTTGTTCAACTGTAGCATGTATTTGAACCCAAATTCTCCCAAGCAAGGTTCCATGTTATCTTCATCGAATAAAATGTTAGTCGACTTCACATCTCCATGTGGAATTGCAGGGTAGCATTCATGGTGAAGGAAGCAAAGTCCCTTTGCAACTCCAGTGATGATCCTCTTCTTAGTTGCCCAATCTCTCTTCTTGGTCCTCATCTTCTCAGCCAAAGTCCCGGTATGCAGGTTGTTATCATACAATACATACACAAGATGATTGTTGTAACAAAAACCGAGCAATCTCACCAGATTCACGTGTCTTGCATTCCCCATCTGCGTTAAAACTTTCAACATAACACCCTTGTTCTTGCCTTGAAGTTGGACCTTTCTCACTATCACTGTTATTCCCGTTGGCAGAACTGTTTTGCACACCGAGGCTGATATTTCGGGAACCGTTTCTTCTGTAGGTTCAGGTGAACCGAAGCTCCTCAAAACATCATCTGCTGTGAAATGAGGGAGTCCAGCGAAAGACACCATCTTCCATTGACCTTGACTTCTTTGATGAACATAGTACAACCCCAAAGTTCCAGTTGCAATTAGCACAACCGAGACTAGACAAGCTAGCAGAACAGAGACGAGCTTCCTCGAGCTGTAACCTGCACATGATTTCAGAGGACGTCCACACAGGTTTGCATTGCCCTCATATGCATGTTTCCCCATTGATTGAAACACTTTGTCAGATGGGATGGGACCACTCAAGTTATTGTCTGACAAATCCAAAACTGTCAGATGTGGAAGCTTTGCCAATGCCTCAGGAATCCCACCTGTCATGATATTTCCAGCTAAATCCATCTTCTGAAGAGAGCGGCAAGCGGAAACAGCTGGTGTTAAAACCCCTGATATGTTGTTATTACTCAGTTCAACAACAGTGATGGATTTGCAGGTTTCAAATTCAGGGAGATCTCCGGAGATACCGCAAGAGGACGCAGAGAAGTTGTGAAGACGCGGCAAGGACCAAATCTCCGGTGGAAGTTTGCCTCCTAACTGAGGGTTATTGGAGATATTGAAGTATTCAAGCTTTGTAGCTTTGGAGATATCTTGAGGAATGCCTCCTGTGAGTTTGTTTCTAGAGAGGTCTATGTAGGAGATATCAGGAAGCTGGCTAAAGCTAAAAGGGATCACACCTGAGAATGAATTATCTTCAAGACGGATACGAACAAGCGTGGAACAATTGGAGAGAGATGGAGACAGAGTTCCAGTGAAGTTGTTGGAGAAGAGCATGAGCTTGAAAAGAACACCTCTTGAGCAAATACCTTGTGGGATCTCACCTTGGAAACTGTTGGTGGAAACGTCGACCCATCTGAGCTTTGAGTTAGTCCCCAAGCTTTTTGGAAGTGAACCAGAGAAGTAATTGTTCCATATGAAGAGAGTATCCAAAGAAGGAAGCTGAGCAATTCCTTCAGGGAGAGTCCCACTCAATTCATTGTACATAAGACTCAACAGCCTGAGATTCTTCAAACCTGCAAAGCTCTCTGGTATGGTTCCTGAGAGACGGTTGTCTGAGAGGTCTAAGTTAACAAGAGAAGTGACTTGTCCAAGCTCCCATGGGATTTCCCCAGAGAGATGGTTCCTAAAGAGGAACAAAGACTCAAGCTTTGTCAGATTGCTGAAATGCTTAGGTAAGAAGCCAGAGAGATTGGCTCCGGCGATGTCGAGGTACTTGAGCTCACTCATGTAACCGATTTGCCAAGGGATCACTCCTTGGTACGAGTTATATCCAATCTCCATGTGAGTCACAGTTTTCAGGTTCCCAAGCTCTTGTGGAATGTGCCCACTAAGTAAATTCCCACCAAGATGAAGAAACTCGAGATTCTTAAAAGATCCGTATTGACTCGGAATCGACCCAGTAAAGTAACTCCCAGCGAGATTAAGTACCTTGAGATTCTCTAACCGAGAGAGATCGACCGGCAACGAGCCGGAGAAGCTGTTGCTCAAAGCATCGAGCTTTATCAGATTCGTGAGGGATGAGACACCGTCTGGGAAACGACCGGAGAAGTTGTTTTGGCTTACGTCAAGGCTCCTGAGAGTAGTGATGTTGAAGATCTCTGCAGGAAACTCGCCGGAAAACGAGTTGTCGCTGATGTTGAGTTCGAGGAGGTCGGTGAAGACGGAGAATTGCTTGCCGGGGAAATTTCCGGCGAGATTCTTGGAAGAGAGGTCGAGGGAGATAACGGAGGTGGAGTTTTGGTTGCATCGGACACCGGACCAAGAACAACATGCGAGTTTGGTGTCGGAAACTCCGGGAGTGACAATGAACCAGTCTTTTAAGGAGTTGGAATTGTCGGTGACTTGAGATTTTAAGGTGAGGAGGGACTCTGTTTGAGGGTCAGCTGCTTCTGCTTCTGACATTGAAGTGAGGAAGAGGAAGAGATGGAAGTAAGCACAGAGTTTATGCTTAGACTCCATTGGAGCTGGAAGAGGAAGAAGAAGGAGGGAGAGAGAGATCCAGTGAGGAGGCAAAATCGAAAAAGAAACAAGATCACAAGAAAAATGAAGAATCTGACAGTGGAAGAGAGGCGAAAAGAAAGAAATTCATGGGGAAGTGTGCTCTTTAGTGAAAAGCTGGGCGCATTGATTGGTCTAAAGTGAAATATTATTTATTAGTTTCTTTCTTCCTTGATTGACAAAAAGGAAAGGCTAAAATAGTTTCTCTTTTGAATATATAAACGTTTTCTTGTTATTCTTTCTTTTTTTTTTGAATAATGATCTCACATTTATAGGGATTAAGAAGCAGCGAAATTCCTAATTACATAGCATGTCGAGGTCAGAGTTCAGGCAGACGGTACTATTGTCGTTTGAGATATTTGGTTACGTGCGAATCGCTTTACTTGAAAAAAAGAAAAATAAATAACCGTAAGTTTGAGCAGCAAACTAAATATAAATTCAAATTCTCAAGTATTCGTTTATTCAATGCTTATTATGTAGATTGCTAATTCATACGTTGGAAGAGTTAATCTAGACAACAAACGAAAACGTACACATAAGTAAGTCCCATTACTGAATGCACTTCTCTTCTTCTTGGTTCTGATTTGTAGTAGTAGTCAATGACAAGGGTTCTGATTTCCTGGATGTGGCTGCATCTATCAAAGCCGGACAATGATTCAGTCTTCGTTCTGCAGTTTAATGTCCTTGATAGAGAGAAGGCGCATCCTGTGAGGAAGGCTCTTCTACTGCAAGTAAAGTCCAAATCAATAAACAGTATATTAGTGGAATTTGAAAGTATATACTAGTGGAATTTGGAACAGAACAGATAGTAAGTTTTGTGAAATGTACCTGGGCCAATGAACGTTCACGAACCTATACACAACTAATTTCGAGTCCACCCATCATTCATTGCTGCATCAGTACAGGGTACTTATCAAGAATATGAACAAAGTATACCAAGATTTGATTTCGAGCTCACAACATTTGCAGGTACGAGTACAGACAACATATTTAGGTATGTAACTGTTACTTATCAGAAATTGATTTTGAATCACATGAAGGTCTTCAAAGTATTTCTTTAATCAATACCTACACTGCACTGCACAGACAAGTATCCTGAAATTTTGCTCTCTGTATCTATAGTAACCACCATGAAGCCTCGTTGACAAACCCTTTAACTCCATAAACAGCGTACAAGATGCTAATAATGCAGCCATATCATATATAAGAGTTTCGCCAAAATTTTGTGGATCTTCTCGTTCTATACTACGTAATCACTTTTTGAACCATTTCTTATGCCCAGCTGAGATATCATCTACTACTCTGCTTAAAAGTATTTTTTCAACTAAAGAGTTTTACAGCTTCCCATCATCCTAGACAAATGACTGCTTTTAAGTACAAAGAAACAATAAGAGAAAAGCAATCGACCCATTAGGAGGAACTCATGGTAGATCAGCAGGACTAACGTGGATTCATGAAGAAAATAGAACTATATTGAAACCATCACTATCTCCAAGAAGCACAAATACAAACATGAAACTTAAAATTATGAAATCGTGCTCATCGCAACGACCTAAAGCTTTTGGAAAACAACTATTAATTGATAACTACTGGGGTAGCCTCACCAGTATCATTGATTATCGAGCTTGTCAATACTGTCCTCTTCAGTAGCATTACGCTCCACCGTAGATTCTTCCAAAGCCTCCGGAACTTCCTTAGAGGCTGGGATGCTTTTCTGAGTCTGTAGACCCGTAGAGCGTGCAAGATCAATCCATTGCTGCAACAATTTTATGAAAAGTTGGGATCAAGATAAAAGAACTCCCAAAAATAAACAAAAGAATAGGTCGGCACATTATGCTTAAAAAAGAAAAGAACATAAAGAAAAGCAAGAGGAAACCAAATAACAGGCATCTAACTCTGACCTGCGTTCCGAAATATGAGTTAAGCGTCCTGACAACAAATGAAATCATATTTACAAGTAGAGGTTGAGAAGAAAGCTCATCAGATATACGATGCTCTATTAATCCAGCAATTATCTGCATTCAAAGACACTTTGATGTTAGAGGCATAAATTAAATCGAAATGTCCTTCATCAACGCTCCTCCTTAACTACGACGAAGAAGTTACATACATACACCAGCACTATCAAGCAGCATGGATCATCATACCTGGTAACGAAGATTTGCAGATGTCCCCAGAAAACCTCCATAAACCATTGCCGTTTTCAGAAGAGGAGATCTCTTAGGTTTCTTAGCAACAACAACCAACTCTGGTTTAATGAATTTTCGAACAGCATTTAACGCATTTGACGCTCCCACGGCTGCAAAACTGGAAACGACTCCAACACCAGCAAGCTTCAAGCCACCAACTATAACTGAAGCAACTCTAAGATTCAAATTCCATTCTCTTCCAGCAAGACTTTTTTGAAATGCATTATCAGGTATGGATCCTAGGAGGCCTCTCAGGGCGTCTATGCTGTCTGGTCCAGTGGTCTCATCAGCATATGAAAGAAAAGACAAAGTTGGTGCAGGAAGCCATACTGTGAAAAAATCAACAACTGATCCTCTGACTGTATCAGTTATTACATAGTCGAGTTCTTCAAAGAAATTCTCTTTTCGCTTCTCATATTGTGCTAAAAGTGTAGTTGTTATTGATATAGCCTCTTCGATAGCTAACCTATTCAAGAATTTCGGATCTGCCAACAACCTTTCTCGGAAACCCTGCATCACAAATTCACAGTGAATCATAATTGAAATTCCGCTTCACTATTCAAATTTATCATTAACTCTAAGAGATAGAAATTGGACACATAATGTTGATGACTGATATGCAAAAATCTCTAAAATATTATAGAACACAAAGCATATATACTCCAAGCAAAAACTCCCAAAGAAATATCACCCAGAATGGACATACCTGGAACCGCTGAGCAAGCTCAGAAATAAGAGGATACTGCTCCAAATCAAACAAATTCTGTAGAACCTCGGGTGACACCAAACCAAGGTCCAATCCATTTTGAATATCCTGGAGGCATGGAAAAGATTACATCACTATGAACTTATGACATATAAGCTTGAGTCAAAGTTTAGCTCAAAAGAGAAAAGAATAGAACTGCTTAGTAAGAAGATTGATAAGAGATATTCATATACAAGGGTGCAAATAGTCAATGTCATGAAAGCATCCACTTGAAATCTACCTGTGGAAGAGCATCTCGCCTCCTGCCAGCTGCATTCATTACTCGAGCGATCTCTGCTCGGTCAAAGCAGTTTCTACTGCAGGGTCTCGCTGCAGAATACCACAAGAAATCAGCAACTGGACTTTCGCCCTCTCTTCGCAGGTACTGTCTTTCGGGGTCAAGTAATACAACAACTTGGTTTTTCTTTGGAAACTTCCTTGAGATCCTTGCTGGCAACCCTGTCCCTCTTGAACCATACTCAACATGACTAGCCCCTGTCACCACTAATAGTAGACCAGTCCCACCTCCATCTGCAACTGCTTGTAAAATAACTTGTGACATTGTATGGTCTTCCACAACTCTTGCTTGTGCAGACAAATAAGAGCTTGGTCCAAACGGAACAATCTGTGTTGGGAGGTTCATATCGAATGTAGATCTACGTGAAAATGAAGAAAATCCTGAGATAAACCCAGAACCAGCAGGGGGAGTGTATAATTTACGCTCAGACTTTGAAAGACCACGGATACCCTCTGCTTGGACAGTTCTTAAAATCTACATCAGATTAAGTAGAATACCGTCAGCCTAGTTGAAATGGTCAAAGCTAGACTCATGCCACTAACACATCAAAATTTACTTAGTCCCACAAACTTCAAGCAAAGAGAAATCAACAGTTATTATATAGAGCATTGCGTTGCATTGAAAACCAAACCAAACCAAACTATACAAGACTTTACCTTGAGAGGAGTGCCGCAGGCAATTAGTCTAACCGCGTTATCACGACAATATGTTAAAAGGGGCTCATATTCTTGCCAGCGTTGAGCTGGCCAATGTGTCACATAAGACTTCAACGTCTCTCCCTCCATCCTGCCACCATAATTACCATAGACGATTTTCATTTCCAGTAACGAACGCGCCAAACAGTATTCACGATCATAAAACTTAAGAGCTGCAATCTCGAAGTTGCATCCAAATTGTCCTCTCTTTTTTCAAGATTAAACATCATAGTTTACTACAGAAGAAAACTGAAACCAGAAATGCACGAAAAGGCGTCTCTTGTACTACATTGAGAATAGAAGATACGATGAAAGCTGCACCAAAGCTAAAAAAGAATACTCGTAGAAAGAAAGTGGAAAAATAAAAAACCTCTTATCCATGTACTGATTAAGCTGGTCCTGCAAATCGAGAGGGAAAGCTTCCAGTGCCACAGAGATTTGACGCTCGCTCTCGACGCATCTTTTCCTCAGGTTTCTAACGATTTCGAGTTCAACTTCCTTGTCGTCTTTGGTAGGAACCTGCTCCGCCTCGCCGAGGTACACGACCCTTGCATTCATCAGCTTCTCCCACACCTTCTTCTTATCTTTGCCCAAAGCCATCGGTTCACCAATCGCCGTTGCGTCATAAATCCTCGAGGTTATAGTCTCTTCCTTATTCACGGATGTAGGCGGCGGTGGAGTAGTAACGGCCGGAGGGGCTGCTGATTCTGCAGGCGGAGTCACTGTAGCGGACGAGCTCTCCTCCTCGGAGGCTAAAGAGACAGACGGCTTGAGAAACAAGGAAGCAGCGGCGGAGAGGAGTGGCGGCGCGAGGAGAAGAGCGCGGCGAGAGAAGGCGGTTCGGGATGGGTGATCGGAATCGGGATGAGCCGCGACGGATAGAGAATTGTTCTTCCTAGTGAGGTTGATCGGAAGATGAAGGCCATGGAAACGGCGGCGGCGAGGACGGGAGGAGGAGGAGGAGGAGGAGCATGGGCAGTGAAGTGATGGTTGAGAAGCGAAGAGATCATTTGTGCTGAGTTTCATTCTCAGAGAAGAGAACTCCGTTTGTACACGTCAGCTAACTCCATACATCGCTCTAGCGATAGAAATCATAGAATTAACTCTATTTCTTTCACCGCCAAAAGCCTAAAAAACATTCGTCATTTTTCTTCTGAATTTTTTAGTATTGATTTTTTTTTTTTTAATGAAACGTTTGTTGATTGATAATTGGGGAAGATAAGGTAGATAGCCACGTCATTCTCTCATTTTTTCTGGAGGTGAAAATCCATATAAAAGACGAACCCCAATCCGATAAAGTTTACGTTCCAAAGTTCAGCAATTAACTGATCACATTCTCCATACAAATGATGAAATCAAAATAGATTCTCAAACCTCTTTGTCTTTGCAATCAACCGAACTACATTCTCCTCAAAAGAAAGATAAGAGAAGATGAATAGTACAATCTCTCGGGAATGAGAAGATGATTATTAATTTGCTGTGGAATTGGGGGCTCAAGAAACCACCAATCATCAATGGATGTTGATATCATGGAACGATGGCAAGACCGCAACGAGAGGCTCCCCATAACCTACGGTGTCTGTTTGCATATGAAAGCATGAGTTTATCTCATAATTCATATTAACTGTAACGATTTTTAATACACAACAATGTTTTACCTCCATCATCTGAAAGAAGCTTGAGGACCTCGCCAGCTACATCCGACTGTTCCATAAATAGCAAGATCGATGAGACCAATTTGATAGTATTAAGGAAAATATGGATACATTAGTTAAGCTCTTACCTTAACTGGAAGTTCTGTTCCTAACTGATGTAGGTATCCAATAACTTGGCCTTCCTTTATTGCATCACCCTGCAAGAAATTATTTGCTTAGGATGTGGCAATCTTTGTTCTATTTGCCTTGGGAGTTGAAAGTGAGTTTAGAGTTGTTTTACCTCTTTGCAGCTAGGAGGTTGTTTCTTTCCTTTTACGGTTCTGCTCCTCTGAAACTTACCCACCTTTTTGAAAGAGAAGAGACAAGATCAGATCAATCAAGAAGAATGCATAGAAAGGGATATGAAAAAACAATTACTTAATTAAGAGGTGGATCTCATACTGAGGGAGATGTGACTAGAACATAATTGTTAGTTCCAGATGCCTCCAAAGCAGACAACTTTGATGATTTCCGATAGGATACATTCATAAATGGAGACACTTTTTCAGAGGCAGGTTTTGCTTTAGATGGGCTAGGAGCAGCAGAAACAGATTTATTCATGGGTTCAGAAGGAATAGGAGGCGCTATTGTTGGAGAAATGTCAGCCACGGGAATAGGGTTTGCGGTCTCTCCAATCTTCCGCTTTAGGTTCATCTCGAAATCTCCAACCTGTAGAGAAAGAAAGCATCAGAGATTGTGAATTGTTGGAACCTACGATTACAGTTATCATCCAGCCACAAGTCAAATTAGCTCATATATTGTTGGTTGTAGTAACATGCACTAGTCTTCTAGGGCGCGTTAGAGAACGGTTCATAATAATGCCAGAGAGACTTGCCTTAAGTTTCAGCACTGCAACCTCAGTCTCATCACACATCTCGTGAACCAGTGCCTGTAACATTTGAAAACAAAATAAACATACAATTCATCGAACAACATATAGAGGCCGCTCCATAACATCATGTGGAAAAATAAAAGAGTAGATTGCCTGAAGTTATGCATCCAAAAATCCTGACGATCTAGAGAGTGCATATAGGACATTGTCAACTCAGTACCTAGCAACGCATAAGCTAAAGAACCTAACATCTAAACCCAAAGAAGGCAAAGAAGAAACCTCCACTTCTTTTGGGAAAGTTGTCCGTCGAACAGTATTCTTCCCGTTAGACACACAAGCATCAGATGAATCTACAAAATCAAAGATGAACAAAACGTTCAAATATCTACAAAATCTAGAGAACCACATGTTCCGATATTTCACATCACTCTATTCTGGCTCCAAGATTAGTAAGATTAATAGTGAAAGATAAACTCACCATCGCTTTTGGTTGTTGTCGAAGATTTAGAGGCCTCTGCACGTAACACAAGCGTGAAATTGCTGTTCCTGTTGAATAATCTCCACCGTGGCACACAAGAGTTACCAGAGGAAGACCAGTTCCCAGAAAGCGAGTGAACCTTACTCTCTGATTTTATGGCGGACCCTAAAGTCTCTGTAAAATGCAGCGAGACAAAATTCACGATTAAGACTAAATCTACATTCTTCTAACTGCAAACCACCTCAAGAAAAAAACCAATGGAAACATCTCTGCGATAGACAAGAAACGAATCTGATACGAATCTAACTGCACTCACCAAATACCAAAGCGCACAAATACAAAAATCGGATCTATCTAAACATGAAATCCTCAGAAAGTATCCGTCTCCTGTCACTGAATATTAAAATTCTAAGAAGCAGCAGAGTGCTAGCGAATCGCTCGAATCAATTGCATTCCATTCCGTATCGAAATTTCAATCATCCTCGTGAAACCAACAATTAAAAAAACGAAGGAAGAAAAATAAAACCCCAGAGGGTGAGAGAGACTCACGATGGAGAGATCCGAGAGCTGCAGAAGACTCCATTGGAGGAAGTGAAGTAGAGAGGAGAAAGTTTTTTTTTGGTTTGATTTGACGCGAAAATGGGTGGGTTCGTTAGTCTAAGATTCGATTGAAGAAGATGACGGTTGGCCAATTTAATTTTGAGCGGCCTTCTTTGGTAACTCCGTCCGCTGCAGCTACCGGAACTATTCTGTCTAACATGTGCCCGGATTTATATAAGCGTACTTTAGTGTGACAGTATTTTCAAAGTAACTGTTTTGCAGTTTTGCTTTTGTTAAAACTCTTCAGCATCTTCAGACTTTTTTTTTGACTTAAGTATCATAATGTGCCAATGGAATCAACAAACAATACTGATTAGCGTGAAACCAAAAATGTAGCATCTCATTCATTACTGATCCCTGATATTTTATGATACCAAAAAACAAATGAAAAAAAAAACTAAAAAAACCGAGCAGATGTTCTTGATTCTTCTCTCTTCCCAAAAATGTCTTGTTAGTCTTCTTGCCTCAAACATGCTTCAGGTAGTCTAAAGCTTAGGCAATACATCGCCTGCAATGCACACACACAGAACAACAACAACAAAAAAAACCAGTGAGGAGCTATGGATGATATATCTGAATGTTCTATCAAAAATTCTCTCTTTTTTTTCTAAGACGGAACAATGGGAACTTCTTACCTTGTTTGGCGCAACATCTCTGACCTTGTGGAAGACAGGGTCTTCTATATGGAACTTCAACGCAGTTTCAGCTTCCTTAATAATATCACAAAAGCTGTAATTTAGATTTCTGAGGCATGCAAAAATATGCCAGCAGATATTTGCTACAAAGAAGCAATAATGAAGAAACACAGTCACGCGGAAATAACAGAAGAGAGTGGAAGGTTGTTTCTTACTGCAATTATAGACTCTGTGGTTTCGCTTGCACGTATGAAACAATAGCAATGAATTAAAGGAAGAGTTCCCTTCCAATACTTCCTTTGAATAACATTACTGAAAGCATCTGCACAAAACCATTACAGGGCAAAAGCACATTAGCAGCATGATAACAACAAAACCTAATATCCTTTATTACTCTAACAAGCATCGATACATGATTCATCTCCTATTTATAATGATCCCACTTCTAATTATGTAGTTGATGAACTCTCTTATCACATAGTAATGTAACAATCAGTCAATATCGCTATTAATGAGCTGCAGTTTCTTACGTAAATTCCTTGAAAGTATACACAAGACTATAGTCCCAAATTTTGAACAAAAATCTAGAATCACTGGTACCATACCGAGAAACTCCAAGGCAGAAGCTGGAAGGTTCATTATAACGTGGTCGATATGTTCCCACGGCTTTGCGATTGGAAGCAACGTTTGTTTCAGCTTCTTATTAGTGTTTCCTTCTGTAGTCTTGCAATCTTTCCCTACCCCGTTTTCTGCATTTACTTAACAGCTCAGTGATGATTCCTAAGGCACTGTTAACTGTTAGAATGTGTTGGAGAAACCTTCGGAGAAATTTTCTTACCTGTCTTTGAAAGACCAGATGGCTTCTTATCAGCACCAAGAGGCTCATTTATGCTTGCATTAGCACGTATTTCCTCTCTTCTAACTCCAGCATCCTTATCCTCTACATCAGTCTCAGCTATGGTTAAGCAGAGAGTAAAGAGAAACAAACCGTTAAAATTATCCTTTTCTGTAGCTAAAACCAGATGTGCCAACTAATATGCAGAAAACTGAGTTTCCATAAAAAAAACTACCTCCTCGACTCGCGACTGCTTCTTTTGTTTTCTCATCAGCAACTGGTTGCAAATTACCCTCACAAGTTGAGACCACCATCAACTGAGAAATAAATTCTCGAGCATCCATATTGTGCACACAAATCAACTCATCAACCTTATTGAACTTTGCATTGATCTTCAAGTACCGAACACTGTCTGGATTTAAATCATTTGCATAAACGAAACATCCTTTTTGTGCAGCTGGAATAGCAAAAGGTCCAATACCAGCAAACATATCACACACGGTTTCTCCAGGTTTAAAAAGAGATGAAATGCGCATGTGCTCGTGCTCCAGTCTGGAATTCCAATAAACCAGGCTGTAGTCCAGCTTAAATCTTGCCCCATATTGCTTTACTTCTGTTTCCATCCCATTTTCTCCAGCTAACACTTCAAAATTTGGCACTCGAAACTCATTAGAGATCGTCCCGACTTTATTAACAATTGTCTTGATCCTTGGATAATTTTTCTACGAATATAAAAGATCAGCTAGACATCAGATGTCTTTACTGTCATGACACAGAGATATCTAAAGAAAGCTGTCAAGAAAAGAATGTTAAAAACTTACATCGTAGATAACCTTTGCTATAACATCTTTGAATGGAAGGAGCTCATCATGAAGATTTAAGTGTGCAATATGACCTGCACATAATAAGCAAAGAGATGTTGGTTCTCATGAGAGAGGCAATCTTCATGATGCTTGGAAACTTGGCAAGAATATGCACCCATTATCTCTAGATTTGCAGACTAGATAGAAATAATAAATGCACAAAAGAAATTGCTAGCTCAAGTAAACAAAGTTCTTATAAGCTAGGTTGTTAAAGCTCAGGAAGCAAACTGAAATTTAATACTTAACTATTGTTTCAAAAGATGAAGGTATATCCACTCCATCTGGCAGAATCTGCTTCAGTATGTGATCTGCGAGGAAAGAATGATATCAGAAGTTTTTATACCAGCTAAACAGGATAAGGACCTAAGTAAACAAGTGTCAAGGTTAATAGGACCAAAAAAAAAACAATTAGACCATTTACCAATAACCTATGAGTTGGATTCCCTCACATCCTTAGTAATAACCAGGAAAAATGGAGTATCAAAATTCAGGGTACCACAAACAAATTTGCGAAAAAAGGAACCAGCAATAGTGACCAACATTTCTCAAACATACGAATTAAAACTCTGAATAAGCTTTTAATTCAGGAGCTCAAGAGAAGATTATTTCAAACAGGAGATAAAGGGTAGCTTGCAGAAAAATTCCATAATACAAACAAATGTGAAGAATATTCCTAATGAATTTGTTGTCGTACCTGCACTCCAATAGGAATATCCAAGGGTGACCGAATGAGGAACTACTTCAACTTCGCTTAGTTTCTTGAGCTGGTTTAGTTTTTCATCGGGTATGTCCGATAAATCTGTCCTATAACAAATAGGGCTTGGTTAATACGAATAATCCCGCTATTTCCACCATCTCCTAAACCAGATGAAGAACAAACTCTTACCAGAATTTTTAACATTTTCGGACAATATCACCAAACGAGTCTTTTCACAAGCAGGATCTTCGGTGATGGGCTTAATTCTTGGCATGTTGAGCATGTATCTACAAGTTATCAAACCAAGAAACTTCCTTTTTATCAATAAAGAACACAAACCACATTAAAAGGCACTTCTCATAAGCTTCGACCAAAGGGTTCCTACAAACTTGATTTAACGAGTTCTAATTATTTCTCTAGATATGCGATAACTGCGTTCTGTTCTTTCTCACTGAGCTCATTACTGTTGAATCTGAAGTTTGGAGATAAATGTTAAGGGAAACAAACAAATTCTTGAAACTACGATCATGCTCAGCACAAAGGTTCAATCTTCAAGAACCTCTAGAGCTAGAAAACAAAAAACGTACCCATTGAGTATCCGAGTTGCGCTTTTACAGAGTTCACGAGGTATTCTAAGAGCCCACAGCTTGAGATTGACATCGAACTTGCTTTCATCAAACATGGTGGTAAACGGTGTCGTTTCGTATCAAGAAGAGAAAAAGAAGAAGAGACGAATGAAGATGAAAGAGATGAAGAAATCGGCGGAAGAGGAGAAGAACGGACGGCCAAAAACCGAGTCGTGCGTCAGTGAAGCCGTGAAGAAAGATTAGTCGTGCTCTCTCTCGGTTTTTTTTAGGGTTGATTTAAAAATTAATTAAAATTAATTCCCAAAAAAAATCGAAACACAGTGTCAAAAGGAGGCGTCGAACCCGTGACTTGAGAGGTTTTGGGCCGACTCAACCTTATGGTCACTCAGGCCCTAAAATATCTACACGGAAGCATCTGATTATTTGTCTTCCATAATCGCAATTTAGATCGAAATCCTCTCGGCCAAATCAGCCGCACCAAACCTCACGCGCCACCGCCATGGCGAGTCCACCGACGCTACCTGTCTCCAATCAACAAGCCGTTCAATCTCAGCCGCCAATCAACACTCCTGCCTTCCGTACCTTCTTCTCACGCCTCTCCACCTCGATCCGCGATGGCTTATCACAGCGCCGCCCATGGACGGAGCTCGTCGATCGGAGCTCCATGGCGCGACCTGAGTCTCTCACCGATGCCTTGTCCCGGATCAGGAAGAATCTCGCCTACTTCAAGGTTAACTATGTCGCCATCGTCTCCCTCGTGCTCGCCTTTTCCCTTTTCTCCCATCCTCTCTCCCTCCTTGTCCTCGTCGGTCTCCTCGGCGGGTGGATGTTCCTTTACCTCTTCCGTCCGTCAGATCAGCCACTCGTCGTCTTCGGCCGCACTTTCTCTGATCGAGAGACTCTCCTTGCTCTTGTCTTGTCGACGATCGTCGTTGTGTTTATGACGAGCGTCGGATCTCTCTTAACCTCCGCATTGATGATTGGCGTCGCGATTGTTTGCTTACACGGTGCGTTTGTGGTTCCAGATGATCTCTTCATGGACGATCAAGAGCCTGCCAACGCCGGATTACTCTCCTTCCTTGGTGGTTCTGCTACATCGGCTGCTTCAGCTGTCGCAGGGAGAGTTTAACTCTATCAACAGAGCTGGATTCGATTCAGATCTAGAAGAAGAACATGATCGTTTATTCATAGTGGCTTTTAAATGGAATCGTAAGCCAGTTACTTAGAGAACCAAGTGATATTTTTTTTGTTGACAAATTGTTGTTTCATCTTCTAATTTTGGGATTTGTGTAATGATGTTAAAGCACATTGAATCATCTTTAATGTTGATTATATTTTGCTCATTGGTTTCTTTTATGATTTGGATTGAGAATCTTCCAAGTTTTGTGGTTGGAACAGATTTGATTTTGCTTGCTTTTTTTCTTTCCTGAAGTTGAATCAAATAGCTATGAAATTCATGATATGGTGATCCAAGTCGGATTTGACAATATTGAGAATGTGTGTCCAGATACCAATAGAGCTAATACTGGTTTTGATAGTCTTGCTTTTATCTCAATACACACGAGAAGTTCTATCATCGTCGTCCACATAGTTGAAACAAAGAAATTAGGTGAATAATTAGCTAAGAGCAAGAAAGCAAAAGTAAGAAGAAAAAGGTGTGGTAAATGATTTATGTTACATAGACGCTTTTCCCGTAAACTAAAATTCAAAAGAAGTGAAAAATTTTCCGGTGATCTGATTGGAATCGGTGGCGAGTAAGGCAGTTTTAGCTGTCACAAATTAAGATCAGAGTTGGTGTCCAAGGTCAATCGTTTGTGTATTACAAACATGGGATTTTACAACGTAAATTTCTGCTACTGAAAATATGGGAATTTGGTATAGTTTTGGGCCTTTTGGCATTCAGTTTCTGGGGGTCTTGGAAGATTTCAGGGAGAATCCAATTTGTCTCGCTTAAAAAAAAGCCCATCTTGTTTCAATTCTTCCAATTTTATTCAAGATGTGTTGAGAGACTTGTGATATCTTTTACAGTTTATGGCATATCAGTTGAGTTTAAGGTAAGAATTATCTCCAAGATTGTCTTCTCGCAACCATATTGTGTAAACCATAGGAATGAAGTGTCATTATGGAATTGACATGTTTTTGAAAGTAAGTGATAGGCTTTGGTAGATTTCAAAAAGCATTATTAAGTGTTTGTATTCGAAAATTGAAGTTCAAAAGCTCCATTAGATCCAACAGTACACGTGTACCAATCAGCAACTATCTTAAGTTACCAGACCCAAAATAAAAAGGCAAAGATAGATCAACGTCAACATTTAACCTCGTACGGCACAACACTTCATTTTTTTTTACAGGGGAAAGTGTCGCTTTCAAGTTTCAAAGTCGTGTGTCTTCTTTCTAAACTATACTTTGTAAATAATTATCCTTTGGCACACAGCACTCGGCTTAGCAGATCTAGCGATCTATGTATCATGGGACCTACAAATATAGCCGTTAGGAGGAGAATTGAAGGAGCGGTTTGTTGTCCATTGGTATAAGCTCCGGCGCATTAACCGAAGATGGTCTGCAAATTAATGTTGTCTTCTTTATTTATTTTTACTTTATTCAGACGAACAAATACTTTAATATCTTCTACTCAGATTTGGAATTAGTAATGCCTAATATATAATTCACATGCAAATAATTACAAGACAACAATCGAATAGATCTGAGTATATTATTAGCTCAATTTGAATTTTGAACCATGATATAATAATACCTATGCCAAAATTGAAACTATATTTAAAAATAAGAATTATCAATCTTGGTCAGAACCAACATTTTGGTACTGTGTCTGTATTCAATACTTTTTTAGATTAATAAAACCGTAACAATATTATCAAATACTAGTAAATACAAATTAGCAATGATATTTTGTACTAACACGGTTAAACAAAATGACATGAGCGAGATCAACTCAACGAACAAAACAAAGTGTTCAACGCAATTAATTAAGAAAGTAAATAAAATGAAACTAGCCGTTGGAGCTCATTTAGTATTAGGCGAGACAGAGAGCCTCTGCTCCACCCCCAACCTCTTATTACCATCACCTGATCTTTGTCTCCTCCTCTCTTTCTCTCTCTCACTAGAAAATATAAAGCACTCAAAGATTCTCTCTCTCTCTCTCTAAGATGGTCACGTGCTGTGTTCTTTTCCAACGAAACCCATCTCTCACTTTACAAAACTCTTTCAAATCCAAAAAAATTCCCTGTTCCATCCTCTTCAAAACTACCCATTAAGAAAACTCATTCAACCTTTCTTCTCTCTACTTCATTCTCCATGGAGTTTACTACCCAAAACCAAGCTTTCTTCTGTTTCACTCCCCTGCATTTGATCAACACTGTCATTGATCAATCTCGGGCTTCACTTCGAAGCCGCTTTCTCCTTCACTTAACTGTTTTCCTCCTCTTCTTCGTCTCTCCCGGCACGAGCCAAGCTTGGGACGGTGTAGTGATCACACAAGCTGATTACCAAGGCCTTCAAGCGATTAGACAAGAGCTGATTGATCCGAGAGGCTTCTTGAGAAGCTGGAACGGTTCTGGGTTCAGTGCATGCTCTGGAGGCTGGGCTGGAATCAAATGTGCTCAAGGTCAGGTCATTGTGATTCAACTCCCATGGAAGAGTCTTGGAGGTAGAATCTCTGAGAAAATCGGACAGCTTCAAGCTCTTCGAAAGCTTAGTCTTCATGACAACAACCTCGGTGGCTCCGTTCCATTGTCTTTAGGACTCATTCCTAATCTCAGAGGAGTCCAGCTTTTCAACAATCGTCTCTCTGGCTCGATCCCTGCTTCTATCGGTGTTTCTCGTTTCCTGCAAACGCTTGATCTCAGCAATAACTTGCTCTCTGAAGTTATTCCACCGAATCTTGCTGATTCTTCTAAGCTTCTTAGGCTTAATCTCAGCTTCAATTCACTCTCTGGTCAAATCCCAGTGAGTCTCACTCGTTCTTCTTCTCTTCAGTTTCTTGCTCTTGACCATAACAACCTCTCTGGTTCAATCTTAGACACTTGGGGTCATAACACTTCTCCTCATCTCCGTGTCTTATCTCTTGATCACAACTCTCTTTCTGGTCCATTCCCATTTTCAATCTGCAACTTAATTCAGCTACAAGACTTTTCCTTTAGTCATAACAAGATTGGTGGAACCCTACCTTCCGAGTTAAGCAAACTCACTCAGCTTAGAACAATGGATATTAGCAGTAACAGTGTTAGTGGCCAGATTCCAGAAACTCTAGGGAGCATTTCTTCTCTTGTACATCTGGATTTGTCTCAAAACAAACTTACCGGAGAGATTCCTGTTTTGATTTCTGATCTGAAAGCCCTTACCTTCTTCAATGTCTCTTATAACAACTTATCTGGGCCTGTTCCTTCTCTCTTGTCCCAAAAGTTCAATTCCACCTCTTTTGTCGGAAACTTGCAGCTTTGTGGATACAGCACTTCCACGCTGTGTCCTACTACACAACCTCCTTCACCATCTCCCAGAAAATCATCCCACAGGAATCTGAGTACCAAAGACATCATCCTCATTGCTTCTGGAGCACTCCTCATAGTTCTGCTTATCCTTGTATTTGTTCTCCTCTGTTGCTTACTGAGGAAGAAACCTGACAAAACCAAAGCCAAGGGCAGCGAGGCTGGACCCGGAGCTGCAGCCTCAAAGACCGAGAAAGGAAGGGAAGCTGAAGCTGGAGGTGAAACCGGAGGGAAACTGGTTCATTTTGATGGACCAATGGCGTTTACTGCTGATGATCTACTGTGTGCAACAGCAGAGATTATGGGGAAAAGCACTTATGGAACAGTTTACAAAGCTACACTTGAAGATGGAAGTCAAGTTGCAGTTAAGAGATTGAGAGAGAAGATCACCAAAAGCCAGAAAGAGTTCGAGAACGAGATTAATGTATTGGGAAGAATTCGGCATCCGAATCTCCTTGCCCTTAGGGCTTATTACTTAGGCCCCAAGGGAGAGAAGCTTGTGGTCTTCGATTACATGCCTAGGGGAAGTCTTGCCACATTCCTCCATGGTAAGTTTGATACTATTCTAAGAAATTACTATTTCTAACGCTTGTGTGGGAAATGTAACATTCTAATTAACTGATATGTTCATGTTTTGAAATTGCAGCAAGAGGAGCAGATGTTCATATCAATTGGCCTACAAGGATGAGCTTAATAAAAGGAATGGCTCGTGGTTTGTTCTACCTTCACACGCACGCAAACCTCATCCATGGAAACTTAACATCAAGCAACGTACTTTTGGATGAAAACATCAATGCGAAGATCTCAGATTACGGTCTATCCAGGCTGATGACAACAGCAGCAGGATCAAGCGTGATTGCAACAGCTGGTGCGTTAGGTTACAGAGCACCTGAGCTCTCCAAGCTGAAGAAAGCCAACACGAAAACGGATGTGTATAGCCTCGGTGTGATCATATTGGAGCTTTTGACTGGTAAATCTCCGAGCGAGGCTTTAAACGGTGTGGATTTGCCTCAATGGGTTGCTACTGCGGTTAAAGAAGAATGGACTAATGAGGTTTTTGATTTGGAGCTGTTGAATGATGTGAACACTATGGGTGATGAGATTCTAAATACACTGAAACTGGCGTTGCATTGTGTTGATCCTACACCATCAACAAGACCTGAAGCTCAACAAGTAATGACACAACTTGGAGAGATTAGACCTGAAGAGACGTCAGCAACTACATCTGAACCGTTGATTGATATTCCTGAAGCTTCTGCTTCCACAAGTCGATAGAAAAGAGTGGAGATTTTTGGTAGTTGGTAGTAGACTTTTTATGCAATTCTTTGATTCTTCAAGCAGTTTTTATTTCTCTTCCGTTCATTTTTGTAGTGTTCTTAACTATTTCATCATCAGATTGTGTTTGTAAATACTGTAAACTGGTTATGCTTCTTTTTTATTCGAGCTTGTGAGAAAAAATTGAGGGCAGAACGTAAATTGAGTCTGTAGAAGGCACTAAATAAGATATGAGAGAAATTCACCATCTTATGTAAAAATCTAGTTATGCTTTTCAAATGGGCGCACAATATAATGAAAACGAGAGAAATGTGGAGAAGATTGGAATATATAAAAACTAATTTCCAAATCATTAATATGGCCTACAAAGAGAGAATGTAGAGCTGCTTAATCCTAAGTTAAGAAGCACAAAGTGCTAAGATACTACAGGTGTCTACAATATATTCTAAAACTATATTTTGAATTGAAGATACAATTTTCTGATAGAAAAAGTTCTATATTTGAGTTAAATGTAATTTTAAGACAACAAATAAGAAGACAGAGTGTACATTTGTTTGTTTTAAATCCAATACATTTTTATAACTAGTATATATTTAAAATTTGATGTAAGAAATTATACTTCAAAAAAAAAAATATATATATATATCTATGTACTGTTGAGTTTATCCTTTTTCATTAGCAAGAAAAATTGTCTTTTGCTTCTTCTTTCTTTCCTTTTTTTTTCAGAAGAATCCGATAAGGTAAATGAGAAACGTCAAAAAATCAAGAGGGGCCAATAGTAACCCAAAATGAAAAATATCTTCCAGCTAAGCAACAGTACCACAAGCCAACCACGCGCCTGAATCCAACTCTCAATCTCGTCCATCCACGTGTCATTAATCGACAGCCTCATCATCCATATAACCTCACTTTATATTCCCTCTTCCGCCACCATTCTCGCCTCACAAAAAACCCTTTCTCCTCCCATTTTCGTTGCAGAGAGATAAAGAAAAAATCTGAGAAGCAAAACCAAAAAATTTACAGGAAACAAAAAAAAAAATGCTTCTCAAAACCGCTTCTGCTTTCTCTCTCTTGAACATTCATGGAGAAAAGAAAGACATCTCTCCTCTCTTCTCTTCCATTTCGTCCCCGACTGATTTCTCCTTGAGTCTTCCCGTTTCTTCGGGAAAATCCGGAAATCTCTCCTTCTCGGTTCGTGCTTCTAAGGCTTCCACCACCCAAACGTTAAGCGGCGTCGTTTTCGAACCGTTTGAGGAGGTGAAGAAGGAACTCGATCTCGTCCCTTCGGCTCCTCAGCACTCGCTTGCTCGACATTTGTACTCCCCTGAGTGCGAAGCCGCCGTGAATGAGCAGATCAAGTAAGTTTTTTCGTGTTGGATTGAAACTTCTGGTGTTGTAAATCTGTCGATTAACTGATTTCTCGATTGAATCCTATGTGGAGATTGGATTTTTTTGGGTATCCTATGAATCTGGATTTCGTCAATGGTTTCTTAATTTCTCTGCTGCAGCGTGGAATACAATGTGTCTTATGTGTATCACGCGTTGTATGCTTATTTCGACCGTGATAACGTTGCTCTCAAAGGACTTGCCAAGTGAGTTTTTTCTACAAAACTTTGGAGTTTATTCAATAAATTTCGTTCTCTGGGTGTCAATTAATCAGTTGTTTTGATGTCTTGCTATCAGGTTTTTCAAGGAATCGAGCGTGGAAGAACGAGACCACGCTGAGATGTTGATGGAGTATCAGGTCTTTGGCCAATGATTTCAATTTTGTTTCATTCATAAGCCTTTATCATTTGAGCTAAGTTTCTAACACCGTTTCAATTTGGTTTTCGTGATCTGCAGAACAAACGTGGTGGGAAGGTTAAGTTACAGCCCATGGTGATGCCTCAATCTGAGTTTGATCACGCTGAGAAAGGAGATGCTCTGTATGGTAAAGCTCATTTTCATTTCTGAGATTTTTGGATTGAGGAATTCAAAGTATAAAATTTCAGTAGTTTCATATCTGTGCCTAGTCATAGAATTTGGAGAAACTTGTTAGAATTGACATCAATATTAGCGTTAAAAAGGGAACTTTTTGGAGAGGTTGTGGGTTTTCATCAGCATGAGACATAGTGATAAGCGATGCTTCCGTCAAGTTCTCACTGAGTTGGAAATCTTAATGATGTTCTTTGTTGTTGCAGCCATGGAGCTGGCTCTATCATTGGAGAAACTGGTCAATGAAAAGCTCCTAAACGTGCACAGCGTAAGACCATCACTCCTTGGAATCCAATTCTTGTTTATGGCATTCAAGTCATTTAGTATAATGTCCCAAGAAATACTCTCTTAATACAATTTGCATTTGAATAATGTGGGCAAACAGGTGGCTTCGAAGAACGATGATGTCCAGTTGGCAGATTTTATTGAGAGCGAGTTTTTGAACGAACAGGTAAACAAAAAGAACACGATCTATGTTAGTGGCAAAGATAATGTGGATGATCTAAAGCCTGTCAAAGAGGGAATCTAATGAACTTTAAAAAAATAATATTACTTTCGCAGGTTGAAGCAATTAAGAAAATCTCAGAATATGTCTCTCAACTCAGAAGACTCGGCAAAGGACATGGTAGCCATTTTGTCTTCTCAATTTTTAAAATGATAAAACCTCATTTCGAATAGTTCATGCCTCACACTTTGTTTATATGTGTTCAGGAACATGGCATTTCGATCAGGAGCTTCTGGAAAATGCTGCTGCTTAATCTGTTCTGGTTGTACTCTCTTATAAACAGCTTTGGCTGTAATCTCTTATAAACTACTGGTTATTCTGTTTTGGTTGTAATCTCTTATAAACTGTTGCGTAATCTATTTTGATTGAGGAATAACAGCCTTTAGTTTTTGTTTTTAGTCCTGGTTTACATTGAATCAAAATCTCTTATGAAAGTTTGTATATTGGTTTACATTTGAACGTTCTTAACCTTCACACTCAACCAAAAGAATCTATAATTAAGCAATTTTTCACATGAAACAAGTGCTGAGAAAACAAAAGCTATATGGGCAATTTTGATTGCTTTAGTTTAGCCTCTTTTAATATTTAAACATCGACCACTTAACTGAATAAATGTACACAATTGTAAGTTCGTGTACATTTTGACCAATTTCTTAATCTTTCTTCATTCTTTATAGCATTTATTTCAGGACCATGAACTGCAGGCTTTAGGAAATCTACAGAGAGAATTGAAAACACATAAGAGAATTGTCAGTAACCGGATAATAGAATAAAGATCTCCGGTTTGGGTTTAGACCAACTTTCACCAAAATTCTCATCCACTAACTTGCACATCAAATAATACACAATCATGGCTTCATAAAGAAAATAGATACGTTATATATATATATAGATTATTTCCCTATCTCACATCACGTCGCAGCAAGTAATAACAAAACACGTGTCACATATATATTTATTTATTGCGAGTCTTGTTTACTAATTTTAGCTCGTTATTACACATAAATACAATATCTTCTCTTTTCTAAAGAGATGGATCAGTGAAAACGGAAGAAAGAAATGACGAGGAACATCTTCCAAAGTCGGAAATTCTCAGGCCTCTGTGTTCTCTCAATCTTGCTCGTATCAGTCACAATCATCCTCCTAACCAATGACACAATCGATCTCTTCCCTTACTTGTCTCTCTCTTATCTCCGTCGATCTTCTCTCTCCGACATCATCCCAGCTTTCACGCCAACCTCGAGTCCCACCAATAACTCTTCGTCGTCTATGAAATCACCGGTTTCTCAGAACCGAGTCGTTGATGATGATCAAGGTTTGGAATTGGATTGGCTTAATAAAGATAACAAATGGAATGTGAGTTTGAAGGTGGATTGGAAGAGATGCGAGAGTCCTGATTACATGCCATGTTTGGATAACATAAAAGCCATCAAGAAACTCAAGTCGAAGAGGAACATGGAACACAGAGAGAGACATTGTCCCGAGTCTGCACCTAAATGTCTCGTTCCTTTACCAAAACGCTACAAGGTTCCTCTTCCTTGGCCTCAGAGCAGGGACATGGTGAGAGTCTCGTTTCTATTTTTTCGGTAAGATCTTTTCTTGAAGATTTTGTGATTGCTTCTTTGGTTTCTTTGTTGGTTCTTGCAAACATTCAGGTTTTCTTGGTTCTTGTTTTTGCTGATTAGATTAGATTAGTACCTCTGCAATTGCTCTGCTTTTTAAAATTCTTGTTCTTGCAGATTTGGTATGATAATGCCCCTCACCCGAAGCTTGTAGAATACAAGAAAGATCAGAATTGGATTCGTAAATCCGGAACTTTCTTTGTCTTCCCTGGAGGTGGAACTCAATTCAAAGACGGTGTTATTCACTACATCAACTACATACAAAAGGTATACAAATTATACATAAACCAAACATTGATTTTGTGTCCTCTGTTCTTGATTTTCCGATTTACGTTTTACAGACGTTACCTGTTCTTGAATGGGGGAAGAAAGTACGAGTGGTTCTTGATGTTGGTTGTGGTGTGGCTAGCTTTGGTGGGACTTTACTAGATAAAAATGTGATCACAATGTCATTTGCTCCTAAAGACGAACACGAAGCTCAGATTCAATTCGCATTAGAACGAGGAATTCCCGCTACTCTAGCTGTTATTGGAACTCAAAAGCTTCCTTTTCCTGACAATTCTTACGACGTTATCCATTGCGCAAGATGCAGAGTCCATTGGCACGGATACGGTTTGATTACAATCGATTCAGTTATGATTGATCTCAGAAAGTTTCATGCTTTTGTTAATACTGTCATGGATTCGGCTATGTTGCAGGTGGTAAACCGCTTTTGGAACTTAACCGGATTCTAAGGCCTGGAGGGTTTTTTGTTTGGTCAGCTACGCCTGTTTATCAACACGATGAAGGGCATCGCAACGTTTGGAAAAGTTAGTATAAACTGTTTTTAACTTCTCCTGATTATGTTAATTAGCATACTTAGTTTTTGTGATTTTTTTTCTTGTAGCTATGGAGTCTTTGACTACATCAATGTGTTGGAAAGTTGTGGCTAGAACTCGTTTCACAAAAGTTGGATTCGTGATTTACCAGAAACCAAACTCAGAGTCTTGCTATGAATCGCGTAAGGATAATGATCCGCCTCTCTGCACCAAAGAAGAAACAAAGAAAAACAGCTCATTGTAAATAACATTTTATCTTCTTCTTGTTTCATTTCAACAAAAACAGATTTTTGATGACTCTTGACGAATACTGCTTTTTCCAATCATAGGTACACTCCTCTGCTTAGCTGTCTACCGAAAGTACCGGTGGGTCCAACCGGAAAATGGCCTTCTCGTTGGCCTGAAAGGTTAACCGATAGGCCGGTTAGCCTCATAACAGAACAGATCAGTGAAGAGAGTTATAGAGAAGACACAAGACTCTGGTCTGGAATCGTATCAGATGTCTATCTAAACGGTTTAGCTATAAATTGGACCAGGATTCACAATGTTATGGACATGAATGCTGGTTATGGAGGGTGAGGAAAATTCTTCAACATAGTTAGTTACTTTAGAAAATACTCTTTCTATTTCTTTACCTTTGGTTCTTGATTTTGCTTTCAGATTTGCAGCTGCTCTTATAAACAGACCTCTCTGGGTGATGAATGTGATTCCTGTGGAAGGCAAAGACACATTATCGATGATTTTTGATAGAGGTTTGATTGGAATTTACCATGATTGGTGTGAGTCTTTCAACACGTACCCAAGATCATATGATCTCTTGCACTCTAGTTTCCTTCTCACCAATCTTTCTAAAAGGTAACATTTATGATTCGTGGACTGAACTGCAAAACTACATGCTGTTTTTGATTTTTTTTTTTTTTAACTTATGGTTTTTTTATCTTTATTTTATCAGGTGTGATTTATTGGAGGTGGTAGTGGAAATAGACAGAATAGTAAGACCAGGAGGGTATCTTGTGGTGCAAGACACCGTTGAAATGCTAAAGAAGCTTAACCCTATTCTTTTATCTCTCCGATGGTCAACGAATGTGTACAAAGGCAAGTTCCTTGTTGGCCTGAAGTCGTTGTGGCGTCCGTAAACCCAATATCCATCCTCTTTATAAAAATGTTTAAAGGGGTTTTTGATTAGAGATGTTGAATGTTGTTTTTTTGGTGTGGATTTTCTGATTTTTTATTACTCTTTTTTTTTTTTTTAGAAAGTACTAGGGAATCGAATTATACTCGATACTATTTTTGATAATGTCTTTAAATAAAATATTTTCAAAAGAATTGCAAACTGAATTTCCTTTCTCTCCCATATCACTCATCAGTTTTTGAGATATGAGAGAGAGTAAACAAAAAAAAAAACAATGCAGTTCGGTAGTTTTGATAGTGGGCCTGAATCATATTATGGGCTTTTTCGATGAGCCTATTACGGATATGAGAAAATAAAAGGACACAACCGAGAAAACCCAAAGATCTCCGTCTGAATCTGTCAAAAGCCCTAGCAAAACCCTAGCACCCAAATCCTTAGTCCGTTTAGCCGTTATATACGTGTTCACTCTCGGATCACCGGAAGTAAATCTATAGACTCGTTGAGAAGACGATTTTCATTTGCAAAGGTATCTCATTTCGTTTAATCTTGATATTTTTCTTTTATTTCAGAATTCAATCCGATGTCCTCTATTTCCTCTATTTGCGTTGTATTGGGTATAAGCACATATCGAAGGCTTGTAGATAGCGTATAATTAAAATCGCCTGCGAGCTCAATATTTGTGCAAAATCCTAAACCATTCATTGAGATTCAATAAATCTCTGTGTTATAAGAATCTTTCTTTTCTTATCGACAATTTTGATGGGTGGGACATTTCTTCCTCGATTTTATGATTTAACATTTGATGAAAGAAAATCTGATTGGATCTGTTGTGAATAGTCGAATCCTTTGTCTTTTGAATTGAATCAGATAATAGTAGCAATTGGTTACATCTAGTATACTTTCATAAGTGACAGCTATTTGAACAGTTTGGTGACTTGAGTTGCGTCTGTGTAATGGATTAGAGGAACTGATCAGGTCTTAACCTTTTGTATCTCAAGGATGATTTACTGAATTCATATCCATGGTTAATATCATTGATGAATCGTAGCTTTGTTATTGGCAGGATTTGGAGTATTAGTGAAACCTGAGGAAAATGTCAAACCCGAAAGTCTTCTTTGACATCTTGATTGGGAAGATGAAGGCAGGGCGTGTTGTGATGGAGCTATTTGCAGATGTAACACCGAGAACAGCGAATAATTTCCGTGCACTGTGCACAGGAGAGAAGGGAATTGGGGAAGCAGGAAAGGCATTACACTACAAAGGCTCAGCCTTTCACCGTATAATCCCAGGATTCATGTGCCAAGGTGGAGATTTCACTCGTGGGAATGGAACTGGAGGAGAATCGATATACGGGTCTAAATTTGCGGACGAGAACTTCAAGTTGAAGCACACTGGTCCAGGGATTTTGTCTATGGCTAATGCAGGTCCCAACACCAATGGATCTCAGTTCTTCATCTGCACAGAGAAAACATCGTGGCTTGATGGGAAACACGTTGTGTTTGGGAAAGTTGTGGATGGGTACAATGTGGTCAAGGCAATGGAGAATGTTGGATCTGACATGGGAACCACCTCTGAGAAAGTTGTGATTGAAGATTGTGGTGAGCTCAAGGACGAAACTTCATAAATCTCAAACACATTGGGTTGATCTTAGGAAGATATCCCTTTTTCACTTTCCTTAACCTGAATAAAACTGTATGACCTATCTTTTAGCTTAGTAAGCTCTTTTGAGCATGAATCTATACTTGTTTTGAAACTACTTCTTTACTCCCATGAAAGATGAGTCAATCCTCTTCATCGTCGAAACAAAGGATAGTGTATATTATGTATATATTTATATATCACATGTTTCATGAATCTTGCAAGTGGGGTTCTACTAAAGCTATTTGTATATAAAATTTTAAATTAAAACTGAAAATGTTAAAGTTTTTTCCTTCAGAAACAAGAGTTGATTATTGATTATTGATGTTGTATTTATTATTTATATGTATAACAGAGATTTATGGAGGAGAGTAGGAGGGGTGGTAATAGTTAAATTTCTCTACGGAGACGGGAGACATTTGGTTTTGATCTTGGTTTTCTCATCTGTGTTTACTAAATTATGATGGATTGTTTCATGTTTTGGTTTTTAGTTTTGCATAAACAAAACTCTTTGGATTCACTTGCCAATTTGTATTCAAAACTATAAAACTGCTGACTTTTGTAAATGGGCAGATCTCTATATACACCAACTAGATAGACTTTTTGATCATGTGGGGATTATATATCATATTATTTAATGAACGAAAACATTTTGTTTCACAATTGTACTGGTTTCTTTTAAAAAATCAACTACCAAATTGCCTTGGCAATTAATGCTATTTTGTAATTAAAAGCCTAACAGACTTTCTGGGTATATCTTCAATATCTTATTGTACATAAAAGAGATCGCGATACCTGTTAAAAAAATTATAAATGAAAACTAAAGTTTTTTTTAAAAAAATTATATTTTAGATTAGAATAATGAAATTAAAAATAGATAACAATTCTGAAAAGAAAACAAAAAAAGGCAAAAAAAAAAACTATATTCGAATTTAGAATCAAGAAATAAAGAAATTTTCTTATATAGGTGAATGTTTTTGAGTTGGTAAATTTTAAAATAAGATATATTTTTACATGCAATCTAATCTTTTCTCCATTGTAATTATCTAGTTTAATATATTAGATTTTTAGCAATGACATTTGTTAGGTGAATAAATTCAAGTGGTGGTGATACATCAACGATACTAACATAAACTATCATGTTAAATATTTTGGTTATTATTGCATTCACCATTACAAAAAAAAAGGAATGGTATAGTATTCAATTCATCCCCCCAAAAAAAACCTCACATGTAAAAAGATATATAGTGAAATCTATGAACCCAAAGACTTGACCGTTATATATGGTTCCATTTTCTTTCACCTTTATATAAAGCGCACGAACCATACTCTTGTTTTCTGTCCCCCCAAGAGATCTTGAGGGTTAAACTTTACTTAAATTATATAATCATACACTATAATGGATTATTATATTTTCCGATTATTTCGGTTGATTCTCGTTGCAATTTTCATCTTCCAGGGATCGTGTTATTCCGACCAAGGTACAACTATTTTGTTTATCTCTATGATATTTTTTAAGGTTATGCTTAGCATAAATAAACTGATTCCAAATTTTATGAAAACTGTTTTTTTGGTGAAGCTGGTGGTTATGGTTTTCTGAAAGATGCAACATTAGCACCAAAAGTCTCTCACTTCGACTACATAGTCATCGGAGGAGGAACCGCCGGATGCGCACTAGCCGCAACGCTCTCTCAAAACGCTACCGTTTTAGTTCTCGAACGCGGTGGGTCTCCTTACGACAACCCAACTGCCACAGACATCGGAAACTTCGCAAACACACTCTTGAACTCAACATGGTCGCAGCTTTTCATCTCCCAAGACGGAGTGTTTAACTCACGCGCGCGCGTGCTCGGCGGAGGCACGGTCCTAAACGCTGGTTTCTACTCGCGTGCCGAAGACGATTACGTTGCGGAAGCAGGTTGGGAGAGAAACGAGGTCGAAGCGGCTTACGAGTGGGTGGAGAAGAAAGTAGCGTTTGAACCGCAGGTTAAGGGATGGCAAACGGCGTTTAGAGACGCGCTTTTGGAAGCTGGAGTGGCTCCGTACAACGGTTTCACGTACGGACATATCCACGGGACGAAAATAGGCGGGACGATATTTGATCGAGACGGTCATAGACACACGGCGGCTGATTTGTTGGAGTATGCTAATCAGAATACGATTGTTGTCTACTTGCATGCTTCTGTCCACAAAATCCTCTTCACCACTACTAAAGGTACTTGAATTTGATTGATATATATGTTATTAAATGCATTGTCTGATCTCTTTATGATTGAAGATTGAGACGGCATGGCTCGTGAGGGTTAGGAAGAGAGATAGAGACGTAGCTTACACGTAATCCTAGCTACTTTTGTTTTTAATTATTAACTGGCGTTTTTTATAGTTAAAATGCTCTTTTTTTTTCCAAACAAAAATAGTAGATATTTGTGTTTTGTATCACTTGCTTATTATTGTTTTTACAGGAACTTCAAGGCCCAAGGCAAATGGGGTGATATTCCGAGATAGAAATGGAGTGTTCCACACAGCTCAACTAGCAGCAGCACAGAATGCACTGATCAATGAGGTGATATTAAGCCCGCAGCTATTAATGCTGAGTGGTATTGGGCCTGCGGCCCATCTTGCATACCATGGGGTGAATCCTATCATACTAGATCACCCCATGGTGGGACAAGGAATGGGTGATAATCCCATGAACCCTGTTTTCATCCCTTCTCCTGAACCAGTAGAGGTGTCTCTTGTCCAAGCCGTTGGAATCCCCAATTTTGGTAGTTACATTGAAGGTGGAAGTGGCTTAAGTGTCTCTATTAGTTTGACCCGTGCCTTCTTTGATGGCGTTTTAAATCTTCTCAATAAGGTATATTATGATCAATTAGTTAACAGAATAAATGGCATATAGTATCAATTAATATATATACTCTAAAATGTTATAAATTGGTTTTTTGTATATGTGCCAATTTTTATTATGCAGGAAAAACTCCCCACTCAATCCATCTCAAACTTTTTGAAATCTTTCAATATTCGATTGAACTTGAAGACAAAAGCGGGTGTGATCATCCAGAAAGTGGCAGGACCTATCTCGAGAGGTCACTTGGAGCTGCGGAACACGAATCCAGATGATAACCCTTTGGTGACATTTAATTAATACCAAGACCCCAAAGATTTGAATAACTGTGTTGAAGGACTTAGTGCTATAATTAAAGTGATAGATTCCAAGGGATACTCCAAGTACAAGTACCCTGGAGTAACCGGGCGTGGACTTTTGAATCTCATTCTTGCCCTTCCAATCAATCTGAGGCCAAGGCACTTAACTTCGACTTTTGATTTGAAGCAGTATTGTATAGATACAACTATGACTATTTATCACTACCATGGAGGTTGTCAAGTTGGAAAAGTCGTCGACAATGATTACAAAGTATTAGGGGTTGATGCTTTGAGGGTCATCGATGCATCCACATTTCTCAAGTCTCCAGGGACTAATCCTCAAGCCACAATCATGATGCTCGGAAGGTAATTAAACACACATTCATAAACCAAATTTTTCTAAACATTTTTTTTCCATCATCTAAACATATTAATTATATAAGATGTGACTGAAGGAAAGTTTAAATGTGTAGATATATGGGGCAGAAGATTCTTCGAGAGAGGGCGGATTTTCTGGAAACTGAAGAAGAAGCATGAGATCTTAAATATGCTCAAAAGTCTTGTTATTGATGAGGATCGTTGCTTGCTCTGATGAAATATTGAGAACAAATCTCTTCATCGTTCAAAGAAAGGAAACTCTCAAGGCATGATCAGTATACTGTATCAAATATATTTCGTGATCTTGGAGTGACTTTCTCTAGCTTGTAAAATATGTGATTTTTTTTTTTTTTGGGTTTAATATGTAAAATTATATTTAAACAACATTTATATTTACGTACAGATGTGAAGTTATTTTGTTCAGGAACACTAATGAAAATTGACGTTCTTAGGTTTTTGTTAAAAATATTGATGTTAATCAGTGACTTGTTAAACGACTAGGAAAATGACCTGACGGTTAGGTGTGATCTTCGAAATCTAAGAATGTTTAGAATTTCGTTCATTCTTTAAACATGTAAGGTTTTGAAAGAACGGCATATCAAAAGTTAATTATATACATACATTTAAAAGCACTTTTTATACATGCATGTATACATAACAAACATATCTAAGATCTGTCGTAAGAAAAACAATCCAGCATGTATGTGTAGCTAACATGTGATTGCAGCTTCGATATTTTGTTTTTTTTTTTTTAAATTATTCAATGTTTTCCAGCACTATGTAGTGTTTTTTAATTATGGTCCAAAAAATATACTATATAGTATTTTATATACAGGATGCTAGATCATTCACAGATCCCATATGCATGGTTTGTTGCATTTAATAAGTCAATGACAAAATAAATTAATGCATGGCCTTTACAATTTCAACCTTTTTTTTGTATCCATAACCGGATAACCCCATCACTATGATGAAATAGTGTCAATGTCTTTAAGCAAAAAAAAAAGAAGAGAGAATAGCTACTAAGGTCAACGTGAACGCAAAGCTAGCATAATCATAATTTTACGTAAGGATGAAGTTAAGATTACGCCAGGTCCAGGACATGGTGGCGGTGCATTTGCAAAACTATTAATGATTTTCTCTTTCTGTTCGTCCAATCAAAACTCGATGGCTTTCAAATTACGGCGAGACCGTTACGTCAACCGTATATCCTCTATATATATATTATCTTTGGATTCATTCCAAAAACGCCAGTTTTTATTTATGTAGTCTTTACTTAATTACTTATTATCACAGTATACTCTTATCATACAAGTAGATGGTCATATTTTATGAAAATCATTATTTGGAGTCTTATATTGAGGAGGTTAATCAGAAAAGTTATATATATATATAGTATTAATTAATTTGATTTTAAAAGCTTAACTAGAGAAGGAAAAAAAACCCTATTAAGGTGACTGGTGACACATGAGATATATAGAAATGCCAAACGGTCTGATCCAGTGAAGAGTAAAATCGACTAACCGATTACAGGATCTTGATAGGAACAAATTTCACACACGATATCGTGGAAGGGTAGAAAATTAGAGATGGACATTTTTTTTTTTGTGGTAAAATTAGAGATAGAGATACTCGTGTGGGCAAATTTTTAAATTTTTTTTTTTTTTTGTGTCGGCAAATGTTTCTTTTTCTTTTTTAACTTGGATAAATAACACAAATTAAACGTGGGTGGTGTGAGATGAGGTAGATTAGAGTTGATGTTTTTGCGGATTGCATTTTTTGCGAATTAGTCTACCAAAACACGTAGTCCAAAAAGATTCAAGGTTTACATTAATTTACCACGTTGTCTTGACACTTGAGACTTGAGAGAGTACAGGCATGAAGCAAATTGTGCTACTGGCAATTGTCCCGGTCTGTGCCAACAACAAAAAAAATGGCAGGGATTTGGCAGCTGCGTCGAAACAAATGACGAAACCATGCAATGCCTCTACCATCATGATTCCATTTCTTGAATTTTAGTTGTTCTTCTTATTGACCGGACACAAGTTTTTCTTTCTTTTTCTTTTTGTACACATAAATCATCATCAACTGCATATAAAATAAAATAAAATATTTCTTGCAATCTGTTCTAAATTAAACAAAGTATGCATGGTTGCATGCACTCTCGAAGAAGCATTATGCATGAAAATGTAGTGACATTTGAGGCATCAAAGATAGTACTAGCGATATATAATAATATATATATATATATATATATATATAACATACAATGAATAATTCTAGATAGATAAATACTTGTGTGGGCAGAAAAAAAATTATTTCTTTTACTTGGATAAAATAAACATCAGAAAACGTGGGCGGTGTTGATTACAATTATGGAACACTTACATGTATATCCTTTAAAAAAAAAACACTCCTATATGTACCTGTGTATTAAAAGTTCTGAAAATATTGGAGAATAATTTAAAACAAATTCCAGAAAATGGGGGTATTCCCATTACATCCATGACTAAACCCCACATGGCAAAGAAAGCTGGATTGAAAACGAAGAAAGTAACAGCGAAGCAAATACTCCACGTTGAATCAGTCAGAAACTCCTCCACGTACTTATTGCATTTTTTTTTTTTTTGATTATTAATCTACAAGAGTCAAGACCACAACACAATCATTCATTCAACTCCAATCATCCAAAATATGAAATACCCACAAATCAATACAAAAATCCACGTGGCATGTACACCCCACTATCGTTCTCGTTATAATATTTTTCTTTTTTGTTTTTTGTTTTTTCCCCTCTGTTAAGTAGCATAAAAAAAACACACATACCCACACAAAAAAAAAAAAGCCAAGCATTTCCAACAAGCTACGGCAAAAGTCTTTTTCGACGGTGGCTTTGGCCTCTTCTTTTGAAACCTTTTAGTTCTGGCGTCTATTAAGGTCCATAGTTTTTTCTTTTTTTACATGCTCGATTATTCTTTATTTTATTCTATATAAAGTACTAATTATCTGTATACCGGTTAGTATTCTACACGTTTATCTAATAGTAATACCCATGGCGAATTAAACCTTTTTTTTTACAGCGATGAATGTTGGATCTTATTTTTCTCTGTTCGTTGAACATAGTACATATTTTGATAAAAGAGAGCACATTGTTTTGTTTCATGAGAAAAAAAAAAACGAAGTTATAGCTTATTTATTTTCGATTGTCAACAAGAAGAAGTTATTGTGTTACTGAAACTCTGGTGCATCCTCTTAATTTATTATCGGCCAAACCACGGGGACACGCGCTTTAAATTAAGAAAATTAAAAACAAAGTTGAAAAGTCATCTTCTTCTCACAAAATCGTTTCCTCAGCCATGCGAACTCAAACTCCAAGCTCTCTCTCTTCTTCGTCTTTTAGCTTACTTTTCATTTTCTTTTTCCTTTCTTCTTCTTCTTCGTCCTTTAATCTGTGATATAATTTCAGATCGAGGATCGATTTTCTCAGCTTCCGTGTTTTTTTTTGTTTGGCTTACTTGGTGTTGCTCAACTCCTATTTCCAGTTGTTGTCTTCTCGGTTTTTGGCTCACGATGAGTAAGAACTGGAAATCCGTTCGATTAAGGCTCCGAATGCGTTCTCTCATGTTTTTTATGGTGATTTTGAGCTTCGATTCGTGCTATTCGCTGAAGTATGAAGGTATATCGGTTTTCGTTTCTAATTTTTTTTTGGCTGCCAATAAATAGAAGCGAGTTCCTGATAATTTGTTTTCCTCCTCTGTTTCGCTTTCGGATTTCAGGTGTGGAATCCAAAGGAACAGTGACGGAAGATCCATGGTCTGCTAGAGATGCCGCGGATTTGTAAGTTGCAGCTTTCGATTCTTCTGTGTTTGCTTTAGTTTGATCAATAAGCTGCTTGTTTTAGTATGTGCTAGGTATTTGGATAAGACGTCTTGTTGATTTTCAGATTTATAGTTTCTCAAGTGTTGCCAATTTTGTTATGCTAAGATCTAATGTGCGATGATGTTTGATACTGCAACTTGATTGTTCAGTGAATAGGTTGCGAACATGATTTGAAAATGACTTATTGGTTGAGCATCAACATCAATGTAGTTGGTTTGGTAGATCTATGACTTTAACACCATACTTTTTAGCTTATTTGAGTGAACTAATATTATTTTTCTAAGTGGTAAAATCTATGAGTTTCGAAAGGCTTTGTTGTTAGTTGTTATGCAACATGAATATAGACGCTGTCTTTTTATGCATATGTATTCCAATACTTGCTAAATATTCTTATAAGCTACTGCAATCATAATCATATCAACCTTATTTAGAAACTTGTTGCTATATTTTTTTCCTATCTTTAAGCTCAATTTCATTTTACCTTCGTCTTTTTCGTAGGAGAACGTTTAGTTTTCACCGGAAATTACTTGGCCGTTTCCTTAACCCCTACCACAATTTGACTGCGTTCAAGGACCGGCCGCCTGTGGCAAGTGTTACACCACCGTCATCTTCGGTTTCTCCCAGGTCTAATGCCACTAAATCCTCAACATTGCCTCCTCCGCCACAGAAAAGTCCTCCTGCGCTAAATGTTTCTGCTCCACCTCCTCCTTTACCCCGTGCAAATTTTCCTAGTCTAAGAAGAAGCTCCAAAACCAGCATGGTTCCTATTATGGCTGGCTGCATAGGCGGTGCTGTGTTTCTTCTCCTTTTAGCTATTGGTGTCTTCTTTTTCAGAAGTAAGGCTGGGAAATCTGTGAATCCTTGGCGTACAGGTCTTAGCGGACAACTTCAGAAAGCGTTCGTAACTGGTAATTGTCTTTCTACGCCACTGATACAATATGTAAAGTCGCATTTTTAGTTCTTGAAGATTGAGGTTTAACCTTGCCTTCCAGAATTTTGGAGAAATCGATGTTCTTGTTGTTCTCAGCCCACGAATTTCTTTTGGTTTCAACATTAATGATGTTTGATGGTAATTCAGGTGTTCCCAAACTCAAAAGATCTGAGATTGAAGCTGCCTGTGAAGATTTCAGTAATGTCATTGGGTCTTGCCCCATTGGTACATTGTTTAAAGGGACACTATCAAGCGGGGTGGAGATAGCTGTGGCTTCTGTTGCTACTGCGTCTGCCAAAGAATGGACAAAGAACATAGAAATGCAGTTCAGAAAGAAGGTATATATGGTCGACCAGTTCCTTTATACTTTTAAAGGGTTTTCTGTCTCCTTATCGTTTATGTTCTTGATAATTTCAGATCGAAACGTTAGCCAAGATAAACCACAAGAATTTCATCAACCTTCTTGGTTACTGTGAAGAAGATGAGCCTTTCACTAGGATCTTGGTCTTTGAATATGCATCAAACGGATCGCTCTTTGAACATTTACACTGTAAGCAAAAAAGCTCTTTAGTCGCATGAGTCATTACATTTTAAGTTGTCTCGTTTCCTTCACGATTTTAAAGGGGAAACAATATTTACTTTTTATTTTGCAGATAAAGAATCAGAACATTTGGACTGGGTAATGCGGCTAAGAATAGGAATGGGCGTAGCATATTGCCTTGACCATATGCACGGGCTCAAGCCACCTATAGTTCACAGCAATCTTCTCTCATCATCAGTTCACCTCACAGAGGATTACGCTGTCAAAATTGCGGATTTCAATTTTGGTTACCTAAAAGGCCCATCCGAGAGAGAAACCAGCACCAATGCACTCATAGATACGCACATCTCAGTCACAACACAAGAAGACAATGTTCACAGCTTCGGTTTGCTATTGTTCGAACTGATGTCCGGAAAACTCCCAGAGTCTGTTAGAAAAGGCGACTCGGTAGATACCGGATTGGCTGATTTCTTGAGAGGAAAGACTTTGAAAGAGATGGTGGATCCAACACTGGAAAGTTTTGATGACAAGATTGAGAATATAGGTGAAGTGATCAAAAGCTGTGTAAGGGCAGAGCCGAAACAGAGACCGACAATGAAGGAAGTCACGGGGAGATTGAGAGAGATCACAGGATTATCACCGGACGATACTATTCCCAAGCTTTCGCCTCTGTGGTGGGCAGAGCTGGAAGTGTTGTCTACTGCGTGAAGAGAGAGTGAACTACTTTGCTTCACAAGGAAACTGTAAGTATTAATATGAAGACTGTGTGAGGTTTTTGAGCCTCTGTGGAGCTAGTTGCTTCTCGTTAGGCTACATATCTAAAATCTATGCAAGTTAGTCTATAAAAGCGACTCTATAATCTTAGTTGCGTTCAGTATCAAACAGTACATGTCCAAGAGCACGGTGATACCCTTTTTGGTGTGCATAATGTCAATGGTGGTTATTGTGTTTTAGGTTTTATTAATTTCTTGAAAAGTTTTAATTAATCAGGTTCTGAAGTAACATAAAGAAAGCCGATCAAAGTATTTATCACAATGTTTGGTCGGTCAAAGAATCTAGTTGAGAATGGTGCTTCAGGCTTGCAGTTGATACAGTCTACCTAGAATTGGCTACCTCTAATATTCAAGCCATCCGAGGAATAAAGTTATTCTTGGTGGGTTCCTAAACAAGTCTCATCGATAAACACAGAGTTCTTAATATCTTAATTAGCCGGCTTCATGTTTAAGTTCAGAGTTTCTTAATGATCCTTGTCTTCACTTGCCACAGTGTGCGCAGTTAAATTGGTTGGTTTTATACCTCTCAATAGAATTCAAAAGTGAAAATATTTTAACCCTTTTCGGATTCTCATACCATAGTTAAATGTAATATGTTTATATGTTGACAAAAAAATAAAACGTATACCAAGAAAGAAAAGAAAAAAAGGAAAATAAATTGGAGTCGACGTGAACATGGCCCATCGGTGTAATCCAAAGAGATGCCATGTGGACCGTCAGATTAAAGATTGCATCACACGACAATCACACATCGTCTACACAATCATCAAATCATCCGCTTCTGGTTGGATAAAAAAAAAACAAAAAACAGGAAAAAGAAAGAAAAGAAGCAAAATCGTACATTTGAGAGCGCAGCTTTTGGGAGGAGGGTATATGCTTCGAGTATCTCTCCTTATCCCTCCTCCGGGTCTTCTTCAAAAACCCCACTCCTTCTTCTTCCTCCTGTAACTTCCTCTCGCCATGGCCAATCCTCAAGCTTCTCCGATTCTCCACAACCACAATCATCTCTCCTTCTTCCACTTCCAAACTACATATTCTCGTCCTTCCTTTACCTCTCTGCATTTCAGGAAGCCTCTGCTCTTTCTCCCTTCTTCTTCTTCTTCTTCTTCTTCTTCATTTCCCTCGCAATTACCTCAGAGCGAGCAGCAATGTAATCACCAGGTGAGACGCGTGTCCACCGTACCTGTGGAGTACTCAACACCGACTCCTCCGGAATCCGACGATTTCTCATCGGAAATCGATCGGCTTAAGGCTCTCCTATCGAAACTAGACGTTTCCAAGGACCTACGGAGGAAGGAAGCGGTCATCGACGCTGATTCCAGAGTTCGTCGATTCTTCAGCGATAATCGAGGCGGTTTATCCAAGGTTTTAGCTTCACTTGGTTTGAATTCGAAAGAGATGTTTCTCGTCAAGTGTGTGATCGCTGCGGGGCAAGAACACGCGCTCTGTGTGGGTTACGAGGAAACATTTGAAGAAGAAGAAGAGGAGTATACAGTGAGGAGTTCTGTGAAGAACGCGCTTTACGCGTTGGTGGAGATGATAGAGCGATTCGATGTGAATAGCAACGGCTATAAAGGTAGAAGAGAGACGTGTACAGTTTTAGATGCAGAGGAGATTGCTCACTTTAGAAAGTTCTTGACGTTTCTGGGAGAAATTGAACAGTTCTACGACTGCATTGGAGGAATCATCGGGTAACAAATACTTAACTTCCTTTTAGTACTGAAATTTGATGAACCCTTAAAGGAGATCCCTTGAAAGTGAAAGAAAATGGCATTTCTCTCTTTGATATATTCACTGCTGAGACATGCATGATTGTTTGTCAGATATCAGGTTATGGTTCTCGAGCTTCTTCACCAATCGACTAAGAGGCATAATGCGAGCCGATCACATCTTGTTGAAGAGTCTTTAAGTTGCCAGTACTTAGAAATGCACTCTCCTAGCGTTCTTGACCTCACTCAAGAGAAAGAGTTTGCCTCCCAGGCGGCATTATGGGGAATTAAGGTTAGTAATGTGTTATTGCTTTCAATATTGACCGAAATTGTTGTCTATGGTTTCTGGATTATAAGTTGTTGTACATATTAGGGATTGCCAGATTTAGGTGAGATATATCCCCTAGGAGGTGCAGCAGACAGGTTAGGTTTGGTCGATCCAGAAACAGGAGAATGCCTTCCGGCAGCAATGCTTACTCATTGTGGACGAACTTTGTTGGAGGGACTTATTAGAGACCTTCAGGTACAGGTTCACTAAATACTTGAGTGATTATTGGTAGTTTTTTTTTTTTTGTATTTGTATGAATGAAACTGAAAAATCAGCAGCATTTGAGGTATAAACAACTGTATTTGTTCATATGAGTTAGTAATGATATTTGGTTATCCTTTTTTCTTTTTGTAATTTATAGGCTAGAGAGTTCCTTTACTTCAAACTTTATGGAAAGCAATGTGTCACACCTGTTGCCATTATGACAAGTGCTGCAAAGAAGAACCATGAGCATGTAACTTCGCTTTGCAAAAGGCTTGAATGGTTCGGAAGGGGTCAATCAAATTTCCAACTCTTTGAACAGGTATAGGAAATATATAATTTCTTTTGATTCATATTACCCTTTTTGGCAACAACTGTATATTGAGTATACTCACGGTTGAAAAAATGGTTTTTGATCTTTAGCCTCTCGTCCCAGCTGTCAGTGCTGAAGATGGTCAATGGATAGTATCAAAGCCCTTCGTGCCAGTTAGTAAACCTGGTGGTCATGGTGTGATTTGGAAATTGGCTTATGACAAAGGCGTCTTTAAATGGTTTAATGACCATGGAAGAAAAGGAGCAACCGTTCGGCAAGTTAGGTTAGTCACGTGTAGCTTGTGTTGTTGTTCATTAAAATAATTTAAGAGGTACCTGGAATTCTTGACTTAGTGTTGATAATTGTGATATTGCAGTAATGTTGTCGCTGCCACAGATGTTACTCTCTTGGCCCTTGCTGGGATTGGTTTACGGTATAAGAAGGTAGGCGTGCACTGTATTTGTATATTTAGAATCCACACATTGGACATAGATTCAAAAGATTATTTATATCACTTTTGGTGTTTATTGCTAATGGTCCCCTGATAGCTGGGCTTGAAGAAGATTTCTATATTACGTAGTAATGTTTCTTGAGCGTATATGATGAATAAGTTCCTGTAGAAGTCTGAGCTGTGTCTTAGGCCTCAAACTCTGTTTAGTTAGTTTTTGACAGTTAACTGTCTACTAAGATGGCGATGCTTTCCAACCTTGCTTACTAGTTTTGAACACATATTAACTAAGTGTAATCACAGCTCTATCACTTCAAGAAAAAACAAAAAAGTGAAATAATACCTTTTTGGGCTTGGAAACAGTTGATCACCGCAAACCTTGATATATTGTGAATCTTAATGTGGCAGAAACTTGGATTTGCATCCTGCAAAAGAAATGCTGGAGCAACCGAAGGAATTAATGTATTGATGGAGAAGAAGAATCTTGATGGGGAGTGGGAGTATGGTGTATCATGCATTGAGTACACTGAATTTGATAAATTCGGAATCTCCAACAGATCACTAGATTCAAATGGGTATGAGATTTCTGTCATTTAGTTTGTTTATCCTTTAAAAAGTTGGATATACCGAGAACCGTTTCATAGTATCCAAGTTCTAGCTGAAAAAAATGAGCGTGTAATTTATCTACTCTATTATTTTCGGCCTTCAATGGTAGTTGTTCTTTCTTGTTTTCTGGTTAAACCTCAATTCCCATATTTTTCTTCAGCTAAGAGTGCAATGATCAAAATCAAATCATTTTTTCTTTTCTACTTCTTTCTGAAGCTTGCAGGCTGATTTCCCTGCCAATACAAACATTCTATATGTAGACTTACATTCTGCCGAGTCAATTGGGTCGAGCAGTAGTGTAAAAAGTCTGCCAAATATGGTTCTCAATACAAAGAAGCGAATTGAATACACTGACCAGTACGGAGACTATCACAGGTTTGTATTTCTGAACACTTATGCTGACTGATCTTCGATGTTCCCTTGTTATAGTTACCATTCTTCTCGTCATCGGTCAAATCGAGACTGCTGGGTAGCTAAAACGGAAATGGACTTCCATTTCCTCTTGACTCCTAGCACTTTTTTTTTCTAGATCCCAATTGCCTTGAAATGTATACTTCAAATAAACTTTACGAGTTTGATAACATCGGTAGCAACTTTCTTATTATTTTTTCTTTTCGGGCAGCGTTATGGGTGGTAGATTGGAGTGCACGATGCAAAACATAGCAGACAGTTTCTCAAATAAGTTTCCATCTAGATGTCAGGGCAGTCTAGAAGGTAAAGTTGTTTGAATAAGTTGCAATGTTTTTATGCATATCTGTATTTAGGTGTTACTAACTCGCTTAATATGATCTTACCAGACAAACTGGATACATATATTGTGTACAACGAACGAAGAAGGGTCACTTCATCAGCTAAGAAGAAGAAACCACACGCAAGTGCTGCATTACACCAGGTTCGTTTCTCTAACCACTTTCTATGTCCTTTGTCTTTTCCTTTGTCGCGTTGCTTTGATTTAAACTAATTTTTTTATCTAGTGTAATATGACTATTTTTCGAACTTATTTCTTTCTTTACAGACTCCAGATGGTGCATTGTTGGATATACTCCGGAATGCATATGACCTCCTTACAGAATGTGATATTAAAATTCCCATGGTTAGTTCATATGTACATCTCTTTTATATGACTTGTTTTAATTATCACAGAGCCATGAAGATGTTTTACATCTCTGAGTGAATCTTATAAATCACAATTTCAAATTGAGACCTAATAGTTTCATTCTACTTCAAATTGAGAATTAGTAGTTTTCTACTTCTCCAGGTTGAACCTAATGATAAATATGTGGATTCCCCACCGCCGTATATCATCCTTCTGCATCCTGCTCTCGGTCCTCTTTGGGAAGTTTCAAGACAGAAAGTAAGTGAATAGTCTGTTCGTGACACTAGAAAATGCCCTCTAGAAAGTGCTTTAGTATAATTGATCATATATGATAATTGTTGCAGTTCAAGGGAGGGTCCATTTCCAATTGCTCAGAACTGCAACTAGAGATTGCAGAGGTCTCATGGAACAATGTTCAGGTTCCATATTTTATTCTGTTAACTAGATTTTGCATTAGCTTTCATCGTGTTGAGTTTCTTAAGTTCTAAATCAGCATCCATCGCATAGGTTGACGGTAGCTTGATCATCACTGCTGAGAATGCCATGGGTTCGACAACAATAAACGAAAATGGTGAACCAATATTACAATACGGATTAAGGTAGAGCAGTTATATATCAAAATTGTACTGGAATTTCTCTTTAAGATACATGTCTGTTGGTTTGCATATGAATTCACACAACTTGTTTTTGGTAGGTGTGGCAAGTGTAAACTGCATAACGTCAAGGTAGTGAACCAAGGAATCGATTGGAAGAGTAAATCAAATGTTTACTGGAGAAACGATGTGAACCGGCTTGAGACTTGTAAGATCATATTGCACGGAAATGCAGAATTCGAAGCCAGCAATGTAACTATACAGGTAAAGTAAACGTGGAAGTTAAAATCCTTGTTCAACACAGAGATTAGAGTGTGTCTGCTTCGAATCAAGTGATCTCTATTCGCTTTGTCGATGATACAGGGAAACCAAGTTTTTGAAGTACCAGACGGTCACAGACTGAAGATCACACAAGGAAATTCAGGTCAGTGAATCATATCAAAACCAATGATGATATTAATTGAGGCCAAGTTGACACTAGTATTGATTGATTGCATTATTTTGGTGATAGATTTAGGTTTAAGCATCAACTTGGAAGCAATAAGAGAAGAGGTAATGGAAACAGGAAGCTGGTATTGGAACTACCAACTCGATGGATCCCACATTAATCTCGAACAAGTAGAGGTGCCACAAAGCTAACTTACTTGGGAGCTAAGCCTCCCAATGTAGAAAGTGTCGTGTAATAAGTAAATAAATATCGCGAATAAAAGTAGAAAGTTCTTTCCTGTAAATGTTGCTCACTTGTAAATTAAACAAAACGTGTTCTCCAATTCTATCTTCAAGGCGAGTTTGTCTGCAACTGATGTGAAATGTGAAATTCAATTCATTGGAAGGATTCTTAATTGCACAAGAATCCATGAATTGGAAGCAAATACGAAGGTATATGTATCATGAAATGTTGTAAACTCTAAAGAAGATCTCCATCTGCTAAAAATGCAAAGAAGCTTATAATAAGATAGATCTTCACAGTTACAGTCTCTTTGTTCCACGATCCATAGAAAAGAAACCAATCAGATTTTATCTCCCTCAATATCTGCTGCTAAGTTCAATTTTTATCAATGTAGTGTTCTGCTCTCTGTAACAATGGTGATCGTCTTTCTTCTTATCAGAATCAATCATTGCTCTTTTACTACAACATTGGTCTCATAAAAATCACGCAAAGCAATTCCCATTCTGAGTCCTCTCACACACATCTCTTTCAAAACCAACTTGGCTTCCTTAAACCTCTTCCTCTTGATAAGCTTACTAGCCAAACTCCCCAAATTCTCTTCATCCAATCTCTTATCTTTCCCTGCGTACGCCATCACGAACTCCACTCCCAGCGCATAATAGCCACTCTCAATCATCTCCGCTATAACGTGCGCATGAGTGGCGTACAATACCGGTAACCCTTCTTCCTCCATCCTCCTCAGAATCGCCATCGCCGCCTCCACTTTCCCCGATTTACACGCGCCTAACACCAGCGCGTCGAAAGTACGCGTGTCCGGCGACATCCCTTCCTCCTCCATCTTCCTCACCACCTCGCTCGCCTCCGCCACGTCACCGTCGTAGCAGTGCGAAGTCAAAAAGTAGTTGTACGACGTCACGTCCACCGGAATCTCGTGAGATCTCATCAATTCCACTACGCGCCAAGCTTCCTCGATCTTGTTCTTCTTCGTGAGCGTGTTTATGATCGGATGGAATGTGCGAAACGAGAGACCGAATCTCCCGCTTGCCATATCGCCGATCAGGATCAGAGCGTCGTCGGTCCGGCCGAGTTTGCAGAGTCGCGCGATGAGAGTTTCGTAGGCGTGATTCCTCGTGTAGCCGGGGTCCGTTTGAGGCAAAACGCGGCGGAGATCTTCGAGTGAGGAGGAGTAAGAGGCGGTGTTGGTTAGGAATTTGAAAGTTGCGGTGGTGTTGAAACAAGCGTTTACGACGCGGCTGTTTAGGAGACGGCGTACGGCTTCGAAATCGCCGGAGCTTCCTGCTTCGTAGATGAGGTTATCGAACTCAGTGGTAGTACGACGATGACGAGGAGCAATTGGATTGGTATTTATGGTGGAGATAGATCGAAGGAGAAATCTCGAATTAGTTGCTTCTTTAAAGTATCGCCGGAGAAGAGACATCGTCAAATTTAAGGCGCCGGAGATTAGTAAAAATGACTCTTTTTTTTCTCTCTTCTGGAGGGTTTTAGCCGGAACATTTAGGATGAAAACAGTACTGTGAGTGATGAGTGTAGATGGGCCTATTAGGCCCATAATAAAGGAACGGGCCAATAGTAAAAGCCTAAATGTATTATTGGTCTCGATCCATTTCCTCTAGGGTTTCTGGAATATATATTTCATCTTGTTTTGTCACTCACACTAAGAAATCGTCGATTAGGTTTTGTGAAAAAGAAGTCATGAGAGCTAAGGTAATATGATCTACTTCCAATCTTCCCGATTCGATTGTTTCAGAAAGTTTCTTGCTTTTTTCCTAAGTGAATAATTAATTGTGGATCTGGTGGTGTTTTTGATTTTCAGTGGAAGAAGAAGCGTATGAGGAGGTTGAAGAGGAAGAGACGAAAGATGAGACAGAGATCTAAGTAGGCGCATCAAATCGACAAGTCTTTCGCTTTTCCCTCTGCTTTGTGTTTCGTTTTTTCCTGGATTTCACCGGAATTAGATAACAATTCTGTCTTTTGTTTCAATTTTCAAGAGAATACATTTTTGTTGTTGTTGGATTGAATCTATTTTCTATTAATGCGAGGCTTTATTGTCTTCATATTGCTCTCTTGCGTATTTACTAGTTGATTCACACTCTTTTATCGAATTACTCAAATCTCTTATGTTTAGATTGAAATTATAGTTTCATAAGCACTAGAAGATGTTTGTCTTGTTAATAGGTTCTCTACTGCTTTCTTTAAATTGATCACACTCTTGTACATTTGGATGGCTAGGATGTTTTTTTTGTACATTTATAATAATTTGATTGCGCTTAGAGCTACTGATCTTTTCTTGGACATGCTAGTCAGTCTTTTTTCTCACTTTACTGTCATAAAATTAATCAAAGCCTATCGTTCTCATACTTGTGATATTGGGAAGCTGAAAGCCTGAAACTGTGGATGATGAACAGATGTTATGATGACTGAACGTATAAATTGTTTTAAGGCCTTTTTTTGAGCCTGGCTCTCGTCTCTTGAGATACGTCGCTCTTGTTGTCTCTTAGGAGTCTTAATTAGTAAAGTCTTTCCCTTTGACCCTTACGCTCACCTGTTATATGAAAAAACTCTAAAAACTCGCAAACTGAGATAACTAGACTATACAGATCCGAACATGTCCACTCCCGTTTTATACAATTTGTTATTATTATCCCAAATCTCTAAATCATATTTGTTCCTTATAATCTGGTACATTTTTGAAGACGTCTTTCTTGGGTTAGCGGTTTGAACATATATATGTCTACGTACGTTGGCCTTTTTCTTTTTTGGGTATAATCAATCTATTTCCACATCTGTTTTATAAAAAGAAACTACAATGTAAATGCTATAACTTGAGAATAAAGCATGAAGAGATGTAATAGCAAAATTGTGTACTACTAGACAGTATACACTCAAACCAGCTTTGCCAAGTGATCAGCTTCCCCAAGTATGCATTTCAACTACAACTCTCACTCTTCTGCTTTGATAGTTTTCCTACTCTGGAAAATCCATTAGGCTTTGTCCAACATCTTCTTATATTTAGTTTTCGTTGAAGTGAATGGCACCGAGTTTCCAGACAACAAAAGTAGTAGCAAACATCACAGTGCTTATGAAGACAAAGGAAAAAGCGATGACGAGTATATCTGCGCTTCCAGGGAGATCAAATGTAAGGCCTTTCTTTGGCATACCTCTCCTGCTATCATCAAGCATGTTGGTTGGTGCTTCCGGTAGACCCGGTTTCCTATTTGATTTCTTATCACTTTCCTTGAGCACCTCAAGAATCTGGCTCCCCATTTTGGGTTTTGATGGTTTCGGTGTTGCTTCTGTGTATCGGCTAAGCACACGAGCCGCTCTTAGTCTCTCTCTTGCTGTCAATGGTGCTCTTTTCGCAGAACCATTGTTGCCTGACTCGACGGATTCACTTGCTGGTTTATTTGAATCCGAAGAGGAAGTATCGACCGATGTTGATGTGATTGAATTATCGTTTGTCTCCAAACAAGATAACACCAATCTTCTTTTGCTTGAAAGTAACAAACTTGTTGAACCATTTAGAGAAATGTGGAACGCGAAAGGCGAAGGCTTTAACGGTGTAGCTTGAGTTGTGAAACTACGAACCTTATTGGATCTGTTATGAAGCTTCAAAAGAGAGAAGGGTTTTTGTTAATTTCAGCAAAAAGAAGCTTTCTCCATTCAAGAGAGACCAATCAAGGAGAAATGAAACTGTGGAATTTCAACCCAAAAAAGAAAACTTTAAGGCTTACAAATTAAACCCAGTTTCAGGAATCTGCAGGGAAACGAAACAGTTTCGATTTTACAGAAACCAAAAGGATAATCAACTAACCAAACGAAATCATCCCAATTAAGGATAAGGTGGTTGTGAAGCAATTATACACAGGTGTATGAGAAACCGGATCACCAAACAAGAAGAAGAAGACAACAAATACTTACCGGAGAACTGAAGCCGGCGTTGAGAGCGACGGCCATTGTGAATAGATAAACGGTTTTTTAAGAGCGATGCATATGGAAGAAGACGAAGAGGGAGAGAAAGCTTTGCGTTTGTGGCAGTGAAGCTAAGCAGCGTATCCAAGATTACGTTCTCTTCATCCACTCGCTTTTAGAGCGCGTGGAAATCACGTGGTCGCTTCTTCTAAGAAAACAAACTTGGCCCACATAGAACATACTCAATTGCAAAACACAAATATAATTGGTTTAGGTTCACATAAAATCAATTTGAACATACTTGAGGCCTAACTATCTATTTTAATTTTATCGATGTAAATAAATTTAGAAAATTCATGACGTGAAATTCAAATTATGAAACATAATCGTTATTTGACATATAGTTAAATGAGAGCCCTGTCCTTTAAACAAATTATATTAGCACAAGTAGTGTGTCTAATGGCTATACGCATACTTGCTTAACCTTCCTGATAAACTCGGCTTTAACAAATAAAAATAAAAAAGTTGTCTTAACCAATTCCTGAACCTGGATCCTGTAAATGTGAGTTGCAATTGAATTCGTAAATCTTTTTATGACATTTTGGAAAACATGTAATTTTTTGTGTCTATAGATAAATAACTTCATCAATCAAGGTACAAGTTACAACTCATGTACAAGTTCAGAATTAAGTGCATGAACTTTTACATGTTTTCCCCTGTAAATAAAGAATGGTCCACTAATCATTGACTTTGCAAGTGATAATCGTTTGCATTGATGAGAGGACCCATCTAAACCGCTTGTCTTTAGTGACAATTCACACATGTAAATAATTGCTGATAAGCTTGACAAAAAAAAAAACAGAAATGCTATTTGCTTATAATATGAAAAATTTATGTGATTAAGAAAATAGAATATGAAAGATAAAGCTATCATTTTTATTTTAGCTTTTCCTCCGTCTCATATAGAAATGCTTTTGTACCAAATATGATAAATTTGGGATATCTATCCATCATATGTATGTAAGTAGATGGGCATGTTTATTAATTGTCTGTTAATTAATGCTGTCGTTCTTGTGAGCATTTAAAATTATATAAAACAGTACCTCTCATTGATCGGTCTAAATATGCAAGCGATTACTGATCTCGTTAGACATATTAAATCAAACAAAAGTCAGAGATGCTGATTATGTCATAAAATATTGAAATCTCAACACAAAAACTAAGTCATGATGTGGTGCGGAAACAACCAATTCCAGCTCAATCAAAACGCATTAATATTTATTTTATCTGATCACGATTATACATGTCTCATAGTTTATTCAAATCAAATAAAAACAAAAGACTTTTACTAAATCAAAAGACAAATGGTAGTAAAAAGAATGTCGGATCTTCCTGAAGCTCATTTCTCTCTCTGGAGGGAGATTTCGAAGCTTTCTCCTGCTTTGCTAATCTTCTCTCCCACAAGATTGTTTCTTCTGTGTTTGTGTTGGGAGCTCAAGAGTATCTGCAATGGCGACATCTTCCGATGGGCTATTCGACGACATGAACATGTTGGGAGTGATCGGATATGTGTTGGAGCAAACCAGATTCATCTTTCTCGTACCGATTCTGAAACTTCTGGTGAATCTATGTCAGGTTATCTCTCTGTTGTTGTTCATAGATGCAGCTTATATGGCTATAGTTGTAGCCATTGTCAAATTAAGTGGACGAGCACCAAAGAAAGTTCTCAAATGGGAATCCTTTAAGAGCGATGACGTCGAGCTAGCTCCTTCCAGCAATCATCCAATGGTTCTCATCCAAATCCCAATCTTCAACGAAAAAGAGGTGACTTGATTTCAAACAAAAAAAACAGAGCACTCTGTTTCAGAAAGCAGAGAGACTTGTGTTTCAAAAACAGAGAATTCTGTTTCACTAGTGATCTTTTTTATCTGCAGGTATGTCAACTTTCGATAGGAGCGGTTTGCAAGCTAAAATGGCCATTGGATAGGATGATTGTACAAGTGCTTGATGACTCAACTGATCCACACAGTAAGGTCCTTTCGTTAAACCCGTTTGAAACCTACATTGTTCTTTGTCTCAGCCACGGTTATTACAAGGTATATAACAAAAGGGTCTTTTTGAAACAAAACAAAAATATAGGAACTGGTTAGATTGGAGTGTAATAAATGGGAGAGTGAAGGTATAAAAATAAAGTCTGAGGTTAGAGACAGTCGAAACGGGTACAAAGCTGGAGCTCTCACTGCAGGAATGAAACATAGTTATGTGGAGGGATGCGAGTTTGTCGTTATATTCGATGCAGATTTTCAGCCTGAACCTGATTTTCTTCAACGTACTGTTCCTTTTCTTGCTCACAACTCTGAGATAGCTCTTGTACAGGCCGGCTGGAAATACGGTTAGATCTTTCTTCTTCACTCTCGAGCTTGCTAAAAAACCCATTTTAAAATCGATTTGTTCAGCTGATTTTGCTTGTGTGTGTGTGTGTGTTTGTGTGGCAGTGAATGCTGATGAGTGTTGTATGACAAGAATACAAGAGATGTCTCTTAACTACCATTTTGCGGTGGAGCAAAAGTCTGGATCCTCCTTACATGGGTTCTTTGGATTCAACGGTGGAGCATCCATATCCATGCTCTTGTGTGTTTTGTTATGAATAAGATCCTAAATTTGAGTGATTATAAAGGAACATTGTTTGACTGTTTAGGTACTGCTGGTGTGTGGAGAATTTCAGCTTTGAGTGAGGCTGGTGGATGGCAAGACCGCACGATTGTCGAGGACATGGATTTAGCAGTTAGGGCTTATTTAAACGGCTGGAAGTTTGTGTTTGTTGACGACGTTAAGGTTTAAGAAATCAAGAAACTTTCCAATTGTAAGACAATGACTCAACCTTGTACTGTAATGGCCTGAAAAAGTTTTGGAGCTCTTCTTTTTTCAGGTGAACAATGAGCTGCCGAGCTCATTTAGAGCATATCGGTTTCAGCAACATCGTTGGTCTTGCGGTCCAGCGAACCTCTTCAAGAAAATGGCCATGGAGATTATCCAAAAGGAAGTAAGTAGATTACATACAGCCCAAATCTGATTCCTTGGGAAGCAAGTATATTTCATTGACCTTTCATTGTTTTTGTCTCTGCATGTTGGATACAGAAAGTGTCTTTATGGAAGAAGGCGTATTTGATATACAATTTCTTCTTTGTGAGGAAGATTGTAGTACACATCTTCACATTCGTCTTCTACTGTCTGATTTTGCCTGCTACGGTTATATTCCCGGAAATAGAAGTACCTAAATGGACAACTATCTACATTCCAGCTACCATCACTATCCTAAATGCTATCGCAACACCAAAATCATTCTACCTCATATTGTATTGGATCTTGTTCGAGAACGTAATGGCGATGCATAGGAGTAAGGGAACACTCATTGGACTGCTAGAGACTAGTAGAGTTAAGGAATGGGTTGTGACACAGAAACTAGGAGAGAGTAATGCTCTCAGGCAAAACCTCATTCCTCACTATAGCTTCCCCGAAAGGTTTGAACTTTTTTTCCCCCTAGAGATCTTTATATCGCACGAAATGTTGTTAGAATGATTGATGTGATTGTGAAGTGGTTGAATTTTTGGTGCAGAATCCGATGGCGAGAGATAATGGTTGGGATGTATCTATTCATATGTGGATACTACGACTTTGTGTTCGGGAAGACATACCTTTATGTATACCTTTTCTTGCAGTCCATTGCTTTCTTTGTTGTTGGAGTTGGCTACATTGGTATGTCGGTACCGAGTTGATCACCGGTGACACGTTTAACTTCTTCTTCTTCTCCTCCTCCTACACATTCATTCTTTCAAAATGGTTCGATTGTATAGAGATTTAAAGATGTTGTTAGACATAGAGCTCTTCTTGCGTACACGAGAAGTCATCTCCAAACTGATAAATTGGATAGTGAGTGCAGCAAACAACTTTGCATCCAAAGAGGCGGGAAAGAGGAAATGTGAAAGCATATCCACTGGTGTCTAAGAAATACAAAGCTGTGATTGTAAATTATGTCCTTTTTGTCTTCTTTTTAAACTTTCAAATACTGATATGCGCATAGTTTTTGATTATATGTAACTTCTATTGATGAAACAATTTTTGAAAAACATACATTACTATAAAACAAAGAGAGTATCACAAGCTTTAGTCTAACCTCAGAACTGTCTAAGTCTTGACCCAAAAAAAGACAAGAAAAAAAGAACTGTCTCTATAAAGTTAAGTTGGTCAGTAGCCTCCTCCCATTGGTGGCATGCCATATGGTGGCATCGGAGGCATTCCCACCATTCCCGGTGGTGGCTCAGAGTAGCCTCCGCTCATTCCTGGTGGTGGCGGCGCAGAGTAGCTTCCGCTCACTCCCGGCACTGGCGGTGCAGGCAAAGCCAGTGGCAGCAACTGAGCATACATGTTCTGCACCGTAACACAACCAATTTATTGAATTTACTTCATTTTAGTTATCTAAACAAACACCTAACTGAAGTTTCACAAGTACCTGTTGCGACATAACCTCCTTGTCCTCTTGCTCTTTAGCCTTCACTTCTTTCTGTGCTTCTATCTTGTCTTTTATGAGTTCGTCGACTTTTCCGGTGTATTCGCGCATAAACTGCAGCAATCAGACATATAGGTTTGTGATCGAAATGGTGCATATCAACAGCATGAGCTGTTTCGCCGGTATAATGGAATAATGCTAAAGAGACTGGTGTCATATAACAGAGGAAAATAAATTACCTGCAAGAGGTAGGGCATGGCAAAGTCGATCATTTTGTTGATCCAAGCTAACTCAAGGGCAACATCTGGTCGGATTAAGTCGTAGCATACAAATAGACATGTTGCAAAACATTCCTTCTTTCCCTATTCCACGACAAAACAGTAATTGCTTCAGTGAATTATGAACAAATGCATGACGACAACAGATACATGGTTTCACAACTCAGGAATTTTTAGTACTAAAACCTGTTCTATGAAATAAACAAGCAACTCCTCTGCTAGTTCACGGTCTCCAGACTGTGAAGCCGTTTCCATGCAGTCCTTGTATAGCTTATCTTTTTTCGACAATGCAATGGATTGCTTCCACCTTCCAGCCTTTTTGTAGATGTAAGCCGATACACGTCTCATCTCGAGTAGTTCATGTTTCTCAATCTGCTCAGAATCATCCAACGGAATGGTTATATTATGGTTATAAGATATAGCAACATTCAATAACGCAAAGAGTCAAAGATGACAGAAATTACGCACCTTCTGAGCAAGACCTATTTGGTCAAAGCTATCATGCAAATCAGTGGATTCACGCAACCTGTCGTAATCTTCCTCTTCTACATAAATCTGGTTCAACGCTTCATTTACAGCGGAAACATTGTTGCTCTGAACAGCGACCATGTAGGGCTTGATAAGAAGCAGTTGTCCAGCCTGAAAAAGAAAAGAAAAGACATCAATAAGTAATTGAAGTATCTTACTTAGAACTACGGCAAATAGTTGAATGCTGCATGCATTTAATATAAAAATAAGTGTATACCTTGCGCATAATGTCAACAACACGGGAATGATCCAGCCTTAGTGCAAGGACATTGAGAACGTCGTTAATGATGTCTGGGTGTTCTTGCAAGTAGAAGTGCACTGCTTTGTAATATAGCTCCACATTGGCAACTTTGGCAACAATATCTTTGAACTGCATATGATCCCAAGCTTCCGGGGAGTGGTTCATTACAGTGGTCGCAGCATTATCAAATTCATCATACTGGATGTATAAGTAGACAAGTTCCTTCCAGTGTTGTTGCTCATCACAAGCTCGGATAAGCTTGGGAATGTTAAGTCTTGTTGAAAAGAGCTTGATATGCTCCATCAATTTCTCTGGACGGTATCTAGCATAGAGAACTCCCAACTCAGTAAAGATGCCCATGTGTGCGCGTTCCAATCCTAAACCACTCTCCATTAGAGATATTAATTCATTGAAGCATCCACGGTTCTGGTAATACTCGCTGACCTCTTCCAAATCATCAACCTAATTGTAGAAAAACAAATGTTAAAGACTGTATGATCTACTTAGCGGTAAACGAAAATCAATATAGACTATACGAGAAAGTTAGTATAACGTGCGCTACCACCATACATACTAAGATCTTAAGAGATATAATACTGCAGAACTGGTAAAAAAATATATATACTAAAAAGGACAAATTTTAATTAGTAAGAATTTGGGATAATACCTGTATAATGATGTTAAGCCCGCATATCTGTGCTAAGCGGAACTCTTCAGCATCAACGCAAGCAAAGCAAACTTCTTTCCACGTCTTTGCACTGTTAGCTTTCCTTGCTGCATCAACAGCACCTTGGAACTGTTTCAACTTCACAAGTGTGACTGCTAACTTGGCCCAGTTAGATATAAATGCATAAATTATCTTTGCAGCCTCATACATGGCTTCATCATATAAACGATCACCGGCAGTTTGCAAATTTGCCACATTCGGCATCAGAATAAACTCTTCAATGTCACCCAACCTGTCAATCTTTGCATAAGTGTATATCAGTTCATTGTCAACCTTGGGCTCCTTTACTTTCTGCCTAACCATCAGAAGGTATCTAACTAAATCATGGTAAACATCCCCATCCTCAGCAGCACGGATAACATCAAGGAACTGAGTGGCATCATCAGCACGGATAAATGACTCTATTGCATCACTAACAAGTCCTTCCCTAAGTTGCGCCTTAGCAACCTGACTCCAAACTGTATCCTCTTCGACACGGAATGCAAACTCAACAGCTCGCTCGATACTTCTAATGTTGTCTAGTAGCACATTAACGGCTTGAACATTCAAATTAAATTTCTTGAAAATAGAAAATCCTTCCTCATACAACTGGGCTTCCACAGCCACTTCCCCAACAGCAGGTCCATCAAAATTATCCAATCTGTTAACATAGTCCATGACTCTTGACGGATCTGCCTTGATAGCTGTCAAAATTAGCAGATTTTGAAGGTTGGAGTTCCCGCTAAAAGCTGAGTTCTGAAGCACAATCTTTTCGAGAAGCTCAATGAGCTCATGAGGTAGATCTGCTGTCATGAAAGCTTTAACAGCAGCTGATACTTGTTCAGGGCTCTTGCTTTCCGGTAAAGCAGTTGATACAACCTGATCAATAAGCTGCCTTCGATATTCATTTTCAGAAATAAGAACCTTATCCCAGAGATTTTCATCCATCCTTTCAACAACATACCTGTAACCAAGAAGAAACACGTAAGTACACGGCACTGGATGCCCAAACACGTAAGTACAAGGCACTGAATGCCCAAACAGCAAGATTTCCACATACCTAGCTTGCAATTTAAACAATGAGTTCTTATTTGTGACATTGATGAGCTCATCATCACACTGTCCTCTTTGGTAAGCCACAACTGCAAGGGTGGGATCCCGCTTCTCGCAGTACTTACCAACAACTCGGGAGTCATAGTAAGGGTTGGTAGTCAGGAAGTGCTCTGGATTATTGTTGCTGTCAATTATAATTTTACCCAGGGCATTGTGGACATGCACATCTTGACTTCCTTCACTAACCAGATGCTCGAGGAACTGAGTGAGAAGGCGAAGTCGGTTTCTGGAAAATAATATGGAAAGTTAGACTTAAGATACCAAGTCAAGGATAATAAACACAAGAAAGTATAAATTAGGATAAACCTCTTCTCACACTCCTCGACAAGAGGTTCAACTGGAAGTAAGGAACGAACAGAAAGGATGAGACCTTTGATGAAATCCTCTGGGCATTCATCATCCAACAATTGCCCCACGACTAAGGGGGCATTGCTAGGATTCACCTATGAAGAGATACATGGTGTAAATGGATGATCAACTAATCTAATACATTAACGATCTGTTAAAAGACCCAGTACCTTCTGCACATAACCTTCAATATAACGAAGCATGTTGCTGGTGTAGAGGTAATGAGTGAGATCTGGGACAAACCCAAAGCGATCACAAACATTGATCAGCGGACGAGCGTCAGGAAGTTTAGCTTCCATCAGAAAGTTCTTAGTTTTTTCAGGGTCATAGAAATTGGATTCTCTCGTCACACGCTCCACTTCTTTTATCTGGCCAGTTTTTGCAGCAGCCTCAATGTACTTGAAGTGAATCTCAGGATCCTCACTGCTCCAAAATAAATACTATATGGAATTAGCATCGTAAAATTAGTTAACAGAAGCAGGTGTTTTTGGAAGTTACCTCATACTGAGATATGAACCCAAGAAAAAGTACAGCCCTTCATATGACTTGAATTGCTCGAAAATTTTGATACATGAATCCACTCCCAACTGCTCACAGTATTCTTTGCAAGTCTGCATAAACAGCTTACCCATCAGTTTCAACCAGGATAACTTGTTCTTGCAAGAAAAAAGTGTATACGCACCTGCACAATTATCTGCAGATTTCCTCTAAGATTGACCAGCAAAAGGTCCCTCATACACTCCAAAGCCCATTCACAAGAAAGGGTACCAAAAAAATCCACAAGAGCCTGATATAAAATGAAAAATTAGCCATCCATAACTTATCACCAATTGAAACCTAGCTCAAGCACTTGGAATACCTGTGGTTCAATTGCATGGGTATTAACAATAACACGCTTGATGTCTGGCAACTCCGAGTAGTGCTGCATGGACCGTAGGGGAAAGTATTAGTTAGCAAGTGTACTAAAAAAACAAAGAGAGAACATACATGATATTCCAAGAAACAAAGGTTTTATTTACCTTAAGAGATTGAATGAACAGCCCAGCTTTTTCACAGAGTTGAGCAATACGCGGACGATCATAGTGAGTGAACATCCCATTGGCAAGAATTGCATCAGCCACATTGGGAAACGTTACCAAATTGATCTCGAGCACCTACAAGAGAAGAATTGGCAGAAACTTGAGATGATTTAGGAAGCTTATTAACTCACAGACTGTCATAATTCGATGAAATAAGTCTTGTTCTACCTTTGTCTGAAGAAATCCATGCTCAGGTAAATTTGGTTTCAGAACATCCAATAAAAATGCTGTGGCTTCTCTAATCAAGTTCCTCTGCCACAAAAGAAAAAAGAGTCAGTTGGACCTTTTTAAGAGCACCTACACAGCCCTTTTTCGCAACAAAATTCCAGTAATTAATCCCAAGTACCTGAAGAAAGAGATCTGTGATGGTATTATAATCAACTGGGCATCCTCCCTCCATTTGGGACATCATTAAAGCAAAATTCACAGCCCCCTGCAACTCGATGTTACAATAATCAGGAAGTTTTTCACATAACATAAGAAAATGTAAGACACGGCATTCAAGGTAAAGGTACTAAGAGTAAACAACTTAAATGTTTGTTAAATATATGGTTTCTCAAGTTATTAGTTGGTCTCCAAAGATTGATTCCACTGACCTGAGGATCTGTTCGAAGAATGGTTTGCAAGAGAAATAGGTAGTCAGGCGTGTACCCAACCTAAAAAAGCAACAACAGTTCAGTATTTAAAGAATTTTAAAAAATATTCTAGCAATAATAGAGAATTCATGCTATTGACCTGCTTCGAGTAGATTAAAATTTTGTCAAACTCCCTCCTTTCTGCAAAGGCAGCAACAACTTTGGGGGTCACCTTCGCTTTAATGTATATTTTCAGTGCAAGATCATTGTCCACAGTCTGAAACGCATATTCACCAGAATCAAGAGGTTAAAGTCAAGACTATAAAGAGCAAAACATTTTGTGTTTGATCACAAGTCAAACCTTCACAAGGTCTCCTAGCGTCTCACTGCATTCCAATTTGTCCTCTGCCAACCAATTTTCCAGAAGATTCTTTTTATTCTGATTCACAACAAGGCGAGCAAGCTCCAAGGACTCAAACTCATTAAGCTTCCCTTTAGTTAAAAGGGTCCCGAAGTACTGTAGCAGCGGAGGGGTTTGCCCAGCTTGAACAGGAACACTCTGACAAAAATTATTAACAGCAGTTAGTTATAAAACCTGACATTTCAATCTTCCTAGCAGTGGAAGAGTAAATCACAGGAAACAGTGAAAACCTGAAATTTAGCAACTGTATCAGGTGTTCGAAGGATTCCCTGAGGAGATTCTGCAGCAAGCTCAGCAGCCTCTTTATACTTTGTTTGCGCAAAAAGCTCTTGAAAACGTTGGACAACCTAAGATACAGGCCAAAAGATATCAACAAGAAAGAAGCATAGCGACTTTAAAGGACTGGTGAATAAGCAAAGAAGATATCAATATACCCGAAGCAATGATGTTAAATCAGTTTTAGCATCACTTCGAGGATAGCATATTTTGTCTAAATATGAGATGAGGTGAGTTAGTTATACTTCCAATGGAGGAAAACTTATCTATCAACTATAGTTTCTCTGCATCACATCAGCCATTTTTAACTGTGAATCTTGCTCTGTAAAGGATGCTTATGATATTATCGAAAAAGTGTTTTGCCAGTCATTTTTATTCTGCTCAGTTTGGTTCTCACGTTCAACATCCCAAATAATCATTGATAGCAATCACAACTACACTACTTGTTCATCCATTAATATACAATAGCATTAACGACATGGACTAAGATTACACATACTACTTACCAAGTTTTCTGCTCCAGGAAGGTTTCCTCTTTTCGCAAGACTGACAGCGAGCTCTAAATTGTTCAGCTGTAACATGTGGGGCAGATATTAGGATAGCTCTCCTACCAAGGAACAATAGTACTTCAAAGTTAAAAAATACCTGGCCACTAACAAAAGGCACTATAGTTGCATCATTTACGGTTCCAAGAAGAACTTGCCCCCTCCTATTGATTGCATAAAAACCCCCAACTGACTGGGCTTCAGAAGTTAAAAATATGGGATCTGGACTTATCCGATTTCTGTACACAGCAGTCGCTGTCTCCAGATCGTACACAAATAGTAGCCCAAGCTTGGTGATGACATATATCAAACCGTATTTATGAGACACCTGAAAGATGATAAAATAAACATCGTGAAATTTCCCATTGACGTTTCTAGAAACAGAGGACCCAGATTAGAGCTACAAACCTGCATAGCAACTGGGAAATCATCTTGAAAATCTGGAGGGAAAAAGAGATCTGCTTGCTTCTTGCTAAAAGATGGTTTACCTGGAGACGAATAAAACAGTCAGGACTCAGGACTCTGGACTATGCACAAGAAAATATTCGATACAATACAGACCACCAGATATGATTCTTCTGGACACAATATAGTAAGAATCGGTTTTTCAAAAGTTGATATTTCACAGGTTTACTTGCAGAGCCACACAAGAAAATCTATAACAAAGTTGAAACAAGCTTTCTCATAAAGCAGATGAGAGTGACAGAGAAACCAAAACCTGGTTGGGCACCAAGCTCAATCACATGAAGCTTAGATGTGATCTGCCCAGCATTTACACTCTTGGTTGCAAATGAGATAAGGGTAGAAGGATTTTCATTTCCAGGGACCTGCTCGGATAAAGCAAGTTGAAATTTGTATTCCAACCAAGCTGAAATTTACATAAAAGGGAAAACAAAAATATCAGTATCTGACCTTAAATTGAGCAAATGAAGCAGCATGAGCTTCAAGAGCTTGACTACGCTGCTGATCCACAGAAAAAAGCTGCATATTCCCTTTCACCAATTGCGGTCTCTAGAGAATAATGCAATAACTTAACATTAGAAATGAAAAGTTGAACCAATTCAGAGCAACAAAATAAATACTCGATACGAATTATATACAACAACAGACAATAAAATACATAACCCAGTTACCTCAGGTGCACCAGGGGCAATTCCGATCAAAACTAGCCACTTTTCCGAGGGATCACATTTATAGTTTATAATCTGATTATTTGCCAAGTTCGCTGTCCTATCAAACAGCTTAACAGGTGCAGAATCACCTGCACAGAGAAGAAATAAAGACATACAAATCAGAACCAACACGAAAAGAAATTTCCTGGTGCCAAGTTGAGATAGAACTGCAGTATACCCTCAATCGACCAGTGATATACAGAGGTTTGTGTGACCAAACCCAACATCTTTGGGGAAATCCACTTCCAAAAGACGACCTACACATTAATGGGGTAGGCTAAAGTTCAAATCCCAACGTGATCATAAACTATCATTGCTAGATTAAGAAATAAAATCTCACCTGCTCAGGCATCTGATGTGATTTTATTTTCGATTTAGCCTCAATGTTGAATATTTGCAGATGATCCTGAGTGGTTCCTTGTAGTTGAGCTTTGATAGAAAAAAAAAAAAAAGTTAACTACCTTCAACGAAAAATTACAAAATGGAGGGTAGTACAAACTGTAGAATAGAAAGCAAATTACAAAATTTCCTCGACATGGTGTCTCTTACGATGCGAAGCAACAGTTTCGATTCTGATGCAAACTAACTACTGATCAAGAATGATAGTACATTTTGCACCCAACCTACACAGGGGTTAACCGCTTAACAAAGAAACTGAAAACGACAGAAATGATTTTTCCAATAACAAATTATTATTCTTGCCACTACACTATCACTGTCAACATGACTCATGAAGCATCCAAGATTACTTTATCCAGTTAAGCTAGCACCTGGTTTTCAACTATAAGCAAACAGAATTTTTTTCTCATATGGTACTACCTTTCAACGCAAGAATCCTTGTATTGGGATTCATTAGAGCAGAATCTGCAGTGATGGGTCTCCTCAAAGGCTGCGTAGGCATACTCATGTCTATAATCACAACACTGTTCTGTGGCGCTGTTTCTCTCACACAAATGTACTTGTCCGACTCCATTGTGACACTCGTAAAGTTAATGGATTGCGGATTGATCCCAACGCTCGTAAGCTGCAAACATGCATAGTATAGTTCAGAACACTGACAAGTAGATTTCTCTCACATATCTCAAATCCGAAAAACATTGTCCACTGCATGACAGTTCACTAAACAAAAGCTAAAAGTTCTTCTCCTAGACAGATCTGAAAGTTATAAATCCAGAGAATAACTTGTTTGAATTCCTCGCTATGCCAATTTCAAAGTGAACACCTTCGTAGACTAGCATTTACTATAGGAATTAAGTCAATTCTTCGAACACCCAAATGTTTAATTTAAATTAGCATCGATTCTTCAAACTCAGTTACTGTGAGAGGGAGTTCTTCCAGAAGCGGAAACAATGGCGGATAGAAAAATATGAAAAGAAGAAAGAAACTTACCGTTAGGATCTCCTTCATGTTGATCGGAGCGTTTGCAGCAGCCATGGTGGTAATGGAGGTACAGGGATCAGAAAATCACGAGCCAGAAAAGAATTTCAGTAAGAATAAAAGAGGGACTGTAACTGTAAAAAGGGGACAGGTGAAGAAGAAGAAGAGGAGAAGACAAAATTTCCCAGTCGCTGCGAGATCTAAGGCAGCGATTTGCCCCTTCTCAAGTTACTGCAAATGAAAGAAAAGTGAGATTTTTTGCTTAAATGACATTTGACTAGAAGTGGAAAGAACCAGATTTGGGTGACGATATTAATGGGCCTATGATTTCTTAATATAGCCCAATAGTGGGTTTTTTTACTATTAGTTACTTGGCTATTGGAAATTTTTTTTAAAACTTCAACAATACTAACACATATCATTATGCTATATGTCTATGTTGAGCATATACATATCATTATGCTATATGTTTATGTTGAGCATATACATATACATGTTTTAATTTTACTTACACACCGCGACATATTAAAATTTGTAAATGGTTAACGAAATGACTTGCGAATTTTCTGTCACTATTCAAAATCTTATTATATCCAACACAAAGCAACAAATGAATACATATTGCCCTTTTATGTATAATTTTCAACAACATATCGACAGCTTAAAGACACAGTCGATGTGGGCAAGTTTTACCCAATTAATTGTCAAAAGAAACAAAAAAATATTTGGCATCCTTTGCTTTCCACCTCACTCCAAAGTTCAAGTGTACAAATACAGTTAAAAGCCCCTTCCATTTTCATCCTAATAGAACACTCTAATAAGCATAAGAAAAAACAAAACATTTGACAATTACATTTGGGAAAGAAAAATTATGAACATCATGATATCAAAAAAAAAAAAAAAAAATTCGAGGCACCCGATCGATGGAGCAAAGAGGGAGAATAAAAATAAAAAAGAAAGATCGATATTTCAACTTATTTGGTCTCTTTGGTCACGAACGGGAAATAATACGTGTGTAAAGGAACTCATTCCACGTGTCAGGTAAACCGGGAAGACACCAATGGATACAATCGGCATAAGTGTCGGGATCAGCTTGTTGCTCCGGCGTCAGCATTTTGCCTTGTCGGATTGTGTGAACCGAAGTGTGGGCATCTTTCCGGTATTCGGAGAGTCTCGTAATGTTGAGGAAGTAAACCGGAACTTTAAGAGAATGCGTGACGTTTTCCGCTACTGAAAACAGCCTGTAGTCTGTTCCTACGCTGAACGGCATTGACATGTTTAGGATCGGTGTCGTCTCCAATGCACACTTTGTCCCATCTGGATTCTCCCAGTCCAAGCTCCTATGATAATAACAAATTGCAAATAAGGATATTTTGTTAATCTTCGTTACACCAACTCATTTTAATAAATGATTATAGAGAATTTATTATTTATGCTAATTTTGTATATTACGTAGGCTTTTCAAGAAGGACAAAGACTTGTTATCTCTTTTTTCTAGTAGTTGCTTGGATTTCAAGTTGCGGTACGTCCACAGGTTAATAATATTTTTAGAATTTGGTACTGATAAATGATTGTACATGTGCTTGTTATGTGTTTTTGAAGGCAAAGAAATAACTAACAGTCATATATCTATAACAAAGCTAACAGAAAATAAGCTAAGCGCCATTACATATTACAATTGACAATCTATCACTAATCTAAAAAAAAATGATCAACCTTCTCCTATTTTGAAATCGGTACTGGCAAGAAAACTATGAAAATATGTTAATAACTAATTATAATGTTATGTCCAGTACTCTCATTTATATATTTATTTAGCAGGTCGAATGAATTAAGTAAGAAGGCGTTATGTTCTAAGAAGCAAGAAAACACATATCACATATGGTACTCAGATACTAAGCTAAAGTTCTATGATCAATTAATGGCCATATTTATATTATTATCTCTAACATCTTTATGGAGATTATGAAATGGTGACACTAGTCAAACATGGAGAGTGACCTCTCAATTTGTCAGGTCATATTGCAAGCAAAGCATCACTCGTTAAAAGATCAGTTTATTACTTAAAAAATCGTAATTAAGGAGAAGTAGAGAAAAAAAAAAAAAAAAAAGCAAAGAAGAAGAAGGATTAATTACTTGATGTGGAGAGGAGACATGCTAGCGAAGAAGACAGTGGTACGTAGAGGATCAATATTGCGTTCCACCCAATTTCCCCAAGTCCTTAACACTCTCTGGTACGCTACTGGCCGTTGGATCTCTTCGTACTCAGTGTCCCCTTTATCGAACGATCCTCGTCTGCTTTTCATCAATGATACAAATCCCAATTCATGACTTTGTAATTTACATACACATATTGATATAGGCACCATAAATGTAATTAGCACTTACAGGACTTTCATGGCGAATGTGTTCATCCACCAGATGTAAGTGTTGAAAACAAGAAAGTCAACGCCTTTCCAGTTGACTCCATGCTTTTCGATGGACTCAGGCATTATTATACGGTTAAGTATACTATGCATATTTGGATCATCTGAATTCGATTCCACCAAAAATGGCGCCCAATAAAACTCCACCGTCGCATTATAATCCTATTATTTTAAAAACCAAACCAAAAAGCATATATTAAATAACTAGAAAACATCCAAACTTAACTACTCTCAAAATCAGCAACTCCACCAATTACATTATTTTATATCTAATTACTAATTAGTCGAAGTTTGTTAATTACCTCGATTCGGAAGACGGAGAGAGAACCGGTTTTGTTCAAGCTCTTTCGACCGGGAGGAACCACTGATTGAACCAAACAAACCATTGATTCCCACTGATTCCGGTTTAGCGAATCCCCAACAAACATCATTCTCTTGTTTCGTAGCTTCTCTAGCAGCAATTTCGCTTTAAACCTTCACCGAATCAAACAAAACCAAGTGAAGTTAAGTTTAACCGTAACTAAATCAACCTAATAGTCAATGCAAAAAAAAAACAGAGCATTTTTTGGTTTACTTTGGTAAAGAACAATCTCTGGGTTGCCATCTCCAATTCTGATACAGAGAATCTCTCCTTCCGTTCCTCATGCAAGTCACTTGCGCCGTTAAGAACTCACATTGATCTTCTTTATACAACGGATGCGTCTCGTTATCGAAAACCCATTCTCCGGTGAACAGATCGCACTCCTCCGGCGGCAATTCAACGTCACCTCCGTCGTCTTCTTCCTCCGTCACAGCAAACAGTTCAATCTTCTTCCCTTCCTCTGTTTTCAATACTTCCTCCTGAATTGCCTCTGATTCTCTCACTAATTCTTGATCAGGTTCTGGGTTTTTGATCGATTCCCGAATTGGGTCTGCGTTTCCCGCGGAATCATGTATTGGGTCTGCGTTTCCCGTGGAATCATGAATTGGGTCAGAGTTCTTGATCGATTCTTGAATTGGTAGTGACGTAACCTCTTTGATCGGTTTAGCCTCCTCTTGGCTTCCTTGGACGTCGTTAGGTTTTGAGCTGGAGAAAGGAAACTCGGCTATGGATTTGACGTCCTCGTTGTACATGAAGATCCCGAAGAGGAAAACAGAGAAGACGACGACGAAGATCGAGAGATTACTGTTCTTCCTCTGTTTCATTGTCACTCCTGTTTCGAACAATGGGAATTTTCTTCTCCAGGGTTGCATCTGAGTTAAAAGAAAGAGTGGAAGAAGAAGAGAAATGAAAAAAAACAAAAACAAAAACAAAAACAAAAACAAAATCGAGGCTCTCGAAAATGTCAGTATGTTTGTGAGAGAGGAAGAAAGATCGATGGGAATATAAGAGCAACGAATAAAGGATAATTAAAAACAAATCGAAATTGTTATAGTTAGCGTTAATTAGTTTTGTGATTAATAGTTTGGTGAGGTGTGTTTATCTTGAACTGGTTTTCAAAAGCTTTCTGGTGAAGAATTTTTTTTTAATCAAGTTGATCAAAAAGCTTTCGCTTAACTAATCTATTTTCAAGTTGTAGAGTTTGGAGAGAAGAGTGGATTCAAAGATTCTAAAGATTGTCTCAATCTTCACCTAAAGAAAGGGACTAGAGAAACAACAATTGTAGAAGCAGCATTTTGTTAATTATACTTGCTTCAACACTTTTAGAAGCATACTTCTTTTCATTTTCACTATCCACATTATTTCCTGCTTGCTTACCACCAGAGTTTATGTTCGATCCATTTATATTTTCCGATCATGAATTATAATGTTTTTTCTTTTAATAATTTGAGTATTTCCTAAATATTGAAAAATGAAACCTATATTTGCCAGTTTAACTATATATGCGCATTACTCACGTATTTCATAATAAGTTCTTAGAAAAGGTAGTTTAGTATTGAAACATGTTTTCTGTTTAGATACATTATACAATATATATCTATGTTGACTACATATTATACATATATTATACATATATTATACATATATATTGTATACAGTAAAACAGAATGTCCACAGCGGCCTAATGACTACACACACACTCTATCTCTTCTTCACGAATATGTGAAGGGTTCAAATCCTGGGTATGGTTGTTTCTCTAACCAAAATATATGTATATATATATAACCTCAATTTGATATACTTTAACAAACAAACAAAAAACTTCAACTGGATAGCCTTTGTTATATATATATATATATATATATATATATATATATATATATTCTTTATCAATGAAACATATTTATATATGAAGAACGCATCGATATCTTGCGTCTAAATCCTAAACTAGTTCTAGCATCTGTTGTTGTCTTACTTAGAATTGGTTGTGAACTTGTGATACATTCACATACTTTTATGTTAAACACAATTTTACTCCCCCTAATTACCAATCTAAGACTAGATTAGCACCAGACTATTCTTTCGTTTTCGAAAACAATAAACTAATCTTTCGTTTTCTGTAATAATCATGCGCCCATCGCTGTTGAGGGTGAAGCATCCGTGTTCGTTAAGAGTGAAATTACTAAATATTTATATTCATTTTGCAAAATAAAAGGAAAATAAAAAAGACTGGTCAAGAACTCAAAATGATATAAGAAGCTTTGTTTGGGAAAATTAAAGGCTAAGGAATCTCATGAAACACACATTGACACATACAATATCAATATATATACGCACCAACCATTACCAATCCATTTAATTTACATCATCTGCTACTTCTTCATATATGTAATTATATATATTTATTTTCTTGGTAGGTCGATTGTGTATACAGTATACTTTATCACGACTCCATTTGGCTTTAGTTGTTAGTTTAATACTTGAATCCTTTTGCTTTGAACCAAAGCCAAAGGAACCCAACCAAAAGCTTTTGTATTTTTGTTTGTGTGAGTCGGAGTCGGATAATATACTTACCCATTTTTAATTCTATGATGATTTTACCTAAAGCTCACCACGTGCGTAATGATGTGGCTGAAGCACACGTGCGTCCAATAACATATTTGGCATTCTCTCATTAAAAACTTACATTTAAATTCCAATCAAAGGAAATTTGGCTTTGAACGAATTATCAACAACTAGATCACCATAAATTGGGTTGAAGATTTTTATATTGAATTAGGATCAAGTTGATTCAAATATTTTTTCATTAGTTTGAATTTCCTAATACGAGAGGGAGATATTTCTTCATTCTTTCTACAATACTTTCAGACCAAATTTTAAGCATTTTGATAACTCAATCGCGCACCAAAGAGTTCTATAAAAAAAGGACGTCTGGCAGATTTCATCACTGAGAAGGCAATAACAATTCTAATAAATAAATAAAAAATATATATATATATATACACTATATCGGAATTGGTATTGGTATCTGAGTTTCGGCCATATATACGGTTTGAAGTGCCTACAAAATAAGAAATCTCCGTCTTCGCTAGCTCATTTGTGTAAGTAATGGGAAGAGAGAAAGTAAATAATGTATATATTATTGCTTGACCATACACAGTTTAAAATTACAAGAAAATGAAAGAAAACACAAATCAACGAATATAGAGACTAAAAAGCTATTAGTCCATTGTCCAGTTAACTTTTTATCTTTTCTTCTCGTAGCGACTACAAACCATATACTAACAACAGTAACAATTAAAGAAAGTTACAAAAATTAAAGAATTAAATTGCAGAGATGGACCAAAACCCAATTATAAAAGCCCATCTTTTCTTAGTGTGTTTACGCCACAGTCTGCTCCTTCTCTCTGTACATTTGCTCAGCCCACGACAATATCCGAACCCTCTCATTCATCCCAAAGCCTCTCTCCGACACCACACTGTCTTTAACCAATGAGTTAACCCACGACACATCTGGCTCATTCCTGTAATCCCTCGCTACATCGTTGTTGTTTCCATGGATTCCAAAAGAAACGCTTCTCCTCATCTTATTCAGCTCCTCTCCTTGCATTCCCCACTCGAGCTTCCCACTCGGCGATCCCCAATCCGAGAGACTCGTTGGAGTTGCTGCTGCTTGAGCAGCTGGTTTGAAACTCAAGCTGCGTTTCGCAAACGCAGATGATCTAGCGTTCATAACTGCAGCAGCCACAGCCGCAGAAGAATCAAAACCATGGTGAGAAGGTGCTGGCCTCACAGGGGAAGATGGATAATGCTGGTTCATGCTTTGGCCTATCTGAGACTTCCTACTTGGGGAGGACACATAAGACCCGAATGTCTCTTCAACATTACCAAAACCACGGAGTCTCAGTTCCATCTCCATCTCCATATCCATATCTCTAGCACTCAATGTCGACTTCAATCTGCTTCCTCCGTTAAGCTGCAAAGCCGGTGGAGTCAGAGTATTGACTCTGTTTTGCCATGACCCGCCGCTTCTTGGAGATGAGCCAACACCGTTAGCCATCGGAGATACAGGAGGAGTCGAAACACCTGAAGAATACGCAAGAGGAGACAAACACGGCATCATCTCCAAGCTGCTAAACGGAGACTGAGCCACTGCTGAGCCAGTTGAAGCATTAACAGGTCTCATCTCTTCACGTTTATGCGCAAAGAAACAAACTTTCCTTGCACAACCCGTCTCATCTTTACAAAGCCTAGTTTTATACTGCGCCGGGTGAAGCCAAGACTCGAAAACTCCATGAGCGTACTCGCAAGAATCTCCTTTTGGGCATGACCCTTTACGGAACTCGGGACAAGGGACACAAGTGTAAGGATACTTCCTTGGATCTCTCCTCCTCGCGTTCTCTCCAGGATGCACAAAAGCACACTCGGTCCAATCATGGGAATAAGCCCTTGAACACGGCTTAACCTTAAAGCTATACATCCTAAATTCATCACTTCCATAAACACCTTCGTTAATATCAGGTAAAGAAGCATCAGCTGGATACTTTGACACTATCTTGATCTCTTCTTCTTCTTCTTCAACCGCTTCATTGATCAATCCACCACCTCCTCGCAGCAACATCTCAACGGTTTTCTTCCTCGGAGTAGCCACGAATCTCGAAACCCGAACAAACAGATCCAAAGGTTGATTCCCATTAGCATCAACAGAGTTAGCCAAAGCAGAAGCATCAAGCAAAGTGATGATGACTTCAATCATATTCACGGAACATCCAGCGACAGCGCAGTGAAGTGCAGTGACTCTCTCTTCACCGCAAGCTCTGTTCACATCGGCTTTTCTAGTGGAGATGATGAAATTCAAAACCTTTTTGCTTCCGTACATAGCAGCAACCATTAGAGGCGTCCTTTCTTCGAGACCCATCTTATTCGACCCGACCCGTTTGCAATACCATAACCCTGGCTGGTCCAAGTCGAGACCTTTCTCTTCGATCTCTCTCTTGAACGATTGGAGATCATCACAGGCGGCGAATTCGAGGAGACCCATGGTTTCTTCTTTCCTTAATTCGATTTCGGTTAGGGTTCTGGAAGAGCAGAGATTGCTCTTTGGACCACTACACATAATATATCCTGTAAATTCAGAAAAACGATTGATTGATGATGAGAAACTAATAAAGAGAATAAATAGCCGCAATAGAAACTGAATTTTAAGCTCTCTTTCAAGTTGTTACTTTTTCTAATTTCTAAGATTCTTATGCTGAATTTGATGCCGCAATTTTAGCGGATATGATAAAGTATAACGTACTTTCTACTGCCACAAGCTAACGATCGTTTCTACTCAAATACTTTTTCTCTCCGTTGAAAAGTTCCAACCAAAAATTTTAATTTTTCAGAAAAGGGGTCAACGATAAAGAAAGAAATTTAGAGATTTCAGTTCAGTAAATGAAAAACCAAACAACTCAAAATCCTTTAGTTTCTAGAGAAAGCAAAACTTGCAAGCGAAAGGACATTGAAAGAAAATTCCACAGAAGAAGAAAAAGACACAAACCTGGAATGAAGTGGGAAAGAATACAAATTGAAGAAAGTTGGAAGCTTTGTTAGAGAATTAGGTGATGAAGATGAAGAAACTAGTGAGAAATAGGTTGGGGTTTTTAAGAAGAATGGGGGTTGAGAGTTAGAGGAGGCTTCTTATATAAAGGTGCTTCGTTGCGATGAAGGAGAGAGGAAGGTGCGCTCTTTCTTTCCTTTACTTTCTTGGTCTTCCTTACTTTATTTTATCCCTTTAATTAATTCATATAGTTTCTCTATTCTCATCGTCAAATAAATGTTTTAGGTCAAAAAGTCAAAAAGGCGAAACCAAATTTTCAAAGGCGAAGATGTCGCTCTTCTGCTGACTGTTCCTTCTACTGAAAATCCGTCTTTTTTTTTTCCTGGAAACTGATAAGGAAATCAACTAATTTTACTTATTTTATTAATAAAATATATTTCAAAGCTGTTTCATAATATTGATTTTTTTTTTGCCTAATATAGTATGTGGGTGGAAATGATAAACTGGAGAGTGTAAAAAGAGAGGGACCCACCACTAAAAAACTGACTGACTAAACCGGTAACACGTCAACACGCGTGTGCGAGTCCCACCACAAGACACAAACACGCGCTTTTCAAGTTACCAGTCAACTCCCTACTAGTTGCTTAAGTTTGAGCTGTCTTTGTTTCCATCAAGATCCGAGCCAAAAACTCCAAATACGAACTGATTGATTATTTATGTTAGGCCTTTTACTTATTTAGTTGAAACAAATCTATCGTATCATATAATTTGATTTCGGTGTAAGTCCATTTCATTCTATCTTGGCTTTACGTTTCGGTTATTCCAAAATCCACCAACTTTGCATTCCTTTTTATCTATTTCGAATTATATTTTATATTTTCGTTCATAATTTATGGAGTATTTTTTAAAAAAAGAAAAATACATGCTAATTTTTTGATATTGGATATTTCAACATGTTCCTAAATAATCTTTTTGTTTATTCATACGCGTAGGGAGAGAGCGCGTGTAGGAGAGAAAGAGAGTCAAAATCATGCACGCCTTCGCTAATCTTCTTCGTTCCCTTTTAAGTGGGCGACAAAAATGTCTTTCACTTGGCTGCTCTCTCAGTTTCATCTTCCCTTTACTTTATTTGCGCACTACTAGCTAAAATTATTCTTCCAAATCTTTTACGATAATTGTCATTGATCACACACCAAACATGATTGTTTTTTTCTTATTCTTTTATTTGCTAAAGCGATCATGACTGTGGGAATAATAATACATATATGGACTTCAGGACTTCGGCAACTTGTGGCCATATTATCCTATGTACCAAGTGGGTTGATCAAGCGACAAAACTTGGAAAATAAAATAAAGTAGAAGACTGCATGCATTCGTGGTCAAAATCACTATTACCATATTTATAATGCTCATCTTCCAATTATTGGGGCTTTTCCTCTCATTTATTTTTCACATCACATTGTGTGTATATCAGATTTTTGACTACATAACAACATATATACAAAATAGTAGGATGACGGAGGTGTCATTAGAATAAGCCCAAAAACATACAAACAAGTAAATTATGACTTGGAGGTGTCATATATTCCATTATAGTACTCGTGTATTGTCTACAATATAAACACGACGTGAATTGATTAAGAAAATATTTCTGAAAAAAAAAAATTATGGGCTTGCGATATGGGCCATATGGCATATGGGAACTATATAAAGATGGTTAAAGATATAGAGAACAAAATATATTTATTTATGATCGCAAAGCCCACTGTCGTCGTTGCACCTTGCAAATTTTTGTGTATCTCCCACTAACCGAAAAACTGTTTTGTTTAACTAAATTATCTTTACTCCACTTGAGTTAGTATTAAAAAGAGGCTTAGGAGCCCGATTATATTACATTGTTAATTATTACAATATCAGAGACATAAGGAATGAATTATACTCCCTCCGTTTCATAAAAAATGTTATTCTGACATTTTTCACACATATTAAGAAAATTATTAAAGTACAATTTTATCCCTTATTAATACATTAAATAATTTGTTTTTATCTAATAAATACATTAAATTAATATGGTTAAAACTGGAATATTGTTTAAAATTTTGCATTGAAAATATAAAACGACACTCTTTGTGAAACAAAAATAAAACCTTAAAACGACACTCTTTGTGAAACGGAGGGAATATCGTTAATTTATGTTTCAACTTTTAACTAATTGATCGCTAAAAAGGTGTAAGGAGGTTGAGATCAAATGTGATTGGAAGCTGAAACCCATGCCGATCCCGAGTTTACCAAACAAAATATGGCCTCATATTGTCATAAAGAGATATATCCAAAAAATTATTTAATCGGGTAATTTTTCTTTAACTACAACGAATTATTGGATTTTAAATAAAATGCATACTAATTACTTAATTAGAAAAACCAACAATTAAATGGACTACGTACTTTGAACAAAGAAAAAAAAAAAGATGAAGCAGGCACGAGCTACCGTAAGTTAAGCTCTACGCCTCTACCTCCAGCTCGAAGCCCAGGCCAGTGATTTTCATCTATGAAAACGCTTTTTTAAAAAAATATATAATAGAGTGAGTTCCTAATTGCTAATTCGGCCCAATGTAACCAAATACCAATATATTGCTCATAGGCCATTGGGTTTCTTAATTATGACTTATGACCCAATGTTATATAGCTGCAGCTCATCTGAGTTTTATCGTTTGACTTTAGCTGCATGTAACTTTAGCCCTTTAAAAAGCGACAATATGCTTCACAGTTCACACCTTTCCGCTTTGATAATTGGTGTATATAACCGGTGTTAACCAAATTGTTAAATAATCGATTTTCCAGCTTATACAGCACGTGCCCAATTAATTCCACAATGAAAGTTATCCCGGAGTTGCGTAGACAACTTGTACTATTCAATCTTTGTTTTTTTCTACTTTATGATTCGTTTCGTCAATATGAAAAATCATTATTATCTTTAATATGATTTTATCCAGAAGAAGAACTGGACATACGCAATGTCGGATTAAAATAATATACTCTATAAGGATTTTTTTTTTTTCGGAATACTACGCTAGAATTTTCTTTAACAACTACTGATCCAAAGCTGCTCTAGTGTCGGGTTAGTTTCAATTGTTTTTAAACGGCAAGTTTCAAACGTCAATGCTTACTTTAGGGTTTACGTTGAAAAGTAACAAGTTACTTGAGATGATGTTTAGAGTTATGACTTATGAGCTTTGTTAACCAAAAAAAAATGCTAACAAATTCTGTTCGACGTAATGGACTCCTCTTGCAACATCTTTTGCATAATGAAAAAGCAATGAACCGAATCAACATAATATCAAGTTATCAACCATCTATTTCTGAACATGCTTTTCCTTTTTTTTTTTTTTTGCGTGTGTTCTTAATTATATTTATTTATACAATTTTTGTTTGTTACTAAAAAATTAAAAACTAATGAAATGATTTCTCGGTTTAGTACTAGCTAGGTCTTTCGATGAGAAAAAAATAAAAACAGATGCGCTAAACAGAAGGATTTCAGGGTTGTTAAGGGAGTTCGGTTTTTCGATTTGTCGAGACTCCTCTTAATCCACTGTTAACGCAGACATATAAATCACACTAAACTCTTTTAATCTAATGTTCTGTTAAACTTATACATCGGTCTTTAGAACCAAACATTCATGAAATATATTTAGATTTTAACCACGGACTTCCTATAGTTTAAGCGCACCACCGTTTAATATCGACACACTCGACGAGAAAACATTGTAATTTCCATTAAAAAATATATTTATTTATTGTTTTCGTTTTTTTTTTCCTTTTTTATTTTAAAATAGGGGAAATATAAGAGATAGGCACAATGGGTGTATTTTAGTATTTGTTTAGTTGGTTTCGATTAACTTTATTTTAACCACATCTACAAGTATGTATGTTGGTGTAAAACTTCTAAAGAATATATATATATATATATATATATATTATATTAGGAACCGAACCTAAACACATATTAAAATAAAGTTAAACCAAACCAACTAAACAAATGCTAAATATCCATGCCTAGCTCTTTTACTTCCCGAATTTTAAAAGAAAAACAAAAAAAATATAAAACAATAAACACACATGTCTTATTAGTATCATTAACTTAAAGCCCATAAATACATAATTAATAGTATCACTTAAAGCTCAGAAATACAGTAATCTATGGTGTAGAAGTTAATTATCTACGTCAAAAGTTAATTATCTTTTTACATCGCTTAATTGTGTTCTAGAACAATTTTTTTCTTTTCCAAAAAAGGTTACATGTCGATATCACATGGCTACGACGGATGATTAGACTATCGCAACTGGCCAATCAGAAGGCGACTCCTGCTCAATCAGTTAGACGTGGCTTATGCCTATTGGAGGGCAATGAAGAACATATCTTCTTTGTTTTCTGGGTTCTTCTATTTGTTTAGTTGTCTATCATCTCAACGACCAATTCTCCGACAAGACCATTTTAACAAGGAAATTAGGAAGAAAAAAAGACTTCGGGTTGAATTTAGCTTTCACTTTCAGTCTTAAGTTTTTCCAAAAAAAAAAAATTGTTACAAGACCATAATCCATTGAGTTTTCCTAACCAAGGAATAGAACCAGTGTAGGCAAAGCACCAACTCTACAGTTGAGTTATATGATTAATATATCGGTTTAGAATTAGAGATCAGTATAGCACTATTACCATTGGTCGTCAACGAGGCAAAGGCGTTGGTCTTCACAATTATTATGGGAGGTAAGAAATTCTGATTCGTAATTTTAATATTTCTATCTCTGAAACTAGTTAGTTGTCAGAATCAAATATTGTTGTCATGTTTTTTCATTTTGGCACATGCCAACATTGCCATTGATAGTGCATATATAAATGACGTAATTAAATGTTTTGGAACATATAAAGAAATGTTCAATTTCAATGCAGAATAATTAGATAACGTCGTGCCGAATTTGGTTACGGCGCCGAAATGCATACATATGCAGTTTCCAGATGACCTTAACCGCTTATTGGTTTCTTTTGGGATCATAACCATTTTTTTTTTTGTTAAAGGATCAAGACAATTTTCGATAATATATAAAATCTCAAACCGAAAATGTGTCTACATCTGCTTTGTTTTCTTATTTATGAATGCTCT